AAGTGGGGCATAGTGGGTTTGGCTTACGCTGAGAAAAGGGGATACGAGGAACAGAAACAAACGGTTAAAAAGCTCGAGGTCTCCACCCCCCCCACCCCGCACCACATTACAAGAAACCGGATTTAACCCTTTCTTCCCATATCCGGCTTATACCTATGCCCCTTTCACAATCATCTATTTATCACCATAAAAGTCGAGGGGGCGCCAGGCAGACTTTACTGGTCGATACCGGATCTACTCATACTTTATTTCATACCGATGAACCTAAATCTTTTCACGGATCCACAGGGGAATCATACTTACTTCGAGGCTTTAACGGATCACATCAAGTTGGTGCACGGCTTAAAAATACATCTGTATACATCGGTCCCGCTGCGGTTAAAATGCCCATGAAGCGAGGTTTACTTGGTTCTGATATTTTGACTCGTTATGGAATGATTGTGGATTATACTAACTCGTGTCTGTGGGGCCCAACCTCTCCCCGGGTTCATCATGATTCGACTCAAACAAAGTGTCAACGCTTAGCAATCTATCTTGTTGTTTTGGATGTGTTCCCCCGTGTCGCTGATTAAAGCCCCCGAGGCGTTCCGATCCCGAGCTTCCACAGCTTATTACTGGTTACAATATGGCAATGGCTAAACACAAGTACGATTGTGGGCGGTTCAATAGAGGTGGAAGAAATCAATGGTTCCCCCACGAAACTGTACCTCATTCCGATCGAAAGTCACACTTTTGTACAAGCTGCTATTAACTTACTAGAACAAGGTGTTATACGAGAAGGCACCTGCACTACTAATTCTCCCATTTGGCCTGTCAAGAAACCTGATGGTAGTTGGAGATTAACCATTAGCTTAAATTAAATTCTGTTACCCCAGCATGTTTCCCAGTGGTCAGCGAAATTACTAATAGTTTATCCTAAATATCTCCTAAGTCCAAATTCTTCTCCACACTTGATAGCGCCAAGTTCCTGAAATTATCTGATCAGTACAAATTTGCATTTGACGGACGGCAATACACTTGCACGTGTCTTCCTCAGGGATTTCACAATTCCCCTACTATCATCCATAAACGTATGGTAAATATGCTACGGGGATACCATACTTCGAATGACTCAGCTATTCTCCAGTATGTAGATGACATACTTATAGCAACAGAAACAAGACAACAACACCTCACTCTTTTAACCGAAGTGCTTGCTAGATTACAAGCGGCAGGATTAAGATTAACCCCCGAAAGATCCAGCTGCTCCAATCCTCTGTGAACTTTTTAGGAGTTACTTTATTCGAGAAAGGGCAGTCACCCAATGCACCTAAAGTGGCCGTTATTCAGAGATTACCGCTTCCTCGAACAGAAACGGCACACCGATCATTTCTGGGACTCGTGGGGTACCAGAGATCGTTTATTCCTCAGTTCGCAGATATGGCTAAACCCCTGTACAATTTTATCAGGGATAAACGACGATGATATACCCAAGCGATAAACAGATGAACACACTAATGCGGTTATGGCGTTTTAAAACAGGTTATTATGCAGGCGAGGTTACTATCTCGCCAGACCCCGCTGCTCCGTTTCATCTAGAGGTAGCAGCTACGGACATCAGCCTTACCGCTGTGCTCGCCCAACAACAGATTCAACAGATTCTGCCTATTGCTCTTGCATCCAGACTTCTTACCGGTGTAGAACAACAGTATGACCCTTGTGAACGTCATCTTCTTGCTACTTGCTGGGCGATTAAACATTTCACCTATATTACCGGCTTACAGAAGATATTACTTCACTCCCCACACACTCCGCTCAATCTCCTGATAATATAATAATAATAATAATTCTTGCATTTGATATAGCGGATTTCACGTCTTCTCGACGTCTCAAACGCTTCACAGAATATGCTGTAAAGTGAATTGACCGTATATTTGTGGGCATCACATCAGGCTTGTGATGAAGCATGATGATACCCTCGTCTCCTCACAAAGACTTAATCACTGGATGCTGTTGTTGGTTGATCGAAACATTGAAATCACACCGAGACAAACTACGCTCATTTCTCAAATGTTGCATTATTTCGGAGATGAACACACTTGTCCCCGGCCCTTACTTCAATTTCCTCAGCACCCGGTATCGAAGACTCCCTCAAAACACCAGTTGAGGATCCACAGCCGATGGATGGCTCATCCTACTATATACACAGAGTGCAGTAAACTGGTTTTGCTGTATTTCTGCCACAAGAAACACTCAAATTGACACGTGTGCCTCACTCCGGTCACTATGCCGATCTTGCATTATATACTGCAGTTACCCACACAGTAAATCAACCAACTAACATTTAGTCTGACAGTGCGTACAGGGTTAACATCGTTATTTTACTCCTGCTTTACGCCTCTAGGGATTTTTGATCTGCAGATAATAAACCCCTTATACATTGTACAAACTACACCTCTCCATATTGGTAAGGTAAAGGCACACTCCTTTACCACCATGTATGCTGGTAATAATCCAGCTGATCGAGCTGCGGAAGAAGCAGCACAAACGGCCATTCGATGGATTCCCCCATTTGATCCCAATGTTCAATTGTAACTGAACGTACCAGCACAGACCTCCCATCGCTCCAGATGACCTCTGTTCCCTATCGTGATGGCATACAGTGGCATACCGATGGCTATAAAGCTCCACCTCCCACCTCAAGGGTTGTGGATCCTACACTCATTCACACTGACTTCCCAATTCTAAACCCATTCTATTTCATCCCACTAGATCTTCTTCCAGCTCTTCCACAATCACCCTGGTGGAGGACATTCTGCCGCCTCATCCAGTATTGCAAAAGTACTTAGCTCTGTGTGGTGGCCTACTGTGGGTGTTGACATATCTCAAAGGGTAAATTGATACCTCGTATGCCTAGAACAACCCTGGTCCTAAAGTCAACCGTGGTTTATTACAATCTGCTCCTTGTTCTTCGGGTCTTGGACGCACATCCAGGTTGATTTCATCGGTCGCCTTACTAACACAGCAGGTGCTTATAAGTCATTATCGACAGGTTTAGTAAACGGATAGAGGCTTTCCCTGTTCATGCTGCTACTGCCCTCAGTGCAGTGCGTATTGTGTTGCATGAGGTGATCTGCAGGTGGGGAGAACCTGTCGGCCTGGATAGTGATCAGGGATCACATTTTACTGGGAAAAATTTTGAACAATTAACTCAATTGATGGGGATTAAACACAAGTTACATGTGGCTTTCCACCCCCGATCATCAGGTACAGTGGAAAGAAATAATAGAACCTTAAAAACTCTATTGAAAAAGTATTGTGCAGATCACCCCACTAAATGGGCACAAATGCTACCCATGTGCCTCATGGCAATTAGATCGACTCCTCATTCCACAGCGGGGATATCTCTATACCAAGCCAGTACTGGCAGAATAATGTGCCTGCCAGGGGATCTATTAACACCCCTACATCCCCTGATGTTGGGATTTCCGATCCCAAGAGTTCGAAATATGACCCGACAATCCAAGATGGCGCAATAATTCTTTTATTATAAGACAGTGAGCTAAATAGTGTGTAAAGAAGAACATACTACCAGGTAATCCGCGTAGAACAAGAGTGGAAGAAAATTTCTTGGCTGTCATCACGCGCTCGCCCTGGTTTCGCTGGTGTATCTCTCTCGCTCCCCTCCTGCCAGTCAGGCTCAACTGACTTCTCTCTCTCTCTTTTCACTAATTATACTCTTTTCTGAACTCTTACCAGATACCTTCTTCCCTCTCACAACTTGTCCTGCACGTACTCATCCAAATCAACCACTGGCCTGACGGTGTTGATAAGGTGAGTCTCCATTGTCTTGTCTATAATGATGTTATTTGGGACTGGCCTATTGGGAAGTCTACTCCTTCCTAGGCCTGGCACATGATGTTTTGCAGACCTTTTTCTTTCCATTTCTGGCTGGTACCCAAGGTTACAATAACACTTAGGACTCTGCATCTGGAGAGAGTAGAGATAACGGGTACAGTGGTTCCAGCCTGTGCCACATTCCGTTAGTAAGAAAGCTAATTTGGCGGCCATTTTGACCTGTTAATACAATTAATTAAACATATCTTAAAAGAATGTATATAAAAATCTTGTTCTATTCTAAATGATTATAGGGGAATCCCTATATCCCAACAGAGCCTCACCAGAAGGAAATCCTAATTTACAGGGTGCCGTAACAGAGGCTTGGGTAGAACAAATGATGGAACAAATTCAGATTACCAATGAATTTGTGGCACAAACCACTGGTAAATCACATAAACAGATGAAGCAATACTTTGACAAGCAAGTCACAGTATGTGAATACTAAATTGGTGATACCATAATTATGGGAAAAAGGAACAAAATGGGAGGGTCCGATTTCCATAATAGATCAGTGCCTCGGTGTATTTAATACAGCATGAGAGGAATAAGAGGTGCAAATGGCATCATATAAATCAGATCAAAGCTGCTAATCTAACAGATAATACTCTTGATTTACAGCACCAAGATTGTCAGGTGGAATTGGGCGATGATTCTGGCAATACACCTGCACATGATAACAGTAATTCAGCCGACCTCCTGGATCAGCCTCCTAAGACATGTCCGACAGTGATACCGTGACTGAGTCTCATAAAGCCCCATTGGGATGCCGTTAACTGATCCAGGCCCACTTTCAGATGCCGATGGAATCATTTACGATACTGTGGTATCAGAATAACACATATACAGCCATGGCACATGAACAGGTACATGGTCGAACTTTTAATCAGGTATCGATCAAAGCAGCAGCAGGGAGGACTGAATTGGCCTGAATTCACCTTTGCACAAATGTACCGAAAAGGCTCCCCAACACTACATTTGCAGATACCATGCTCATGGAATCGTAACAGAAAAAACGTTTCCACTATCATCGTCGGGAGCAAATAACTATTGTATACAAGGTCAAAAGTGGACCTGACCCTATATTAACAATCAAGTCACAGAGGTGAAATGGACAAACTGTATCAATACAATGTAATATAATTTTACCGGGTATGACGTGGGACGTGGATGAATTGATGTTTAAGGGAAATATGGATGAGCTCTATCTTCCAACAGTTAAAGTTTTGTTTTCTGCTCTATCTGTGGTTAAAACCGGATGAGATAGGAAGGATATGGCAAGTGTTTAAATTCGGTCAAGTGGGGACGCTTTTTATTATCACTCCTCATCTTGACAAACAAGGTTATCCGCTCTGGATCCTCCGGTTCCCAAATACCTATGCCCAACACCAAGGATACTATGCATGTCATTGGGACGAGGAAAGATTAACCCTGTGCCCTACTTTGATATTAGTTCGACGGTTAATCCATGATTTAAAGAAGCGGCCAGACCGAGAAGATCTAGCTCGGTGGCTGAGTAGATAGTATGAGGTGGGGACTCAAGATGTAGTCTTTCGGCCTCAAGGTGGGGACTGTTGGGAGAAGACGGTATCCATATAAAATGGGATTTGAATTTCCCAACAGCGTCATGGGCATATTTTTTTCGGGGATCTTCTATTGTTGATGAGCTATGACCTAAACAAACTCATCACACACGTATGGCAGTTTTGTGTTTTGCACTGCAGTTACAACTGGTGGGCGTGCCGACTCCCCGTGCTGCGCCTCTGGGGATTTAAAGTGCAAGGCCAAGTCTATCACTTATTGGGATCTCTAAACCCTTTGCCTAATGAGTCGCCAAAATTCTTACAGATCATTTTCATGAAGAACCGAGAAGACCAAATGGAAGCAATGTTCTTGGATTGAAGGAAGCATCATACTAGATGTGCAAGACATGCTTCACAACAGTAACACATACGTTCAAGTCTGCAATGAAAGGATGACTGCAGAAGAATATAGAATAATCATCCATGCAGGAATCTAGATACACCAGCTATCTAGATACACAAGCTATGCAATGGCACAAGGTTGGTGGTAAAACAACTGATGACACATATTGGAGGGATTATTATTAGGCTCTGTGTGGAGTAAGGAAACTTGCCCAAGGTTTCGCCCTCTGCCTGGAATTGAACTCAGGTCTCTCGCTTGCAAAACGAGTGCTCTAACCACTGAGCTACAGGACTCCACAGCTTCACTCTTGGCAAGTTCTGCTTATTCATGGGGTACTTGTGTTTCCTATTCTTGAATCCTGTATGCAGTAGCTTGCATTTATTTAGCTTCTCAGTCAATTTGGGCTGTCATCTCCTCAAAAGACCTACCCTTCTTGAACTCAATGTCATCTGAAAATCAAGAGACTATTTTTATATTGAATCCCATATTGTATCTTTCATAAGAATCCAAGAATTTGCTAGGCAAAAGACCAAGGTCCATCCAGTTTGCCTTCCACTATCCTAGCAGTGACATGCACATTGCCATGTCCCAAACTATATACCGTATATCAAAATATCATTTCCTAACAAAATTCGATCTAATTTGCTCTTGAAAGAATCAACACTTTCAGCTTCCACCATCTCCCTAGAGAGCCTGTTTACTACTCGCTTACTGAAGTTGTGTGTCCGCAGATTCGTTCTGAATTTCAATCGCAAATCCGTGTAGTCTGGTTTTACTGTTTGGTCCAAGATGAAACAACTTATCATAGTTCCTTTTAGAATCTTGGAGACTGTAATCTTATCGCCACTCAGCCTTCTCTTCTCCAGTGTGAACATGCCCAGTTACCAAATCACTCCTCATAGGCTCCCTCGCTCCATCCCCTCAATCATTTTTTTTGCTCTCCTATTTATCCTTTCAATCACTGTAATATCCCTTTTGTATTGTGGTAACCAGAACTGCACGGCATTATTCCAAGTACAGTTGCACTAATGATTAAAGTGACAGGGTTACCTCACTATTTTGTTGTTTGCGTCTGAACTCCCAGCAACGGTATCCTGAGCAACCTGAGATCAGCCCCAGTCACTGATTTTCAAATTAAGGTCTGATTATCTGATTACATACCAGATATGCAAAGAAATTGAAAAGGAGAAGGTGAGTTGAATGCGGAAATGTAGAGATAGGTGAGTCAGTAAAAGGGCACATAGATTCAAGATAATTGGCAAAAAAAACAGATAAGGAGGGCAGATAAGGAGACTTTTTTTTACACAGAGAGTTGTTACGGTCTGGAATGCACTGCCTGTAAGGATGGTGGAAACCGATTCAATAACAAGTTTTAAAAGGGAATTAGACAAGTACTTGAAAAGGAAAAATCGGAAGGATATGGAGAAAGAGTGGGGTAGTGGGACCGATTGGGTAGCTCTTCCAAAGAAACGGCCGAATGGCCTCCTTCTGCACTGCAAGGTTCCTTGATCCTGTGCTCTGAGCTGCGATCAGTCCAGGTGTCACTCTGCCTCAGTCGTGGCTCTGGTTCAGAAGGTGAGGACTTTGAGTCCCATCTAAGAGCTCAACTACGATCCCAAGATATCAGCTTGATTTTTAATGTAGTGGGATCAGAACTCAACAAATCTGCCAGAAGATAATATTCATAATAATAATAATCCTTGCAATTGATACAGAGCCTTATCACGTCTTCGAGACGTCTCAAAGCGCTTCACAGAATAGACTGTAAAGTTAATTGACCGTATATTTTGTGGGTGAAATGCAATATTATGTATGTCTCAGAGGTGACCTTGTAGAGGTTATAGCATTTTAAATGGGATTGAAAAGTAAAGCTGTGCGCAAATTGGACCACAGCATTGGGCTACACAACCCACAGTCACTACACTTTACAATCAATCCTGTGTAGTGCTTTGAGATGCCCTCCCGAGGTGAAAGGCGCTGTCAGTGCCGAATGTAAGTTTGTTTTTAATATTCGAAAATTTTCAGAGGCCACACGTCTGACCTTGATGCTGCCGGGAAAGCCAGAGGCTCACACATGGGTGAGACAGAGAAGAAAGTTACCTCTGCTGACCACGGAGTCCCAGCAAAGGGAAGAACGAGGGGAAAAAGGATAAAATACAAGTTATCAAAGGAAGAAAAGAAACTGGTAAAATCAGCCATGTCTCCAGTAGGCTTAGTGACCGCGGTTATAAGAGATACAGTATTTCAACAACTTGTGCATACAGCGTCGGTCAAATAGAATAATGTCTCGGAGTGCTTTATCATGACGGATATGGGCACCAAAGGGGGTGGGAAGAGACTGTTGGCATATTTGAAGAGGTAGGGTGGGGTGAGGACAATAATGAGTCTGAAGTCTGGTCTGCTGTGTTTTTTTAATAAGGAAACCCTGGAGAGGGAGTGCCGGCTCCTCCAGGCCGACAGGGCGGAGTATGATGTCTTCCTGGATCGCATGGACGACTGGCTGAGGACTCGCCACCAGAGGGTGATACAACTCTTCCGCAGCTACGACAGCAGTCGGAGTGGGAGGCTAACATACCAGGACTTTAAACTGGGTAAGGAGCCCTCCAGCATCTCAGACAAAGGTGCTGCCGACAGTTCTGCTCTAGGGAGCTGTCTGATACGAGGCACCGCAAGGGAGAAGACCCCCCTCGTCCCCCTCCCCAATATTCCATCATAACCGCTTGTGTCAAAACATATACTACCGTTTTTTGAGCAATCAGCTTGCTTTGGCCCTCGCCCTCTGAATGCCTGGTTCCTTGCTGACTCTGCTGCAGTAAGCCAGCAACCGTTCGACTTTATATCTTTCCCATCTTACCCATGATATGTTTTACGCCTCTCTGTTCATTCAACCCACTATCATGCATACTGACCGCATACACATTTTGCCTCTGGGCAAGGGTCAAGCATATTGTTATTCTTGCTTTACTCAGGAACTGGGCAATTTCGACAACACAATAACTTGTTTGACTATATTTGTCAATTATCAGTGCGTGATAGTCCTCCTCCCCAAGGCCAGTGATTGTCTTACTTCAACCTTTCATGCTGACCGTTTCCTCTTAGGTGAGGGAAACACCTTTGTGTTATTAACAGATGTTTGTGATGGTTTGGGTACAAAATGGTATTATTTTCCATTTTGATTAATGTAAGCAAGATTAACAATTTAACGTTTATAATTTGATGTAATTTCATTACATATATCATATTCTAACACTGAGTGTGTGTGTGTGTCTGTCTCTGAGTGTGTGTCGCTCTCCATATCTCTGAGTGTGCGTGTGTCTGTCTCTGAGTGTGTGTCGCTCTCTATGTCTCTGAGTGTGCGTGTGTCTGTCTCTGAGTGTGTGTCGCTCTCTATGTCTCTGAGTGTGCGTGTGTGTCTCTCTTTGGGTCTCTGTGTCTGTGTACAGTGCCGGCCGTGAGAAGCAGGAGGTGGTGATCTCCTGAAGCCTTGCTGGTGTTGCCGCACCCCCCACCCCTCCCATTTTCGTTAAAGAAGTAATTAATTTTTTTTGCAAAAATCTGATGTGTTAGTTCCTTATGTTTAGTTTTTAATCAATAAAGTGAAAAAATGCAGCAGTAAAATGTACCTCAGTAGCACCAATCAACCCCCGCAATGCCCCCGCAAAACAAAATTTAACGAAGGCCTCTGCAATTTCCCACAAGACCTCAAAGCGCGCCACAATTTTTTTGCCAAATATGTCTCCACTCTTCTATTGGTCCAGATCATAATCCGTGAAGTCTGCAGCGGCTCTCGTTCTGTCTCGGCACACCCTCAAATACCATTCTGGGTTTACTTTTTTTAATCCCATTTAAAATATAATCTACCTCAATCGGGACCGCTATGACACAACTTATCTCACGAATGAAGCGCCTTCACTTGTCTTATCGTTGCAAGTCATCGCTCAACACGAGGGATCAGATAAGCAAAGAGAAGATTCATTGGAAAAATCCACAAAGTAGAATCACAGAATCATAGAATCATCCAACACAGGAGGCCATTCCGGCCATCGTGTCTGTGCCGCTCTTTCATTTAAAGCTTTTTTTCCAAATCAACCCCACTCCCCGCTCTCTCCCCATAGCTCTGATAACCCCACTCCCCGCTCTCTCCCCATAGCCCTGATCAACCCCACTCCCCCACTCTCTCCCCATAGCCCTGATCAACCCCACTCCCCGCTCTCTCCCCATAGCCCTGATCAACCCCACTCCCCGCTCTCTCCCCATAGCCCTGATCAACCCCACTCCCCCACTCTCTCCCCATAGCTCTGATCAACCCCACTCCCCCGCTCTCTCCCCATAGCCCTGATCAGCCCCACTCCCCCACTCTCTCCCCATAGCCCTGATCAACCCCACTCCCCCGCTCTCCACCCATAGCCCTGATCAACCCCACTCCCCGCTCTCTCCCCATAGCTCTGATAACCCCACTCCCCGCTCTCTCCCCATAGCCCTGATCAACCCCACTCCCCCGCTCTCTCCCCATAGCCCTGATCAACCCCACTCCCCGCTCTCTCTCCCCATAGCCCTGATCAACCCCACTCCCCCGCTCTCTCCCCATAGCCCTGATCAACCCCACTCCCCCGCTCTCTCCCCATAGCCCTGATCAACCCCACTCCCCCGCTCTCTCCCCATAGCCCTGATCAACCCCACTCCCCCACTCTCTCCCCATAGCCCTGATCAACCCCACTCCCCCGCTCTCTCCCATAGCCCTGATCAACCCCACTCCCCGCTCTCTCCCCATAGCCCTGATCAACCCCACTCCCCCGCTCTCTCCCCATAGCCCTGGTCAACCCCACTCCCCCGCTCTCTCCCCATAGCCCTGATCAACCCCACTCCTCCACTCTCCACCCATAGCCCAGCAAACTGGTCCTTCCCAAAAAATTGGGATGGGGGCAGGGGGCGGGGCGGGGGCAGTGGGTGGGGTGGGGGCAGTGGACGGGGCGGGGGCAGGGGGCGGGGCGGGGGCAGGGGGCGGGGGCAGGGGGTGGGGCGGGGGGCGCCGCGGGGGCAGGGGCGGGGCGAGGGCAGTGGGCGGGGCGGGGAGTCGTGGATGCCGCGGGGGCAGTGGGCGGGGGCAGGGGGTGGGGCGGGGGCAGGGGGTGGGGCGGGGGCAGTGGGCGGGGTGGGGGGCAGTGGGCGGGCGGGGGGCAGTGGGCGGGGCGGGGGCAGTGGGCGGGGCGGGGGCAGTGGGCGGGGCGGGGGCAGGGGGCGGGGGCAGTGGGCGCCGCGGGGGCAGTGGGCGGGGCGGGGGCAGGGGGCGGGGCGGAGGCAGTGGGCGCCGCGGGGGCGGGGGGCGGGGCGGGAGCTGTACGTGCTGCGTGCCCACGCTGGCGGAGCGTCCATTCGGCAGCGAGCGCTCGCGCGGATCGGCGGTTGGCGGTCGGAGAGAAGCGGGAACCAGTGCAGGCGGTCGCCTCGCGGCCAATTTACGGGATTTTCAGCGTCAAATACCAGGTTTTGGCGGAGATTCCCCTTATAGCATTTTTCTCTCCCATCACCTCCTCCCCTCACCCCCTTCCCTCACCCCCTCTCATACCCTCTCCTCCCCTCCTCCCCTCACCTCCTCCCCTCACCCCCTCTCATACCCTCTCCTCACCTCCTCCCCTCACCCCCTCTCCTCACCTCCTCCCCTCACCCCCTCTCACCCCCTCTCATACCCTCTCATACCCTCCCCTCACCCCCTCCCCTCACCCTTTCTCTTACCCTCCCTCACTCCCTCTCATACCCTCCCCTCACCCACTCTCCTCACCCCCTCTCCTCACCCCCTCCCCTCACCCCCTCTCCTCACCCTCTCCTCACCCCCTCCCCTCACCTCCTCTCCTCACCCTCTCTCACCCCCTCCCCTCACCCCCTCTCCTCACCCTCTCTCATACCCTCCCCTCACCCCTCTCCTCACCCCCTCCCCTCACCTCCTCTCCTCACCCTCTCTCACCCCCTCCCCTCACCCCTCTCCTCACCCCCTCTCATACCCTCTCCTCACCCCCTCTCACACTCTCCTCTCACCCCTTCTCATACCCTCTCCTCACCCCCTCTCATACTCCTACCTTCCCTCACGAGCCCTCCCTTGCCCTGTCGTGTAGCCTCACCTCATCATGCATAGCGTGTCCTGCCAATGCCCCCCACTCCATGCATTGTTATCCTGACCACTAAAACTTACCCAATTTTAAAAAACATATTTAATTTGGATGTAAACATCTTCGTGTGGTGTTTGAATGGCAACTAGGGGCTAATTCCTGTATGTTTGTGCCAGTGGAGCTGCCTGTGGCTGGTTTTGCTCAGTATTAAATGGATTGCTAACAACAGCTAAAACAATGTGCACTTGTATTACTCCTGTCACATAGAATGAATGACATATATGATTGGTGGGGGTGGAGGGGTAGAGGGGAGGAGAAGAGACTGAAGGAAAGTTTCACATGGTGCGGTGACTGGAGAAATGAGTAAGATTAAAATCGGGAGAGTGGAGGGATTTAAAGGTCAGAGCAAGGATCATCGAGTTTTGCAACATAGAAGAAGGCCTATTGTGTCTGCTAGCTCTTTGTAAGCGCAAGTCCCATCTGTCTTGTTGCCTCTTGAAAGTTAATATAGATTTTTTCCTAGAGTATGGCTCATACTCTAGGAAAAAATCTTAACAACTGTAAAACATCCTAAGAACTCCAAAAACATTCCTCCTAATCTCCTTTGCTCCTATAGTAATCTTAAATTGATGCTGTCTAGTCACTGACTCACCGACCATTGGAAATACAGTCTCTTTCAACCCCCTCCTAGTTTTAGAGAACTCTCAGGTCACCAACCTTTTCTGTTCCAGTGAAAATAGCCCAGTTCCTTCTGTTCTGCACGTGGGTCAAACCATCTATCCTTTGTATCGTCCTAGTAAATCATCTCTGCAGCTTCCAATAGCCCAAACCATCTTAAAGAGTGGGCTACTGGGAACCAGTGGAGACTGATGGGAGTAATAAGTGTGCAGAGGCTAGTGCTGAATAGTGTACAAGCTATATTGGAATTGGAACTTGTGGGGATGGAGCTGGAAGGCTGGTAGGAGAGCATTGAAGAAATCTATCCTCATATGAGGTAAATGCGCAGTGTTACAGAGATGGAACATCTCTTAGCCCTGGCCTAGATGTGGGATATGAGGCAGAGCTAGAGATTCTAGCAGAATGGCAGGATTGTGCACCCATTAAACTTAAGCAAGAAGCCAGGATGGAGTTGGAACCAGAGGTGAGATCCAAACAAGATGATTTTAATTTTGTTGAACATTTAACAGAAAGAAGTCAAGGCTCATCAGGAACTCATCATCAGCCAGAATAGTAATAATTCCCGAATTGATGGTGTATAGTAGAGCTGGAACTATTTGTATACATTAGACTATACAAATAACTTTTTGGTTTTGTTTGCAGTTTACGAAATGGATTTGCTGCAATGTCAAATATTTCAATTGTGCCGCTGTTATCCTGAAGGGCTTCTACTGTCTCAGCTTCCCAGTCTCTATGAACAGACACACATGGTACCATTAAAACCGTCAGCTTATGGGTTCAGCTCCCTAATGGACCTGTTGGAAGCAATGAATGATGTTTTAATCTTGCATTTTGATGGACGCAATTGCATTATAAAGACAACGGGCAAGAAGGAATCCAAAATATTCAGACGTTCATCAGACTGTGAATTGGAGAAATTGCCACAGCTCACAACATCTCAATTCCAAAAGCCGGCTCAAGGTAGGGAGCTAGCAACTTTTGTCTATTCACAAATAGTAAGACATGGACTTTTAATAGTGAGATCATGATCATGGCATTGCCATCGGCAAATTTCAAAGTGAATATCTGGCACTTTCTAATGGTAGGAGAAATCAAGAAGGCCTAATTCTGACTCTGTCCTCGCCTAACTTTGACAAATTTGGACCATCTCATACAATCATCATATTGCATTCAGGAGTGGGAACCATGGCAAATCCCTTCCCTAACTCTATGCCAACGTCAATTTTACAACAACTTGCATATATATTCACACGGGGTAGAGTCTCGAAACACTTAACAGACTGAATCCGTTGATGCTAAGTCAGGAAAAGAGGGAGGTTCAATCTGAAGACAGGTAAAGAGGGATAAGGTAGAGGGATTGCGTTTGTAGTTTTTTGTGCTACAATGCAGAGGGTAAGAAGTGTGATGGTTTTACTGTTTAGTATGTGTAAATGTCAGAAATTGTCTTTTTCATAGATTCTGTCAAGGCCGGAGTGTCGGGTATAGAAAGAAAGATGGAATGCAGTATTAGCCTGCAGGGAAATATATAAAATTTTATGTTAGAGACTGAGTTTTTCTGTGCAATGTTTTTTTTTACTTTGAAATAGTTAGGATACTTTAAAACTGATATTTCAAGCCTGTATTCAAGCTACATCCTTTCTGAAAACATATCCTTCTCTTCCAGTGTATGATATTGATAAACTACGGGGTGAGCTCCTAACACTTCTTAGTTGTTATCCTGGAGGCATCCGTTTAAACCAAATAACCGGGATTTACAGGAAGAAATTTAATCAACGTTTGAAAGCAAAACGCTATGGATTTGACAGTTTAGAGGAAATGGCAATATCAATGGATGATATTCTGGACCGAACCCACACTGAAAGAGGGATTGTTGTCAAAGCTAATTCTTCACTGGTACACGTACTAAAGAGCAAAACCATCAAAAATCTGAACGCCACTATCTCCTTGTCTGCGATACAGCCTTTAGTGCAAAAAGAAGCTCAGATTCAAAGTCAACCAACTTATTCACTGGATCTACAATATCAGTCAAAAGGTAATATAATCTATTCAAATATCAAATCTGACATACTTTATGTTATAAAAGCAGTGTTTGAATCTTATTTTCAACATTCTTCTGACAGTCTGATGCATGTGGTAGGCATTGGTTTAATATCTGGCCATCCACCAAGTGAGGGCTCAAACTCGAACTTGTCGGATGTTGAACGACCCAACTAGTGACTATCCTCTTTGGCAGGGAGGTAAGCTGAACTGGCTCCAAGGTGTTTGGCAATGGTATGTCGGAATTGAGTCAGCCCTCTGGCGGATTTGGTAGTCCAGTTCCTGAGCCAGGTGGGTCTACAATACTCCAGGGCACTGCTGATGACAGCACAGCTAACCTCGCTCATTGGCAGGACTTGGAAGGGCATAACAGTCACTGGAGGCAGGGAAAACATTATAATATTGTGCATCAGCCTGGTACAGTTGATAGCACTACCCTGGCTTCTGAATCACAAAGTTGTGGGTTCAAGACCCACACTGGATCTTGAAACTCATAATAATAATAATAATAATAATAATCCTTGCATTTGATATAGCGCTTTTCACGTCGGGAGGACGTCCCAAAGCGCTTCACAGAATATACTGTAAAGTGAATTGACTGTATATTTGTGGGCGAACGCGGCAGCCAATTGCGCACAGCAATGTCCCACAAACAGTCGTAGATTGAAAATGACCAATTTATTATTGTTTTGGGTTTTTTGGAGGGATTATTATTAGGCTCTGTGTGGAGTAAGGAAACTTGCCCAAGGTTTCGCCCTGACTGGAATTGAACTCAGGTCTCTCACTTGCAAAGCGAGTGCTCTAACCACTGAGCTACAGGACTCATATAATCCAACTTTCCAGTGCAGTGCTGGGAGAATGTGGTATGATCTAAAGACAAAGAAAGAGGAGGCAAGGCAGAAGGATTGAGGCAAAAACAAATTGTGTGACAATGCAGATGATTAGAAGTGTGATGGGTTTGCTGTTTAGTACATGTCAGAAATTGTCTACTCCATAGATTCTTTTGAGGTCAAAATTGTCAGATATAGAAAGCAAGGAGTATTAGCCTGCAGAAAAATATATGAAGTTCATTGTGGGAGGCTGAGCTTTTCTATGCAATGTTTTTTATTTAAAATACTTTCAAACCAGTATTTTTAAGCCTGTATTCAAGCTAAATCCTTCTGAAAACAGACTCTTCTGTTCCACATTGCTAAACTACAGGGTGAGCTCTTTACACTTCTTAGTTGTTATCCTGAAGGCATCTGTTTAAAACAAATGCCTGGGATTTACAAAAAGAAATTTGAACAACGTTTGAAAACAAAACGCGTTGGATATGACAATTTAGTGGAAATGGTAGAATCAATGATTGACATTCTGGACCTAACCCACACTGCAATAGGCTTTGTTGTCAAAGCTGAGGCTTCACCTGTAATAGTGGACAATCTGAACTCCATTGAATCATCATATGCAATTCATCCTTTGGGGCAAAAATCTCAGATTTACAATCAAACATTCTATCCACTGGATTTATAACACCAAGGTAATCTTCTAAACTAATAAAACGACAATGTCTGTCTGCATCTGTATATCTGACACTCACGCAATAACCGACTGACGTAGAGACATGATATATACCTCATCGGAAAGGTCTTACATCTTGGCATGGGCATATTGTTTTGGGGGGGGAATCTCCTATCGTTGAGGAGCTATATTAAGAAAAACTTTAATTAAGCCCCAAAATATGAGGTATATGCATCGTGTTTTGTAACTATGTAGCAACAGAGGAAAGTACACGTCTATATTCTGCAACAGATCTATGGCATTTTTTTCTGGTTGTCATGGGAGCTAGAGTTCTCCCATGTGGGACAAACAGAGAGATAAACTGAGATAGTGAGAGAGACCGAGAGAGAAAGAGACTGGGAGAGAGAATAAATTATAAAGTGTAGTGACTGTGTGTTTTGTGGGAGAGACATAAAGACAGGGAGACTGAGAGAGAGAGCTAGAGAGAGGGAAGGAGAGACAGAGAGAGACTGAGAGAGGGAGACTGGGAGAGAGAAACTGAGGGAAACACAGAGTGAGAGAGAGACTGTGAGAGAACATATATTAAAGAAGTCCTGCCACTGAGTCCTCCCAAATGGAGTCCTCCCATAGGAGTCCTCCAAGCTGAGTGTAGATAAAGACAAAATGTCTGTCTGTGTGTCAATCTACGTTCATTTGGATCCTTTGGTTACAAGCGAAGCTGCAATGGGTACAGCTAGTATAATCTGTTTAAATATCTAATGTTTGACATATCTTATATTCTAAAAGTAGTGTTGGGGTCTACTTGTCTATTTGTTTTAATTTCTATCTTTGTCATAGGTGAACGTTTTATCAGTGCTTCAGGGTGAAATTGTAAAATTATTAAAATATCACCCTCATGGAATTGCAATGAAGAAGATCAAAAAGTTGTACCAGCAAATGTATCAACGGAAATTGAACTTGGCTAGCTATCATTTAAAATCTGTTAAACACCTGCTTAAATGTATGAAGAATGAGGTGTTAATTCAAGAATCAGGAACCTATCCTGTAATTTTTGAAACTGAGTGTACATCAGGTAGGTTTATACAGGGATTAAAAAATGATTTCACAGTAACAGCCAAGGTGGTAAGATTGAAAATACCAATAATACAGAAAAAAAATGAAACTAAATTCAAGCTTGTCATTGAATTCCACACCTGGAGGTAGCAGCTTCAATTGCAAATTGTCTCCTGTTTGGAAGGTGATTTATGTGAGTTTCATGAATGTTGATAGCTGAATCAGCTTTCTGTTTTGATTCTGCTCAAGATGAGAGGGAAATGGAAAGTGAAAGTAAAGTAGGGGAATTATACTAATACAACATAGTGTTTTCTAAAAGTGAAAATAACCTCTGGGTATAGAAAAGTGAGCCCATAACCTTGTTCCCCACTAAAAACCTAATGGAATTCCTGAAAGCGTGACTTTAGTATTAATATGCATTTTGGAATACAAGTTTTTTGTTTTGGAAGCCTAACTCCCTTTGTTGCATTTCTGATATCAGATTAGTTTCAGTTTCCTTGCATCATTCCATCTTGATGCTTCTCATTGGATGCCTGCTTTATAGCTGTTGCGACACAAGGAAGAGTAGGAGCACAATATTGTAAAAGCAAAGCAGGATGTTGTGTGCAAGCTCCTAATTTCTGCTGTGTAAAACAAGCCGATATAACTGAATTTGTATTGTACGGTAAGCAGATATCTATTTCTGCAGGAAAATGTTTTGTATGGATTGCTTTGTTCTTTTAATGGTAACATTATAATTCTACATCTTTATTTCAGATTCAGGTAGTGAGTATAAGAGATTTAATGGATTATAATGAGATATGTCTGATGAGGTGTTTTTTTAGAAAAATGATAGATATTATTCATTCACAATATGATACAAAATGTGTTGTGTTTTATTATCGGCTAACTTGCAAAGTACTGTACTTTTGAAAGTAAGACAGTTTCCGTATATTCTATTTGCATCTATGAAAATGTGGTTTGGGGTTTATATTCTTCCAGTGCTCACCATACCATATGTCTTAATACAAAAGGCTGTTAAATTACTGTGCTCCCCAGGCACTGAAGATCTAACCAGCTGCTATAATAGTAGTAATAATAATAATAATCCTTGCATTTGATACAGTGCCTTTTCACGTCTTCGAGACATCTCAAAGCACTCCACAGAATATTCTGTAAAGTGAATTGACTATATTTTATGGGTGAAACTCGGCAACCAACTGCGTACAGCAATAGAAAATAAATGAGAGTGGTCACAAAGGTGGCGGTTTCAACCGCCCTTCCGATCCCCATTTTTCTTGGTCTTCGTCCAACTGGAAGGCAATGCCTGAACTTAACCCAGTTGCACAGTGCTGTATCTGAGCTCAGGAGTTTGCCTTGTGCTGAATCGAGTGGGCAACAAGCAGTGCAGTACCATTCAGCCTCAATGAGTTGTGTAATGATAAATCGAAGAAACTCTTTTCCAGGTTGTAAGGAATAAACAATAATAGTGTTACAACAAAAACTTGCGTTTATATAGCACCCTTCACACGGGTAGCGTCTCCAAGCACTTAATGGGAGCGGAGCCTGATGCCGGGGAGGGGGGGGCGATGACCGTAAGTACTGTCGAAGAGGAAGCTCTTCAGGCGTGATCTGACAAAGGGGAAGGAGGGGCAAGGCGGAGGGATTGAGGGAAAGAGTTCTGAAGTTTCGAAGTGAAGTGGCTGTAAGCACGGCCGCCAATGGTGGAGCGGAGGGGACGAGGGACAAACAGGAGGCTGGAGTCAGCTGAGCTAAAGTGGCGGGTGGTGGAATGTGGAGTAAGCAAATTGGAGAGATAGGGAGGTGCCAGGGTGTGAAGGGATTTGTAGTTGAGTGTAAGGCGATCGGGATCAAAGTAAACTTCAATTTGAAAGAAATATATCATTGCACATTATGAGTGCACACGGTTTTGATTAGCTGAATTTTTATCATTAAAAAATTGCTGTCAGTAAAAAATGACAACATCTAGTACTTTTCAAAGCTAAAAGGTTTGATTTTTATTTTGGTACTTGCCCTTTGGCCATACAGCAGAGTTCAGTACCATCAGGTGGGGAATTAAAAGCTACAGCTATGCTCTGCAATAGTCAAGAGGATTTATAGTCATATCTGCATACATTTGGGCCAAAGATCAAATATATTATGTGTATTGTGCTTCATTTTAAAGTCCAGAAAATGAAGAAACTTCACGGTGAAATTCTGGATCTCTTCAAAACCTATCCTGATGGCTTTCCTGAATCAAAACTACCAGAGCTATATAACAAGACATACAAGCAAAACTTAAAGACAAAAAAACATGGATTTCGCTCCCTGCAAGAGCTGATCAATTCTATGAGTCATTTGCTGGTTGTTGTCAACACACCTAAAGGAGTGAAACTGTTGAAACTAAAGCCTCCCGGAGATCCTGGTGTTGTAGAAACGGATGGCAACGAATCACGAGGAGCAACTGCTTCTGGAGGACCTGCACTGGCTGCACACACGGAAACTCTTAACAAAATCTCTTTTGGTTCTTCCACATTTCCATTAGTTCCACAGCAACAAGCAACAGGTAATGTTTTATTTAATTTAAAAATATACAAGTTAAAATTTGTATACAAACTGAACCCAATGTGTAGTAATTTTCCAGTAATACAGAACAAGGGAGTTATTGCTTGGTTTTAGAATATGTAAAGTTCACATGTGAGGGAAAAATAATTCAAATTTTGACACAAATCATCTCAATCAGTTCCAATTTTTATTGGTCACATTGTCAAATAATAGGTCAATATCTAATATGTATCAAATAAAGCAGCAACTACACAAAGAAGATGTTAGGGTAGTGATCGGTCACTTTTCTCTGGGAGAGCTCGGTAAACCTAGCTAGTTTCGTAAGACTCTTCCAACTCCCTTGTGTTAGCAGCCCATACTTAACCTCAATTTGGCACGCTCGCACGTAATATTAGATAATGGGTTTTAAACCTCCAGTTAATCAACCAGGTCTCAACTTTAACCCAAAAAATGTTCGTCATGGCCCCATGACCTCACTGTGTTATTTTCGTGAGCACTCATGTTGTTGTTGCACTTTCTTGAGAGTCCTTACTTCTGATCTGGAAGTTCTGTCAACACATTTATCTGACCTTGCTTTTGCCCCATTTAGCCTCCTGGGTGTCCACTCATAGTCCTTGACACATTGCTTTTGAGCAATATGTTGTTTCTGCACAGTCCTTGACATCCTGCAATAATTTTCTTGCAGTCCTCGCTTTGACACCAGGCGAGCATCATATTAATCTTCTGTACATTCGCCTCACTTATATTCCCATTCTTCATGCCTTTCCTGCGCCTGCCTCATTTCCCTTCCTAACCTTCTTGTATTGAATTGAATTCTTGTTCAGTCTCTGGGCTAGCTTACTGACATCCAGAAGTCAGACATCTGTCACCACCTTCAATTAACAAACAAATTCTAAACTATCTGGTTTATTTCACATATATTGTTACCTTGTTTCCCTCCTTCCAATTACCCCCAAGACCATCTTATTAAAACATTCCTTCTCTACATAACTGACATTAGATAAGGATGGCAAAATCTATCTAATTACACCACTTCTTCACCTTTTCACCAAACACGGACCATTTTTCACATACACAGACCATCTTTGACATACTGTAACCTTTTTCCGACCTAAGTGTACCAGACAGAACAAGAACATTAGATAAAGGACAGACACCCGTCGTTTCTAGCAGGTAAACAAGTTATACAAGTACAAAAGCAAGGACATTAGAAAGGAAATTATGGTTATAAAAGTCCAAAAATCACAAGAGTACAATCATCAGTGATTTTTTACTTAAAAGTACAACAGTATAAATGTTCTGTAGGTTTCCGTTATAGACAAAATACATTATGATCAACTTAACAGTTTCATCAATCTACAATATTAAAATGATTTAAAATACAGTAAAACTCACATAAGATTCAGATGAAGAAAGCATTGAAACCCATTTGATCTTCTTTTCAATATGCTCATCTTCCCATTTTCCAGTTATGTCGTAGGTTGTTTCTTAAATGTCTGGTGTGCTGGTGAGTGTCCTTAGCTACTCTTAGTCAAGCTGTGCTGCCCTAGACTAATAATAATAATAATCCTTGCATTTGATATAGCGCTTTTCACGTCGGGAGGACATCCCAAAGCGCTTCACAGAACACACTGTAAAGTGAATTGACTATGGTGCTTAAGAGTCTTTTCACTTTGCCCAACTTAACCTGTCTGCCCCTAAGAATCAAAATCAACAAACATCCCTCACACTGCTCCTCTAATAGCATAGCGCAGGGTGGTCCAACCTTTTGGCTGCTGTGGGCCAGATTCCCTATTCGGGAAAGTTCCACGGGCCGCATAAGCACTATTTTGTGTTTCCAAACATGAAATATTGCTCATGTTTCTTTACTTTTTTCACGATGGGAGGACGTTTCAAAGCGCTTGACACTGTCGGCTGGGCACCTGAGCTGGGGATGGGAACCAAGGGAGGTGGGAGGGGAGAGGAAAAATGGAACAAAAGCTTGAACAAAGAGTTAGGTCTTGAAGTGTGTTGAAAGAGCGGAGGGAACGATCAAGTTGGAGGGACTCCAGGAATGGAACTCTAGAAAGCAGGGGCAAAATATCGATGGTGGAGTAGATGCTGTGGGGGGGGACATGAAGCAAGTTGGTATTTGCTCTGCAAAGGGAACAGCCGGGTCGGGAGTTCTTGGTGGCGAGGGGGGTACGTAGACAAGTTTTTCACTGGTGAAAGAGGGAGGTCGCTGTGAGGCAACTGCTCAGGCATGTCACTCAATGTGTGTCCTCAGTCCCCCTGAGGTGGATGAGGGAGGTTCCGATCAGCTGTCCTGACAGTGAACCAACCACCAAACCGCTGCCCTCAATTCTCCTCTCTTTCTGCTCTCGCACACTTTTTCTTTCTCTCTCTCAACCTCTCTATCAATCACTCTCCCTTCTCTCTCTCTCTCTCTCTCAATCATTCTCTTTCTACCCCCCCTCCCCCTGCCACATACTCCCTTGCACACACTTTCTCCCTCTCTCACAAACTCTCTGAATTACTTTCTCTCATGCCCCTCTTACACCCCTCTCCCCTCTCACACTGACTCTTCCCTTTCACACTCTCTCCCCCTCCTCGCTCAATCACTGTCCCCCTCTACTCTCACTCTCTCACACACTCTCAATTATTCTCTCACTCCCCATCATTCCCACACACACTTCTGTATCCCTTCTTACACTCTCGCTCAATCATTCTCTCTCTGCCTGCCTCTCTCTGTTTCTTTCTCTCCCCCTCTCACTCATACTGTCTCTCTTCCCTCTCTCAATTGCTGTCTCCCCCATCTCTCTCAATCGCTCTCCCTCCTCATACTCTCTCTGAGTCACATTATCTGCTCACATCCTCTCTCAATCACTATCTGTCTCTCTCCCACTCTCTTGTCAATCACCCTCTCGCTCACAGTCTCTCTCTCACTCTCTTCACTCCTCCTTTCTCACCTCTCTCTCACACACAGTCCCCTCTCCCTCACTCAATCACTCACACTCCTTCTCCTTTCCCCTCTCGCCCTTTCCCTCTCACCCCTCCCCCTCTCTCTCCTCCCACCTCAATCCCTCTCTCTCCTAATCAGCCGTGCAGTTCACTATCTGCAGCGGCAGGAGCCAGCGCTTGCCAAGGACACAGTGGATAAGGAGGCGCCTTGTCAGGAAGCCCCTCCCTTCAACTTGGGAGGGATTTCCTGACAGACTGTAACAACAGCTGGCATTATTTCCACTCACCACGCTGTGTCCTCCCAATCGACGGCTCCTGCCACTGCCATAGGAAGATGTTCACCAGGGAGAGAGGGAGCGGAAGTTGGAATGTTGGAAATGGTCTCGGACAGGACAAAATCACCCAGTTGGCTGAATGCGGCCCATTAACTGCTAGTTGGACCATGCTACCCTAGAGGACAAATGCCTAGTGGGAACAATCAGCCTTTCCTGCCCTCCGACAATCACTTCATGATTTCCTCTTGTACTAGCTGTACCCGTTATAGCTTCACTTGCAACCAAAGGATTCAATATGGAATGTAGATTGACAGACAGATGGACAGACACAAAAACACAAACATTTTGTCTTTATTTGTACTCAGCCAGGATGACTCCTGTGGGAGGACTCCTTTAATATATTTTCTCTCAGTCTCTCTCTCTCTCAGTCCCTCTCTCTGTGTCTCTCTCTTTCAGTCCCTCTCTCTCTCAATTTCTCTCTCTTGATCTCTCTCTCTCAATCTCTTCGTCCCAGTCTCTCTCTCATAGTCTTTCTATCGGTCAACAACAACAATTTGTACTTATATAGCACCCTCCATGCAGAGTAGCGTCTCAGAGCGTTTATCAGTCTCTCTCAATCTCTCTGTCTCTCTCAATCTCTTTCTCCTAGTCTCTCTTTCTTAGTCTCTCTCTCTTAGTCTGTCCCTCAGTCTTTTTCTGTCTCTCCCACAAAACACACAGTCACTACATTTTATAATATATTCTCTCTCTCAGTCTCTTCCTCGGTCTCTCTTACTATCTCAATCTCTTTCTCAGTCTCTTTCTATCTGTCCAACATGGGAGGTTTCTAGCTCCAATGACAGCCAGAAAAAAAGTGCCTTATATTTATTGCAAAATATAGATGTATTTCTTTGAACGGTGTGCGCTTTCCTCTGTTGCTATGTAGTTGCAGAATACAATATACACCTCATATTTTGGGGCTTAATTAAAGCATTTTTTTAATATAGCTCATCAACGATAGGAGATCCTCCCCCCCCCCATACCAAAATATGCCCATGACACTGCCAGATGTAAGACCTTTCCGATGAGATATAAGTCATGTATCGGTTATTGCGTGGGTGTCGAATACACAGATAGACACTTCGTCTTTATTAACATAGATTCTGTGTTGCCCTTTGCACAGTTGGAATGTTGGAAATGGTCTTGGGTAGTTCAAGACAAATATGCAGAATAAAAATTAATGTTCTGCATTGTTTTCATTAGTAAACCTGAAGACACCTGCACCAATGCCTCAAATGAAGCCAGGACATGCCAACAGCATTTTTAGCGGCTGGCCACATTGGGGCTTTACTTCTAGTTTGACACAGGTACAGTTACAACATGGCAGTTCAGAACATCAATTGCCCTTGGGGGCTTGCTCATCAACGAGTACAAAAGATTGTGTACTAAGTGGAGAAAGTGCAAAGCTAAGAGACCGGGCCGAAGGAGCACTACCCAAGAAGAATCCTATGTCCACAATCTCCTTTGACAGTGACATTGAAAAGATCTTGGACACACAGAAATTGACTATGCCTCCAATTAGCCAAAGCAACATTGGTTCAGCCAAGAACCAGCTGACAGAACATGAAGCTTCACCCGGAGTCTCCACAGCATTCTCCGAAGACTTTCCTGAGCTGGACCCAAAACTGACAAAATTGATGTTGAGAAAGCTTCAAGAGGAAACACTACATAAGAAGAGATCGGCGTCTCGATTCTCTGATAGGTACTATGCACAGATAAGGGAGGAGCATAGTTCGGTCATGCAAGCAGTTGAAACACTGAGTGCAGACACACTTGTGGGTGGAGGCAGTCGTCAAGTGGATGTGGAAACAGTGAACCAGCTAACTCAGGAATACATTCGGGCTCTTGCTGTTGAAGGAGAACATGTCACTGAAGAAAAGGTTTGTTGTAATTGATGAAAGAAAAGTTTATATTTTTCATCTGTAGATTACCAGCATATTTCTGTTCTTGTGAGCTATTGCTGTGGTAACATGGAGTTATACCATGGTGAGCATTAGTGTATGCCCCAATTCCTTTGTTAACTCTTTTCCTGAAAGCCCTGATGCTTAGTGCGGTTACACAGTTTCTGACCATCGTTTGGTGTGTGTGGCTCAGGTTCACAATGGTTTTACTAACTGAGCCATTAAGCACCTTCCAATGTATTTTTAATAAGCCTTTATTGGCGTGTAGAAAACAAATGTTACTAACAGCGTAAAATATTAAAGTAGACTAAATCCCTGGCTAACCAGACTAATGGGGGAGAGATCTGGTCCGGCTAGTTGGATATTCTGGCTAAGTATTATTCCTAATCCTAAGATTTAAAAATAATAAAATAATTGTGGAGTCCTGTAGCTCAGTGGTTAGAGCACTCGCTTTGCAAGCGAGAGACCTGGGTTCAATTCCAGGCAGGTCAGGGCGAAACCTTCGGCAAGTTTCCTTACGCCACACAGAGCCTAATAATAATCCCTCCAAACAACAACAACAACAACAACAAGATTCCATTTATAGAGCGCCTTTCACGTCAGGAGGACGTCCCAAGGCGCTGCACAGTTGGGTCATGACCCGAGCAGGGGGGAAATGGTCAGGGTGAGGGGAGGGAAGGGAGGGAGAGGAGGAGGGGGGAAATGGTCAGGGTGAGGGGAGGGAAGGGAGGGAGCGAGGAGGAGGAAGAGAGTCGAGAGGGGAGCTGAAGGCACGGTCAAAGAGAAAGGTTTTGAGACCGGCCTTGAAGGAGGAAAGGGAGGAAGCAAGGCGAAGGCACTGGGGGATGGAGTTCCAGAGCCTGGGGGCTGAGAGGCTGAAGGCCCGACCACCGATGGTAGGGCGGTTGGGGCGGGGGACGTGGAGCAGACCGGAGCCAGAGGAACGGAGGGTACGGGCAGGTAGGTAGGGGGATAGTAGGTTGGAGAGGTAGGAGGGAGCGAGGCCGTGAATGGCCTTGTAGGTGAGGATGAGGATCTTGAAATCAATCCTCTGGGGGATGGGGAGCCAGTGGAGGCGAGTGATGTGATCGCGAAGCCTGGTGCGGGACAGTACACGAGCTGCAGAGTTCTGAATGACCTGCAGTGTGGAGGGAGGTGGTGGGAAGGCCGGCGAGGAGAGTGTTCCCATAGTCCAGCCTTGAGGTGACAAAGGCGTGAACCAGGGTTTCAGCCGCGTGAGGGGTGAGGTAGTGCCGTAATCTGGCGATATTCCGGAGGTGATGGAAGGCGGTGCCAGTTGTGGTGCGGATGTGAGGGAGAAAGGACAGCTCAGGGTCGAGGGGAACCCCGAGGTTCCTGACTGGCTTTGCGAGGTGGAGAGTGCAGCCTTGGATGCTGATGGTGTCAGCGCCTGAGGTGCGGAGGCGCTGACGTGAGCCAATCAGGAGGGCCTCGGTTTTTCGCACGTTGAGCTGAAGAAAGTTGTCTCTCGTCCAGGACTCGATGTCAGACAGGCAGGCTCCAAAACCAAAAAAATAATAAAAATTGGTCCTTTTCAATTGGACTGTTTGTGGGACATTGCTGTGCGAAATTGGCTGCCGCGTTCGCCCACAAATATGCAGTCAATTCACTTTACAGTGTGTTCTGTGAAGCGCTTTGGGACGTCCTCCCGACGTAAAAAGTGCTATATCAAATGCAAGGATTATTATTAAGTGTTTTTAAAAAAAAGTCTCCCTGACATTTAAAAGAATAAAAATGATTTTTAAATAAATAAGATACAAAACAATGTTCTGCAGTTTTGTACTCACCATTGTCAGTTGTTAATTGAACTCTGGGCATCGATGTAGTTGTGTTAATGCCCGTGGCAAAACCAATCAGTGTGGGCATCACATGGGTTGGCGGGAGTTTGGAATTGGCGAGTGGACTTTTGGCTTGTGGAATCACAGAATTTTATTTGGGATCTCGTCCAGCAAATTCCAGATACTTGGGGTTAACTGGGGGTTACTGTGTTATATATAGAATACCTCAGACATCCAGAGGTCAATAACCTTCATTGTCTTTCACCTTCTTCAGGTATTGAGTAGAGTTTGCAGATATTTAAGGGTACAATCACTTAAAAGGATTGGGATCTGGTCCCCATCAAGGCAAATCCCTGCAATTCAAGACCTTCGCCGTACACAACGAGAAGTCACTGTTTATATTGAGGTAAATAGGAATTGTTGGAGATGGGTGGTGGGGGGGGGGGGGAGCTGGTTAGTGACTTTTATATGAGGGATTGCTTCTTTTGCTGCTTCTGCAAATATAATTTACTTTCTCTTCCCCCCAATGCGCTATTCCCTAGGTGAAATACCTGTCAGAGTACCTTCTCCCAGCTACTGTAATTGGTTGGCCTAAGAGTGCAGTGGAGAGTTTCTGTTTTGAGGCCAGTGCTGGTATTTATAAACCTTCCGAGAGCAGGAGCAACAGTAGCATATCACTCGGGAATGTCGAAGCTAGAAAGTTTTCAGATATTGGTGCAGAAATCAACCAGAGTTACTGAATACAAATATCATACAAATATCTTACTGTGTGTTCCCAGCGACTGCTGTCTTTATTTCAGATTTCCAGCATTTGCAGTATTTTGCTTTTTGCTTTTGTTGTTTCTGATGTGTGTTGATTTCTCTCTCGGGTGGGCTTTGTAATAAAAATGAATTAGAAATAATAAACTAAGTAACGAAATTTAATGAATTAATAAACACGACTGTTTGTGGGACACTGCTGTGCGCAATTGGCTTCCATGTTTCGTCCACAAAATATACAATCAATTCACTTTACAGTATATTCTGTGAAGTGCTTTGAGACATCTCAATGAAGTGATAAGGCGCTATATCAAATGTAAGGATTATTATTATTACAGATAGTAATTCTTCTGTCCTAGCTCATTAGCAAGGCTAGCTAATGTGCAAATCTCACTAAGATTTGAAGGGAAATTATCTCAATTATGACATCCGTAGACCCGGAATAGCTTTATTTTAAACTTGGAAACTAATTTAAGAATTAATGAATACGGCTTCTAATAAAGAATTTTGCAAAATACTGTGGTGATTTTAAATTTTAAAACCATTGTTCTGTAGCTAAGACCAAGAAGACTTTTGTCCCTCAGATATGCTGAATAGCATAGCATCTCCCAGGTGAAAAGATGGCTTCACCCGAACACAGATTCCCTGTAAGGTGTGATTTGGAATAGGTTTATGACTGCATCTGTAGTGCTTCCCCTTTAAATTGGCTCCCATGTTTTTTATAGATCAAAAACTTGAAGGATCACTCAGTGTTAAGAAAAAATATAATTTGTTTCTAAATTTACATTTGAAGGCTTTTGAGAGTATTCGAAGCGTCTGCACCCTTTATGAACTGAACAAGTGCTTAGCAGCACTGAAGAACAAGAACAACTTTGAAGAGCTGAACCTCGGCCCTTTATGCAAGCAGCCCCTCGTGCACAGGATGTTTAAAGCACCTCTATCACTGAAGGATGAGGACATATTTGAAGTTGAGACGGTGGACGTTTTGCAGGTGCGGCATTAGTTTCCTTTTTCTTAAATCTCTCTTTGTTATGTATGTTTCCCTGGAGAGGACACACCAGCCATTTTCTACCTTCACACAAACTCGTAACTGAGATCAGCCCTGAGTTCTTGGATGAATTCAGGAAAGCAGAACTATCATCATGCACATGACTGCACAAACTGCTATGTTGGTGGGTTATTGCAAGCTACAATGTTTATAAAGTTGCCTTTTTCCAGATATGAAGGCTCTCTGGACACACTACCTCATGGGTTTATAAATTTGAAATTTGTTTGAGATTGTTGTTTGTAGTTTTAATGTCAGTTTAGATATTCACAAATGCTCGTTTGTTTCTCTTCCTCTCCTAGAGTTTGCGTGCATATAGAAAAATCACAACAGGGTCAAAAATAGATCTTGCCGAATTTATAAAATATTTAGCAGATAAATATCACTGTGATTCGCCCTATGAACTTGGAATCAGAATTTCTAGCATTGGGCTTTTGATATCGGTAAGTTTATTTTCATTGGAAAATGCTTTTATTTCCATGCACCCCAGTGCATGTCACCTGAAAACTGATATTTTTAGTCTTTTCCCTGTATCATAGGAGCTGTACTTTACCTTTTCTTCTGCCTTCACTTACCTTCACACAACACTGCTGTTTCACTATTCGAGTCACACAATTGGCTGAGATTCAAGTCACAAGAATAATTCAGTGACTAGGGCCCATTGGCCCACTTCATCTCATCCTTCCACAATACTAGTCTTCCTATTGTAGACTCTAGCTATTATTTGACTGAATCCAGTGTCCTGGCCTCATTGTGTTTATGATATGATTACCTGCTGCATGTTGGGAGCCTGGTCTTTCCATACTATTACAAAATAGCATCAAAGGGAGATTTCTCCCTGAGGAAGAAGAGAAAATAGTGGCTGTTCCCAAGGGTCGTGGTTGTGAAAAACCTAAGTTTTGGATGCAGAGAGGCTTTGTCACTGGGAGTAGATAGTTTATCTGTGCTAAACTGTTAGCTGGTGAATAGCTGCTGTGGGAGAAAGTGGGAGGCAAGATACTACTGTAAAAAGAGATAAAGGAAAGACTGTTAACTCATTTAGTATGTGATATTATGCTGGTCAGACGCTGTCGAAGACTCAAATCAGTGAAAATGCTGCCATGGAGAATGCAAGGAATCGTATCCAGAGGGAAATCGAGGAGGAAGTGGGCAGTCGGATGCAAAAAATTAAGAAGAGCCTTTTAGACCCAGCCAGCGGGCCACAGCTCTATTCTACCAGCGGGAGTCTAGATCTGCGTAAGCACTATGCATCTAGCTCAGCTGTAGATGTTGTCCTGGAAATCTTTTCAAGAACAGAAGGAATTTTCACCAAAAAAATGACCAAGGTAGGTAGTAATGGTCTCATTAACTACTGTATAGGGCATGAACGTGGCTAATTATAGACCTCAGGCCAGACTTAAAATGTGTTGAGTACAGACTATCTGAGAATCTAGATTTCCCAGTGAGAAAATGACCAAACACCAATCCTGGTGTAAAAAGCAATAACAAAATCTAGAAATACATTAAATTTTTGAGAATTTAAATTTTCAGGTGCATATCAGGTTAAAAAAAGTTAATAAAGATGTGTTTGCATTGACTATAGAGGCTCTTTTGTTGGCAGTTCTCACACTGGAGTGAAACTTAGCTTATTAAACATATTCTCATTTGTTTTTCTTTGCTCAGCACATTCAGGACTTTCTGCTAAAGGTGCTTGCTGATCGTTTGGCCCGCACTCTATTCCAGTTAGCTCTTTGCTGTGGAGCTCTGGAAGTTCCTCAGGACTTGGTGGCCAAAGAGCAACCATGTAAGGCTACTGTAAATGCGAATGTGGCCAATAAAACACCGCCTCCCAGTGAGGGTGAGTTCTCTTTTGAAAGCTTATTGAATTATATAGTTTGTCTCGCTTCGTAATTTAGATAGTCCCGTGATATCAAGAAAACCTTTAAAACACCAGTGTTTTTTGCAATTTCTACAATTGAATTGTGAAGTGAGTTTGAGTGCCTGTCACACTGCTGAGTACCAGGGATCCATTCCCAGGGTTTTTCACCTGAAGAACAATATTTATTTTGACTGTGTTTGTTTCTTGTGGTCTTCAGGAGCGATGAAAGAGTATATGCAGAAGAATCTTTCCAGTGTGACTGGTTTTTTGAATCTCACCTATTTATCCAGACTGGAGAGAAAGTTGCTCGATCACTTCAAGCTGGAGGGTTTTTCTAGAACAGGTCATGGTACATTTCTCGAGTACCTTGTCAAACACCCTCAGGCATGTGTGCTTCCTATATTTTTAAGTTATTTAATGCTGTGCTCTGTAAGATGAAGGATGGAGAATGGATCATTTTTCAGCTTTGTTTTATGCCCAAATCTACAACCTATCAGAGTCTGAGTGAATCCAGGACAGTGTACTTGTCTCCTGTGCCTGCTTTCTACAACAACAAATTTGCAATAAGAAATCTATTTATCTCAGTCTTGAATATGTTCAAGGACTGAGATTCAACAGCCCTTTGGGGTAGTGAGTTCCATACATTCACCATCCTTTGAGTGAAGAAGTTCTTCCTCAACTCAGTGTGAAAGGGTTGGCCTTTGATTTTAAGGTTGTGACCCCTGGTTTTAGTTTCTCCAACCAGGGGAAACAATCTCCCACTATCTACTCTATCATGCACTTTGATGATCTTATAGGTTTCTATAAGATCCCCTCTAATTCTTCTATATTCCAGAGAATATAGGCCCAAATTGGTCAGCCTATCCTCATAACTCACCCCCTTCATCCCTGGTACTAACCTAGTAAATCTATGCTGCACCCCCTCCAAGGCAAGTACATCCTTCCTTAAATAAGGAGACCAAAACTGGACACAGTATTCCAGGTGTGGTCTCACCAGGGCCCTATACAGTTGCAGCAAGACTTCCCTACTCTTATACTCTAATCCTTTCATAATGAATGCTAACATACCATTCGCCTTCCTAATTGCTGCTGCACCTGCAGACTAACTTTCTGTGATTGGTGTACAAGGACACCCAAGTCCCTCTGGACGCTAACACATTCCAATCTCTCCCCTTCTAAAAAAATAACCCGCTCTACTGTTTTTGCTACCTACCTTCGCACTTCCCTACATTATACTTCGTCTGCCACCCACCTGCCCAATCACCTAACCTATCTATGTCTCACTGCATTTTTTGAATGTCGTCCTCTGTGTTGACACTTTCTCCTAGTTTTGTGTCATCCGCGAATTTAGATATATTAACTTCGATGTCCTCATCTAGATCGTTGATGTAGATGGTAAATAGCTGAGGCCCAAAGACTGATCCTTGTGGCACTCCCGCCAATCTGAAAAGGACCCGTTTATCCCTACTCTTTGTTTCCTACCCGTTAACCATTCCCCAATCCACGTTAATATGCTCCCCCCAATTCCATGGGCCCTTATCTTTTGGACTAACCTTTTATGCGGCACCTTATCGAATGCCTTCTGGAAGTCCAAATAGACCACATCCACTGATTCACCCTTATCTAGTTTACTCGAAATATCCTCAAAAAACACTATGAGATTTGTCAAACTTGACTTCCCTTTTGTAAAGCCATGTTGACTTGGCCTAATTATATTGTGTTCCCCTAAATACTGCACTACCACATCCTTACTCAATGATTCTAAAATTTTTCCTATCACTGATGTGAGACTAATTGGCCTATAGTTCCCCATCTTTTCCTTTCCACCTTTTTTAAATAGTGGTGTGACATTTGCGATCTTCCAATCCATGGGGACTGTTCCAGAATCCAAGGAATTTTAGAAGATCAGATACAAGGCCTCCACTATCTCATAAGCTCCTCTTTTAAAACCCTGGGATTCAAGCCATCCGGACCAGGGGATTTGTCACTTTTTAGTGCTAACAGTTTCCCTAGCACCACTTCTCTACTAATGAAAATTTCCCTAAGTTGTTCCCTGTCCTTATCCCTTTGGTGCATCTCTATTGTTCGCAGACTTATTGTGTCTTCTAGGGTGAAGACAGATGCAAAGTACCCATTTAGGGACTCTGCCATGTCCTTATCCTCCATTACAACTTCTCCCATCTCTGACTGAAGTGGACCTACATTTACCTCACTAGCCTATTCCTCTCAATGTATTTAATGGGCAGTCAGGTGGGAACACGGAGCAGGCATTTTTGAGTGTGATACCAATACCCCACCAGAATGAATGATTTACAAGGTTGTTTTGCTTTACACAGATGCTGGAAGAAGCTGGTGGAGGCAAATTATTTATAAATAACCAAGATGCTACATCTTGTGGTTTCCGCCCTAGTCACCAGGACGTGTATGAGTTCATCAGGCAATGCGAAAGTCTTGAGGAATCTGTGGTAAGTAAGTCTGTTGCCACCTGGGGTGAGAAGGGACAGAAAGCAATTTTTGGGAGGACTTAGGATACCTGGTTATTATATATAGGAAACCTTGAATTCAGAGTGCGCTGTGTTTTAATCCCGATTGCTTTGGTTAATCTGTTCAGAGTATTTGTTTGACTCTGTCTGTTACTGTTACATTCTTTCTGCCTTTCTAGTTTCCAGTAATTGAAGCAGCACTAAGAAGTCACTTCAGAGTGAAAGACAGCAAAGAGCTTGGTTATGGAACACTGTCCAACATGGTGAAGATGGTGCAACGCCAGATCAAATCACTCAGCAATCATGGAAACCTGCGAAGCTTGGTGCTGTACGAGGCTGCATTGCTTTTTAAAGAATTTATACCTATGTAAGTAGGAGGGAAATTGCACCTGGTGCAAGTCAAGCCAACAATGCTTTGGAAGGTTCTCTTTTTATTGCAGCCGAATTTTGACTATAATTTAGTTTTTTTTTCTTAGTCACAGCAATAACAGTTATTCTGTGGGCCTTCTTGGTGAGCTGAGTAAGGAAAGGGCCCTGTCCTGTTTGTTAAATGCCCCTTTGCTGGAGGATCTTGCAGAATGGTCACAGTGGGATTTGGTATTTGAGCCACAGCACGGTTCACTCAAGGACTTCATTGAAAGGAATTGTGACAAGAAAGCAGCTCAGCTTTGTGTGGAAGGTAATGCTTATTATTATTGTTTGATGCTCACCTTTGATTTGTATTCCACTATTTCTTCACTTTGTAACCAAAACTCAGTTGTGGATGTTGAACAGCAATCTAAATTGTTATCCATTAATAGTATATTGCCATGTACTCGTTTACTGAAGATGTCCTCCACGTTACCAGGATACAGTCTCATTCTCTCCTGTAGGTTCAGATGTGCTCAACGATCTTGTTGCCATGGAAGTAAAACCAGGTGTATTGCTAAGACTCACCACCAATACCAGCCCAGACCTTTTTGCCAAGGCTGCCAAGTTGTATGACCCTGTGGGGACTGCCGGGCATTTGGTTTCCATAGTAACTACCGATGGATTGACCAATGCTCCCCTGGCATTGCTGGCAAATCATATGGAAACTGCGTTGGCAGCATTGGGAGGTTTGCAAGGTGAGATGTATTTAGGGTAGGATTAAAATTAAACATTAAAAGTGACATATCTGTGGCATGTTGTTCCAGATTTCAAACAAAATTTTTATACCAAAGCCCTTTGTGTTGATACACTAATTTAAATGATATCCCGAAGTGTAACTACTGAGTACATAATCTTACATTAGCAAACTATAAACAGATCAGTTTTGAGAGAGTAGATTGGGTTTTCCTGAAAAGTTGTAAGCTCTACCAAGGAAAACAATATAGAAGCAGTTCCTGCATGTCATTTTACTTTTGAGAACTTTAAATAAATTCAAATGGAAAAACAATGTTGTGGTTGCATTCCTGGGAGGAATGTGGCTTCTCTCCTGCTACAAGTATTGTCCATTAAGTGTACTGGGACTCAGGCCTCTTTTAGAGAAAGATTTGTTAGCATTTTATCTACAATGTGATATCCTTTTGGTTTCTACCAAAGCTCTAATCCTAAGGCCTTGCTTGTTCACGCAGCATGCCTCATGATGAATGGAGGAACGTCTTCAGATCGATCTGCTCAGTTTATCCTTGACTGTCTGATCAGAATACCAATAAGGCTCTGCAAGTCACTTCTACACAAGGTAGCATGATGTTCACAGGCACTTTGGGAGGTCTTTGAACTGAGTACGTTTTGTAAAGTGCTGATAAATTGATCCGGATGATATTAATATTTGAGTTTATTGTTTGCAGGTATTTTTGGAGCCATTTTCTAGAGTGATTGGACAATCTGAGTCTAAGGACCTCATGCTTCAAACAGCAAAATGTTCGGTCCGGTATCAAAACAAGCTTCATCAACTAGGAATTCTGCTTGGAGTTACAGAGTGGATGAGGGACTTTCATGGCAAACTAGACCCGGCAAAGCTGTCTATCATTACATCAAAGACCACACAGGTGAGTCCTGTCTACAGTGTTCACAAATAGCAATATTCTCCTTCGCGATATAAGCTGACTAATTTTTCTGTCCTGATTTGGATTCCGTTCCTCTGGAAGAGAGTTTTATGTCCCCGTCCTGTCACTTCCAAGTATCTGTCATTCCCTGTTTGAATCTTTGTGACATTTTTTCTAACCTTGTAAATTGTAACCCAGTTTGTAGATTCCTCCTCTGTGAGCAGCAGATCATCAGCTGTAGGTCTTAGTGAAGGGGAAGATTCTGAATCAGATTCTGACTCAGAGCCCGAAACAACCTCGAGCAGTTCAGGTAAGCATTGTTTAAAAAATGGGAATTCACCTCACATATGGTGTCTAGAGTATAAGATTACAGCTCTCACTGCCTATTGTGTCAAAAAGAACAAATCTATTGTATCAAAAACAACAAATTACATGTGTATAGCACCTTTCTCGTCAGGAGGAAGTCCCAAGGCTGTCAGGAACCCAAGCTGGGGGTTGGGATTAGGACGGGTGGAGGGCAGGAAAGGTAAGGGTGGGAGGATGGCCGAAGGCATGGTCGAAGAGGAGGGTCTTGAGACGTGACTTGAAGGAGGCGAGGGAAGGGAGCAAGGCGAAGGGGCTAGGGTGGAGTTCAAATGGTGCGGGCAATGTCAATAGTGAAGTACTGAAATTTGATATTTTACAGTGCCCTCTCGCGCTCTCTCTCTGAACTAAAAGTTATATAATAACAATCGTTAGATTTGATATAGATCACAATTTGATCACGTCGCTGCAATGTCTCAAAGTGCTTCATAGGATTTATTGTAAAGTGGAGTAGTCATTCTACAACATTTTGTGATTGTTTCTTCTGTTTAAGATAGTTAAGCCTCTTGAGTTAACAAGGTAAATGGTTTGTGGATGTTAAAACCTAAAATTCAACCTAATCTTAGCCTTAAAGACCATTGCTTGACGCTTCCTGTGAGGACTCGGAAATGGTCAAAGTGCTGGAGGCTGCTGCCTTCAAGAGGGATAAAATGGGAGACAGTAAATTGCAGGAACAACAACAGGGTAGCGTTTCAGAGCGCCTAACAGTGGCGGAGCCTGTCTCCAAGCTGTGGAGGGGGGAGGTGGCCGTAAGCACAGTCAAAGAGGAAGGTTTTAAGGCTGGACTTAAAAAAGGAGAGAAAGGGGACAAGGCAGAGGGATTGAGGGAGAGTGTTCCAGAGTTTTGGGGCATAATGACTGAAAGCATGACCTCCGATGGAGGGTGCGAGGGACAAGTAGGAAGCCAGTGGCAGTCGAGCTGAGGAGCTGGGTATTGGATTGGGGAGTGAGGAGGTCAGAAAGGTAGGGAGATACCAGCGAGTGAATGGATTTGAACACGAGTGTGAGGATCCTGAAGTCAATCCGTTCGGTGATGGGGAGCCAGTGGAGCCTGGCCAGAACTGTTGAGATGTGGGTACAGAGTTTGGTCCGGTCAGTATGCAGGCGGCAGAATTCTGAATGAGCTGGATCTTTTGAATGGTGGAGTTGGGGAAACCAGCGAGGAGTGCTTTGGAGTGATCCAAGCAAGAGGTGACAAACACATGCACAAGGCTTTTGGCTACATTTAGGGTAAGGTATGGCCGAAGGCGGGCAGTGTGGCAGAAGTGGAAGAAAGCGGTCCTGGTCAGGGACCAGATGTGGGGGAGGAAGGACAGCTGGGGGTCAAACTGAACACTTAGATTGTGCACTGGTTTGGTGAGTCTGAGGAAGAGCTCAGGGAGGTCAAGGAGTTTAGAACCACAGGAATGAAGACGTTGCTGGGAGCCAAGGAGTAAGGCTTCTGTCCATATTCAGCTGCAGGAAGTTTACACTCATCCAAGCCTTGATGTCTACCAGACAAGCTGATAGAACATCGGCGGACTTGGAGTTGGTGCTGAAGGAAGCAAAGTAGATTTGTGTGTGGAAGTTTACCCCGTGTCTGTGGATGACATCACCCAGAAGGAGCATAAAGATAAGGAAAAGAAGAGGGACAAGGATGAAGCCCTGGGATACTACACATTGCATTTTTAACATTGCAGGTGATGAAGGAAAGGAAAAGTTTGTGCTGGCGATGGAAGAGGCTGACCTGTCCCCATGTGATGAGAAGCTGGAGAATGAAGGTGATGTTGAGGTCCAAACTAGTACTGCACCTGATCCTGCCGATGGCATAAATACAGACGGTTGTGTAATTGATGAAGACCAGGAGAAAGAAACAGAGTGCAGGAATATAATTAAGGATATCAGGTGTGTATATCTGCCCACAACTCAACACAAATTTGGTCAAACGGGAAAGGCTGCAAGGCTGTTTGGAGTGCTGGATATATATGATATGGTTTAGAGGGTTGGGATAGCATCAGAGAGTAGAGAGACCTCTGCTTTACTGTACCTGAGCTTGGAATAGTTGATGATACCTACCAGAAGGGGGGCAATTGTTCGTTTTCACATTTGAAACATGAGATTGTGGGATTCCACAATCTTTCTTCAAAAAATAATCTCACTTCTTGTTTTGTTAGGAAAAGCGATTTTGGCATTGGAGTTGAACTGAATGAAGAGGGGAAGAAGCTGGTGGAAGTTCATCAGAACAGATTAGGCAGAAGCCTGGAGCGATTGTCCACAGAGTTGTACAGTAAAGATACACACTTTGTCTTGGAGCTCATACAGGTAGGTAGTGTAGCTTGGTTGGATCTTTCTCGCTGCTGAGTTCAGAATCCCAGCCCCTACCATTGCACATCTCCTATCCTGGGCAAGTGTTATTCTGAAAGAAATCTAATGCGGTTTATCCTGACCTCTGAGTTAAACCCATCGTGTTCCTCTTTAGACAAAAGGCAAAATACTGCAGATGCTGGAAAACTGAAATAAAAACAGAAGTTACTGGAACACGCAACAGGTCAGGCAGCATCAATGGAGAGAGGAAAATAAGTCAACGTTTAAGGTCTACTAAGCGACCTTAGGTCAATGGTAACTCACTTTCCTCTCTACATAGATGCTGCCTGACCTGCTGAGTGCCCAGCGACTTCAATTTTTATGTTCTACTTTACTTTGTTTTCACCAGACTAGATACAATTTTTAAAAAAATCAATTTCTTTCTAGAATGCTGATGACAACCGTTATCCTGCCTGCAACACCACCCCCAGCCTGTTGTTTGTGGTTGAAAGTAACTGCATCACACTCCTCAACAATGAGTGTGGCTTTGAGGAGAACAATATCAGAGCCATCTGCGATGTGGGTCACAGCACCAAAGGGAAGCATAAGTACGGCTACATCGGTGGGTACCCGTGGAGTATGACAAAATCCTGGCGGAGAACATAAGAACACAAGAATTAGGAGCAGGAGTAGGCCATTCGGCCCCTCCAGCCTGTCCCGACATTCAATAAGATCATGGCTGATCTATTCTGACTCCACCTACCCGCCTTATCCCCATATCCCTTAATCCCTTTATCCACAAGAAATATATCAATCTCAGTCTTGAATATGTTCAAGGACTGAGCAATTGCAGCTCTTTGGAGTAGAGAATTCCATAAATTCACTACCCTCTTGAGTGAAGACGTTTTTCCTCAACTTAATGCGAAAGGCCTTACCCCTAATTTTAAGACTGTGACCCCTCCCTGGTTATAGTTTCTCCAAACAAGGAAAAAAGTCTCCCACTATCTATTCTGTTGTGCCCCTTAATAATCTTATAGGTTTCTATAAGATCACCTCTCATTCTTCGATATTCTAGAAAATATGGGCCTAAATTGCTCAACCTATCCTCATAACTCATCCCCCTCATCCCTGGTACCATCCCAGTGAATCTACGTTGTACCCCCTCATACATACTTTCTTAAATAAGGAGACCAAAACTCCACACAATACTCTCGGTGCGGTCTCACCAGGACCCTATACAGTTGCAGCAAGACTTCCCTACTCTTTTACTCTAACCCTTTTGTAACAAATACCAACATACTGTTAGCCTTCCTAACTGCTGCTGTACCTGCAAACTAACTTTTTGTGACTGGTGGACAAGGACACCCAAGTCCCTCTGAACGCTAACACTGTCGAGTCTCTTCCTTTCTAAAAAAAATCTGCTCTACTGTTTTTGCCACCTAGGTGGATGACCTCACACTTCCCTACATTATACTTCACCTGCCACCTATTTGCCCACTCCCCTAGCCTATCTATATCTCGTTGCATTTTCTTAATGTCACCCTCGATGTTTACTCTCCCTCCTAGTTTAGTGTCATCCGCGAATTTGGATATATTAAGTTCGATGTCCTCGTCTAGAAATTGGCTGATTATGTAAAATACAGACCATAAAATTTGATACACTCTTGCGAACTCCTGTTAAATGAGGTTCCTCTTTTACCTGCTTCAGATAGTGGCCATTTGCCCGCTTCCTTTTACCTCAGCACTTATACTTAATCTTTTTGCCAATTGCCCAACTCAGGCAGTATTGTATGCAACTAAGTAAATAGATATTTAAAGTACAAACCGGTTCTATCCACACTGTCGCCTAATGTTCAGTAAATTCTGATTAACTTGGGTGAGATTTTATTGTCAATTGTCTTCTATTTATGAAATGCACTTTTCTTTCTCTTCTCCCCTTTTCCAAATGTGTTCAGGATTTGGGAAGAAAGCTTCAGCTGGACGGTCACAATAAGCCAAATAGTCTCTTTTTTAACTGTAAACAGTTGAAAGCAGTAAGCAATATAATTCAGTCCTCACAAATGCATCAAAGTGAAACCAGATGGCGTAAAGTTTCTTTTGTATGTCCCCGCAGGCCAGAAGGGCATTGGATTCAAGTCTGTTTTCAAAGTTACCAACAACCCAGAGATTCATTCTAATGGTTTTCACATCCGCTTTGACAAGAACAGTGGGCCCATGGGTTACATCCTCCCTCACTGGGTTGAGGATGAGAGGCCCGTAGACCTAACCGACTTGGACCTGGCAGCCATAAGGTGAGATTCTCTCTCAGGATACAGCATCAGCTGAGGGCCTTTAACAATCACTTACACTTGGAGTCCTGTCGCTCAGTGGTTTGAGTACTCGTCTCACAAGCGAGAGTACCTGGGTTTGATTCCAGGGCAGGGCGAAACCTTAGGCAAGTTTCCTCACTCTACACATCTCTGTTTACCTAGCAGTAAGTAGGAACCCAGTTGTTAGTTGATTGACGGATCGCTTTTCCGGAGGTAATAAATCCTTCAAAAAATATATAATATATTTTAAAAATTTAGTCACTCAATCCACGGCTGTTTGTGTGACACTGCTGTGAGCAATTGGCTGCATATAAATTTACAGTCAATCCACTTTATATTATATTCTATGAAGTGCTTTGAGATGCCTAGAAGACGCGATAATGTGTAATATTAAATGCAAGGATTATTATTATTTTATAGCATCTGGTATTTAGCATGAATATCTCAAAGAGCTTCACAGAAATGAGCAGGGAGAAAGGAGAATTAAAGTTTTTTAAAGAGACTTTTGAAGGCAGGAAGACTCTAACAATATAGAAGTAGTGGTTTATTTAGGGTTTTTCTGAAAAAAGGAATGGAAAGTTTTGTCTTTCAGTATGAAGCATCTAGCCAGGACCTATGTCCGGTGCCATGGAGCAGTGGAATATGTGTTAGTGCAGATCCATAAGTTGTACCAATGCTAATGCCCCAAGATGCTTATGTGAGCAATATAAGTAGAAGTTGTTGTTGTTGAAGATGGTGAGCGAGGGCTGAGCAGTTCCCTGACTTGGTGGGTGGGAGGAGTGTGGGAGGAAAGAGAAAAATATCTTGGAACTGCTAGACCCAGCTACTCTCTGTTACCGCTGAGAGCCATGGGCAGAGGCCTCGGGATAGATGGCCGATCGGCAGATTGGGGTCAAATAAAACAAAGGAAAAAAAACATTTTTTAAAAATTAGCAAGCCACTTGGGATTCATATTGTAAAATACTTAATAGCATTCATTGTTTCAAACACAATTTTCATTTCTCAGATGGACAACAAAGATCATTCTGCCACTAAAGTCACAGAACCAGCAAACCCAGAATCTGTTTCATGATGTGGACCCTTCTTTGCTACTCTTCCTGCACAGGCTTCGCTCAATTACCATCATCAACAAGGTGAGCTGCAACTCCCCCAACTCCATTATCTGCACAAAGAAAGGTCTTGTTGCTGGCGGGTTACCAAACTTAAAACATTTTTTTATTTGGTAAATTTACCCCTTAGATAAATCCTTCCTTCCATTGCTTGAGAGACCAGATGTCAAGAGCAATTGTGGAACATTAGAAAACTAAGCTAATTCTGGTTGAGTGTGTTAAATTACAGTTAGATTTATTTGGCAGTCTATTTTAGTTGACTACATCAGAAAGACTATTGGATACTTTTGTTTTCACTTCCTTCGGAAGGTTGAGTTGAGAGCCCATGGCCAGGCAATAGGTTTATTGCATTCTAATGTTCCTGATGAGAAAAGCTTTATGTCCACCATCCCATCTAGTGGCTAGAATAAGAATTGATGATCTTCCCAACCAAAGACTTGTGAGGAGCAATTCCACCAAGGTCTGTTATTTATGTGGCATTTGAGAGCATCAGAATTTAATGTATTTTTAATTCAGCTTCAATTTTGAAGCTGGTTTTCTGTAAATTCTTTTAAGTGCTCCCAAAATCGACTTCTAGTTAAAACTGAATACAACAAAATTTGGACACCCTGAAATACATAGAATATCTATTTGTATATAGGTATATATAATTAAATATATATTTATATGGCCAGATGGAATTTCTCCCCATCAAATAGGCTGCTATCTCTCTGGGAGAGAGATAATTGGACCACATTTTCAGTTTGATCTCAAAATTGGTCTTGCCTTTTTTCTCAACATTCCATCCGCTGGGATCTATTACTGTAAAGAGCTCTGAGACGCCGTCCGGCGTGGAGGCCGCTGTATAAATCCAAGTTGTTGTTGTTGTTTACTGAGTTCAAGTCATCATTCTTTAACTTGCGGAATATTATGCAGCTACACAACTAATTTCATCCTCTGAATAAAATTCACAATAAGCATTGTGACTGCTTTAATTTTGACCACGATGAATAAATGGGCATTAAAAAAAAAATTGTTTTTTGATCAGGTAAGGAACCAGGATTTCTCTGTGATCCGGCGAGATCTCAATGATAATATACTGGAGATAAAGCATAAGGTTGGAGCTGATCATTGGCTGGTAATAAAGACCATTCTTGATGCAAGAAAGGTGAGACATTCTTAATTATTAGTCAGTTACAATATACAGTAAACTTCTGATCCCTTAACTCTCCCTTAACTTCTGATCCCTTAGCCCCTGTCGCTACCCCAGCGTCTTGGGACATCCTCCTGACGTGAAAGACGCACAAATGCAATTTTGTGTTGTAAGTCATTATGCTACCAATATCCCAGCTGAATTTATTTCTGTATTTATACATATAACTAACTTGACATTCTTAACTCGTCACTGAGCCCATTTCCCTAGTTATCAGGGGTTTACTGTATATTGTTTGTACTCTTTGTATAATGCTGTCTGCTAATACGTCTAGCTTGTGAAACAGTACGTTTGTCAGTGAAAATTTCATTGACCACATTCTGCGTTTTTACAGATTAAAGAGAATGTGGAATGCACTGAATTGGCTCTTGCCTTCAAACTTGACCTTGAGAAGAAGAATGCACAAAACCACAATTTTCAGCCCGAGAAACAACCTGTGTTTGCTTTCTTACCACTGAGAAACTTTGGCTTCCGCTTCATAATACAGGGTAACAGAGTGACAAATGAGCCTCTTGGGTTGCTTTATGTGTCAAAACTGTTGCAGTTGTCACTAAACATGGTCCAGTATTTCAGAGAAATGTATCTTGTGATCAGTAAATCATTATAATTTTTCTTAAAAAAACAAATTAAATCTTTGATATTCTGTGAATTGGCTGGGTTCTGTACAGCTGTGTGTAAGTTGCTGCGGTGCATTAAAGTGCAATTTTTTTTTGATAAATGCCAAATTCTGACATGAGAAAAGCCAGGAAGGCTTCTCTCTAGCATTGTTCTTGAATTGCTTTCAGGTACTTCATAACAGTCATAATCAGAGTAATATCAGTGCCCCGGCACTTGGCTGTTGATGGTGCAGGGAGGTTAATAAAGATCAGGGATGGAAGCATCCTTTTAAAAAGAGAGTTTTACTCATGTGAAGTAAATTATTGATTGCAGTTTGGTGAAGTTTATTGTGTGCTGTACTATTGAAGTTTAGTATTTAAATAGTTTCCTCTTCCAGTTTTTAGTAGATACAGTTTAATTTTAATTCATCAATTTGCCCTCTTATTTTGGACAGGTGATTTTGATATTCCTTCCTCCCGTGAAGACATTGACCGCGACAGTCCATGGAACCAGTGGCTCCGTTCTGAAATCCCACTGCTGTTCCTGCAGGCAATGGAAGTGTTCAATGTAAGTCCACTTTGAATCTCAGCTCACACTTTTGCAACAATATTGTCATTTTATTGAATGCTGTTACCTTTGGAAATCTGTTATATACATAATATATATTTGTGACAAAGTTTACATTAGAACATTAATAATTGTGCTCTTTTTCTACACAGAATCATCCTAACTTCAAAGGGTTAGAAGGACTTTGCCACTTCTTGAAGTTTATCCCTTTGCCGGATGAGATCTTGGATTTCTTCCGACCTATTGCTGGTCAGATTATCCATCTACTTAAAGCCAAGGCCTGTTTACCCACTAAAACAGATAAAGGTAGAGCAGCTCAGCGTGATATTTGTGCTTTGGCTTGCGTTTCCACGAGTATTTCATTCAATATTGTGTCCACGAGTATTTCATTCAATATTGTGTGAATCCTGTTTGTTGCAGATGGCAAGACTGAATACAGATTACCTTCACAGACAGCAATAACACACGATGTATTGGTACAAGAAGTAATCGACTCAGAACTGCTTCAGAAACATCTGAACCTGGCTTACCTGAACCCCAGGATTCAGTCTGAGCTCTCTCCAGCTCTGGCTTCCGTACTGGGAGTCCACAAACTCACCAGTGCCGATATTATTGCAGTTACAAAAGCTATTGCAAAGGAAATAGAAGAGACTGATGACGTGCACAGTGGTAACAAAACTTGCTCTTGCTTTCCTTCATAAACAAAAGCTATGCTTTCAATTTAAGGGACTTGAGTGTGGTGCGGTTGATACATTTTTTTTTGACCTGTTAAGTGTATTTCAGTAGCTATTGGGCATAAAGCCAGTGTAACCAAGCTTGGTCTAAATGTAATGTGTGTTTGTTTTTCACAGATGATTGCATGAAAAGGATTGCAAAGCTGATGGTCTGCAACTACCGCAGCCTGGAGCAAGAGTACAGCAACTTTGACCATCTTGTGGAACTGACGTCCATTCCAATCATTCCGCTCGCTGACGGTACGAAGGTGTCACTGAAAGGTCAAGCCATATTCTTCCCGCTTTTTGATGAAGAGAATTCAGACTTAGTGAAATCCACTAAAGGTGAGAATGGTTTCTGCCTTACTGCTGCATGGAAATTGTACAGAATTATTCATTGCACATGTACATTTAGAAAACTGCTGTGGTAACAGATTAAATTTGGCTTCTGCCTGCATGTCTACCTCTCAGCCTTAGACGTTCCATAAGAATGACTTAGTACGTAGACTTGAGATTTTAGACTTGGGTCCACTTTCATAAGAACACAAGCAATAGGAGCATGAATAGTTTTTTTTTAAAAAAGAATATTTTCTCCAGATCTTTATAGCAATATTCATTTCATCCCATTTGAATTTCATTTGATTTAACTATAAACTGAATCTGATTGAGTTTACTATTGTTTGCGATTTTAAACAGGAATTCAGGAGCTTTATAGGGATCTGAAGACGATCCATCCCAAATTACTCACCTGCCTTGACAACCTGGGCAACTCCCAGGTTCGCAAACTTCTTGAGAAGATGGATGTACATTACCTTAAACCAGAGAAAGTCGTGTTCGAACACATTCTCCCCATCTTAAAGGAGCACAAGTGGCAGGTAAGCTTCCTGGTTAAAAGCATACTACGCTAATGTATAGCCATGTACCACTCTACATAAATCAGTAATAATAATCCTTCCAGTTAATGTCTCCCTCTTTTTTTAAATATATATATTACATATGCACTTGCCTCATAAGCAAAAGGACCTGGGTTTGATTCCTGGGCAGGGGAAACATTAGGGAAGTTTCGTTACTCCACACGCCACTGTTTACCTAGCAGCAAGTAGGAACCTGGTTGTTAGTCGATTGACGGATCACTTTCTGGTGTTAATAATACGTTCAAAAATAAATAAATAATAATAATTTGGTCATTCACTTCACGACTGCTTGTGGGACACTCCAGTGCGGAGTTGGCTGCTGCGTTTCGTCCACAAAATATACAGTCACTACACTTTGTCTCAAAGACATGATAGTCCTGTAGCTCAGTGTTTAGAGTACTCGCTTCACAAGTGAGAGACCTGGGTTCAATTCCCAGCAGGCCAAAACGTTTCCTTATTTCACACGCCCCTGTTTACCAAGCAGTAATTAGGAATCTGTTGTTAGTCGATTGGCAGAGTGCTTTTACGGGGGTAATAATTTCTTAAAAATTAAAAAAAAATACTGGTCATTCAATCCACGACTGTTTGTGGGACGCTGCTATGCGCAATTGGCTGCTACGTTTGCCCACAAAATATAGTCGATTCACTTTGCAGTATATTCTGTGAAGCTGTTTGAAACAACAACAAAATATATCGCGGGATGGAGTTCCAGAGGTTAGGGGCAGAGTGGCAGAAGGCCTGACCGCCAATTGTGGGGCAAGCAAGGCGGGGGACGTGAAGCAGGCCAGAGCCCGCTCAGCAGAAGCTGCGGGCAAGATGATAGGGGCTTAGGAGTTCGCAGAGGTCGGGGGGAGCAAGGCCATGGCGGGCTTTGAAGTGAGGACCAGGATCTTGAACTGTATTCTCTGCGTGATGGGAAGCCAGTGGAGTCAGGCGAGTTTGGGAGTGATAGGGTCATGGAGCCTGGTGCGGGAGAGGACATGGGCTGGATGATCTGCAGCCTGTGGAGGGAGGAGTTGGGGAGGCCGACAAGCAAGGAGTTTGCATAGTCAAGCCTGGATGTTATGAATGCATGTATGAGAGTCACGGGGGGCCTGCGGTGTAAGACAGTGGCGGAGCCGGGCGATGTTGCGGAGGTGGGGGAATGCAGAGCGGGTCATAGCCCAGATGGGGTTAGAAAGACGTGATAAGGAGTTATATCAAATACAATTATTATTATATCACTTCGTCATATTGTCGAAACATCTCAAAATGTAAAGTCTAAGTTACTGCCTATATTTCCTACCTTGTAGTCAGGATGTCTGTTGGCTGATGATGTGAGGAGCTCCGTCAGCACATTACCAACATTTGTATAAAGATCAGGCCTATTTTATTGCAAATAAATGCAAATTCACTTTTAACCCTTCTTTGCAAAAATCCTTTGTTCTTGATATTGTGCACATGGTATGCTTAAACAAAAGGTTGTTGTGCGGTGGTGCATTGCTTGTGTTAATCTATCTTCACATTTGCCTTTGCAGAAGAAGACTAACAGCACAGTGATCAGCTATGTTGTCTTCCTCAAGATGCACTGCCAGGACGGAGAGCTGGAGCAGTTCAGGGCCTTTATCCCTGTTCTCACCAATAAAGGTTTTGTCTGCCCATCGCAAGTTAATGTCAACTTTCCATGTAACTACAAGAATGTCATCAATCTCTTGGTGGATTTTCCAGGCAAGTGGAAAAGAATTGGGACTTGTTTGTGTATAATGGTGAGCAAATATACATGAGGTTGTCTGGTGTGAATCATGTTTGTATTGAGACCGTGTGTGTTTAATTTCATCTCCAGGTGTTGACTGGCATCTCTTGGATTCTTGTTACCTGAAAATTGACAATGATTCTGAAGGATGGAGAAGATTTTTCACTGTCCTCGGAGTTCGAGATTTGTTCATTTTCCGGAAGAAGAATTATAATTTCACTAAACAGGAGCTGGTTAGTTTGTCTTTGATTAGCTGTGAGCATCTGATAATGACTCCATTTTGATGAATTAACTGATGTATTCCCCATATCTGTAGAGCAGAGTTAACGTACCTAACCCCTCTGGGTTCAATTCCCGGGCAGGGCGAAACGTTGGGTATGTTTCCTTATTCCACTTTCTTTACCTAGCAGTGAATAGGAACCCGTTGTTAGTCGATTGGTGGATGACCTTTCCGGGAGTAATAATACATTAAAAAAAATTTAAATATAATAATATGGTCTCTTAATCGTGACTGTTTGTGGGACACTGCTGTGTGCAATTGGCTGCCGTGTTTCGCCCACAAAACATACAGTCAATTCACTTTACAGTTTATTCTGTGAAGCGCTTTGAAACGTCTAGAAGACGTGATAAGGAGCCATATCAAATGCAAGGATTATTATTGTTATCTAACTAGCTACAGGAAACTGCAATATAGCCAGCTACCCAAATTCTCTCTCAGAATACTTGGATAAATATTCATCTCATGTAAACTGTAACCTTCACACTTGCTGAGGCTCACAATTATGTCACGCTGAGCCAGCCAAAGCCAAATATGCACAAGAACTTGGTAAGGGTTTTCTCTCTGACTCATATTTATCTTCCACACCACCTGTAATCTGGAAACCTTGCTGCCCCATTAGCCTCGTCCCCAAAGTTAGTTAGTTTCTGTAAAGAACCATCAGTCACTATCCACTAATTCCATCGAAACTGAAGAGTAACAGGCAAGGGTGTGGATAGCAGAGTGGCATCTCTTGTTTCTTTTCTATCACCTTCCTGTTCAGTATTAACTTTGTTCTCTTCATGTCCTAGGCATCCAGCCCCTGGGCATCTGTCAGTGAATTTTGGCCCAAAACAGCAGATGATATGTATGTTGTGGAAGATCACCTGTGTGAAGAGCTTCACACCCTCCTGACTATGGAAGGCCTTTCTGATGAAGTGAAACTAATGCAGAGAGTTAAACTCCTAACACTACTCGACAAAAACTGGGATTCTGGGTAAGTTAGCGAGCGACACCTTGATCATTGGTGACCTTGACTACCTCCTTTCAAGCAAATTGTCTCTTTTACGAATCACTGTGCAAAGAGGAAGCAAAAATGTTGCCCACAGAAGATTATGGTTGAAGGTTAGAGGTCTATCTGTCATAGATTTATACAGCATAGCTTTATCTGCCTGTCCTGCCAGCTTCAAAGATTTACTTTTATGACCCCCAGGTCTCTCTGTCCCTTCACCCCCTTTAAGATTGTACCATCGGCTTATATTGCCTCTCCTCATTCTTCCTCCCAAAATGCATCACTTTGCATTTCTCCACATTAAACTTCATCTGCCACTTGTCTGCCCATTTTGCAGTCTGCTACTAGTTCTTACAGCATCGGAGAAGTGGTTGGGAAGTCGGGTTGGGGTTTGAAACAAATGTGCATAAGAGAATTTGAGTGGAACTGTGTTCACTACAGTGATGTGGTTAGCCATGAATTCATAAATTATATATGGGGGAGGAAGTGTTATATGGGGATAGGAGTGCGTAATTCAGCTCTAGCATTCAAAGGAGACATATTTTGACATATTTTCATTCCAGTTGCAGGATCTCTCAGTATTGCACAGCTGATCTCTTTGACAGTCGAGGCCAACGGCTAAAGGATGATGTAAATTCCTCGCTTTCAATTTACCTGACCACCTTGCCATGGTTGCCAGCCCATGGTTGTGGATCCAGCACAACCTACCTACGCCCTAATGAAGTGTACCTGAAAGAGAAACATCTCTTCGAGCTGCTGTCTCACCACGTGAGCTACGTGCACTGTGAGCTACTCGAGAAGAGCTCATTTGCTGCTTTCACTGGTGAGTAACGGATCTCACTGGTACCTCAGTTACTCTTCACTTCTCATTGGTGGGCCTTTACATTTAACAAACTGCCAATGAATTCAAATTAGCTTCAGACTTTTTAAGTTCAGACAAAGAGCTGCTGCCATGGCCCCCGCAGAAAGGATGCCTTCCCCCCCCCACCCCCGGGGTTACTCCCCCTTTTATTCAGATGCAAAAAATATATTCTGTGAATAAACATTTTAAGATTAGAGGGAATCCTGCTTTGTGCTTGTTCAGCACACTGTGCCTTTCGGGTTTGGGTGTCTTCCAAGGTAATGTGTCATCCTACTTGACAGCTTTGTGAATCTTGGTTGAAATTTCTTTGGGGCCAGTTTCAATTCAGTTTCCAGTGGGTGCGAGTGCATAGCGTAAACTGATATAATATGAACCTGATTGTCAGCCTCACTCAGGGTAAAGTGCCACTTGTACAGAAATTCTTCACTTTCTACAGGTCAAGTCCTCCATTTGTCAACACAAACTTTTCCATGTTAATGAACCCCAAATGTAATCCTAAAGATTTCTTTAAAAGGCATTCCATTTCCCCTTCCATCCACTGTCCATTGGAAGGCTGGCTGTGTCACTGAAGCTCATGCTTTAATTTTTTTTTGATTCTGCTTTGATCTCAGGTATTAAAACCTCCCTGACTGTAGAGGTGATGATCAACCACTTCAAGTCCTGGTGTGTCCAAAGCACTCCCAGTCCGTGTGACAATCCACAAGGTGCGGAGTTTCAGACCAGTGCTGATCACATCCACAGTGTCTATACTTACCTGGGGAGTAACTGCAGTCGACATCAACTCAAAGAATTGTTTGAACGCTTCCCAGCTGTGTTTGTACCAACTAGCAGGTATCTAAATCCATTTTACAGATTTTATTTACCACCCCATTTACCGCTCTCCAGCCTTGTACCCTTTCATGCTCTTTTCTCAAGCATTTAATTCCCTTTTACTAAAAACTTAGGACTCTGCTTCAGCAATCTGAGGCAGAACATTCGAATCACCCTCTAAAGTCTAAAGTCTCATTTTTGAAATCTAAACACCCTTTTAATTTCAATATTGTTCCCTCAAAAAATAAAATAATTAAAATATATTACTAAATGTTTGATTTTTTTCTGTTGAAGAGATTCTGTTGAAGAGCTTTGGGTTGGAAAATTCTACCACCAGAAAGACGTGTGCTGGACTGATCCAACCAAGATGTTCCTTCGTTACAAGAGTCTCATTAATGCACCAAATGGATCAATAGAGGAGCCTCACATACTGGATTGTTACTATAGTCACTGGGAGGATATGAGGGATCTGTTCCAGGTATGTTTGAAAGAAGCTGCACAGTCTGATGTGCCTCATCGCCAACCCACTCTGATCCCTGTAATACTTCATTTGTTTCCTTGCAACGTGCAGTGAAATAAGACACTTCATTGGCTCTTATATTCTCTTAAATGGAGTCTTGTAGATTAGTGGTTAGAGCACTCGCCATGCAAGCAAGAGGACCTAGGTTCGATTCCTGGGCAGGGCGAAACGTTGGGCAAGTTTCCTTATTCTACACGCCTCTGTTTACCCAGCAGCAAGTAGGAACCCGATTGTTAGTTGATTGGCGGATCGCTTTTCTGGGGGTAATAATCCCTTTAAAAAAATCATAATAATAATAATTTGGTCTATCAATCCACGACTGTTTGGGGGACACTGCTGTGCGCAATTGGCTGCCTTATTTCACCCACAAGATATACGGTCAATTAACTTTACAGTATATTCTGTGAAGCGTTTTGAGACTTCTCGAAGACGTGATAAGGCGCTATATCATATGCAAGGTTTATTATTGTTAAAGAATGAGGGGGGGAACGCAAGTTTTTTTTCCCCATCTGTGTGCATTAGTTTATGAAAACATTGGAGGAAATGGCATAGCAAGATGTGAAAATCTAGATTTCTACTTTATATTTTCCATCAAACAGCAGAGTTTGAACATAGAGAGAATCCCGACCATGAAGCAGTATGTGGAGTTGCTGGTGCTGATGTGTAGTGAGGCCTCATTGCCCAACAACGAGGCTCTGCAGGATGTGTCTGTGATCTACGCTGTCCTGGGTAAGTGACTCTAGAAATCCGTCTCCCACAAACCTCTGGTTGAGGTATGTTAGTACTGAAGGAAGACTTGTTCTCTTGGCCTTCCAGCTTCCCCTTTGTTTCCAACGTCTTTCCAATGAAGGATGCGAGACAAGTTTAACTTGTTATTGTTTGATCTCAATCTTTTGCTTGCTTTCAATCTTTCCCCCGGGCACTTGTTCCTCCCTAGAGTTTCCTGATCACATTGTTCATTCTGTGTCAAGGTATTGAGATATATTACGTATAGTACTGTGTATTGTTCTCTAAGGGTGTTATTAGGGGCAAGGCAGAAAGGTAAATAGGAATAATCTGCCATGGTCTAATAAATTGGTGGAACAGGCTCTAGGAGCCGAGTGAGCTCGTTTTCCTATCATCCTATCTTTTTGCAACAAAGAAAATGTAAATTGGTATGACCTGCAAGGTGCGTCTATCTCATCAGTTACATGTTTATTTTCCCCCATAGCTGAGAAATGCAGATATACTGACTCTGATGGATCTCTGCAGCTAAATAATGATTACTGCCAGACACTAAAAGGTAAGGACAATGCCACGCACTGCTCGTGTACCGACTGATGTGATGCGTTTGAAAGGCACATTCCTCCTCCACGCTCTTGGCCTGACCTCCAACTGCCAACTTTCTTCCAGTTGCTGCTCCCCACCCACTCCGAGTCTGTGCTGTACCTGATACTCCCATAGCAAGTTGTCTCAGGATCAATAAACTTGCTGCTATTAATTTCTTTCCCTTTGTACCAGGAATGCTGAAGGATGAGAAAGTGTTTGCAGCCAAGGATAATCTCTGGGTTTCCCTGACCAGACACCCTATAATACCAGACGACAAACACCTGGAACGGGTTTTTAAAACCTACACAGAGGTCTGTTTGCTCAACCTACCCGTTGCAGAGAGGAACACATTGAAAACTAGAACTAACAAACGAGGTAAAAATGTGTGTTTTTTAGATATTAGTATAATTATACATATTTAATGTATCCCAAACAGCTGTCTGTGTAAATTCACCGACTCAGGCTCTTTCTCTCTCACTAGACAAGCCCCGCTTTGATGAGGAAGATCGAAAGATATTCTTGAAAATCTGTGGTGTGAAACGCCTCAGTGAGTGTGTGATGGTGGAAGCTCAGACTGAGGACTTCAGGCAGTGCCCCGCCATCCAGAACTTTGTGCACTCTGTGGTCCCTTACATCCAGCGGTTCCTGTATGGCTGTGAGGACTATCACCATGTTTACAAAGAATTGATACATAACAATATTGTCAGGACCCTTAAGTCCATTGCCTTCATACAGGTAATTTATATTTACTGAACTGCACACATTGTGTATATGGCCTGTGTGTTTGTGTGTGATTTTATATATATATATATACATACATATGATAAGTGTTGGGTGGGTGATGACTTATATAATCATTTCCTATTCAAAATATTCTAGGAATCGAGTATTTGTATCTGACTTCCATTGATGTTGCCACAAAAAACTCTCCAGAGTTTCCCTACCAGCTCCAGGTTTTGTGTGGTAGAGACTATTAATAGCTGTCAGTGAATATTAAGAGATGTTGGAGGGAAGTGCAATTACATTTACTTTCATTGCTGATGAAGGGTTGATTAGACAATGTCATTAAGAAGACCGTGTGTTCTGTGGATCCGAGCCTCCTGTTGAACATAGGAACATAGGAATTAGGAGGAGTAGGTCATTCGGCCCCTCAAGCCTGCCCCGCCATTCAATAAGATCATGGCTGATCTCTAACCTCTGTCCGCCTTATCCCCAAATCCCTATCCTTTAGAAATCTATCAATCTCAGTCTTGAATATGTTCAAGGACTGAGCATCTACAACCTTCTGTGGTAGAAAATTCCATATTCACCACCCTCTGAATGAAGAAGTTTCCTCAACTCTGTTTGAAAGGGATGACCCTTAATCTTAAGACTGTGACCCCTAGTTATAGATTCTCCTACCAGTCTCACATGTCAAACCCCATAAGAATCTTATAAGTTTTTGTAAGATCACCCCTAATTCTTCTATATTCTGGAGAATATAGGCCTAGTTTACTCAACCTATCGGTCAATCCCTCATCCCAGGAACTAACCTAATGAATCTATGCTAAGGCGAGAATGTCATTTCTTAAATCAGGAGACCAAAATTGCACACGATTTTGCACACAAGCTGCGGTCTCACCAGGGCCCTGTGCAGTTGCAGCAAGACTTCCCTACTCTTGTATTCTAACCCTTTTGCAATAAACGCCAACATGCCATTAGCCTTCCTAGTTGCTTGTGTACCTGCAGACTAACTGTTTGTGACTGGTGTACAAGGACACCCAAATCCCTCTGAACACTAACACTATCTATTCTCTCCCCCTCTAGAAAATAATCTGATTTTCTGTTTTTACTACCTAGGTGAATAACTTCACACTTCCCCACATTATAATCCATCTGCCACCTTCTTGTCCACTCCTCTCGCCTATCTATATCCCTTTGCAATCTTTTTGTGTCATCCTCAGAGCTTAGTATCATCCGCGAATTTAGATATTTTAAGTTCTACGTTCTCGTGTAGATCATTCATACAGATTGAGGATAGTTGAAGCCCAAACACTAATCCTTGTGGCACTCCACTGGTCACATCTTGTCAATCTGAATCTGTTTATCCCTACTCTGTATTTTCTTCCCATTAGCCACTCTTCAATCCATGCTAATTCCATGGGCCCTAATCTTGTGTAGCAGCCTTTTATGTTGCACCTTGCCTTCTGAAAATTTAATTATACTACATTTACTGGTTCCCCCCTCTCTAACCTGCTAGTTACATCCTCAATAAACTCTAAAAGGTTAGGTAAGCATGGCTTCCCTTTTGTAAAGCCATGTTGACTCTGCCTAATCAAGTTATGATCTTCTAAGTACCCCACTACGATGTCCCTAATTAAGGATTCTAGAATTTTCCCTACCAGCGATGTCAGACTAACTGGTTTATGGTTCCCCATCTTCTCTCTCCCACCCTTCTTAAATAGTGGTGTTACGTTTGCGATCTTCCAATCAATGGGAACCGTTCCAGAAACCAGAGAATTTAGAAGGATCAAAAACAAGGCATCCACTGTCTCAGCAGCCACCGCTTTATAAACCCTAGGATGCAGGCCATCAGGTCCAGGGGACTTGTTATTTTTCAATCCCAACAGTTACCCTGGTACTAATTCTTTACTGATGTTCATTTCCCTAAGTTGCTCACTAACATTAGCTTCTTGGTTCCCCTCTATTTTTGGTAAATTTTCAGTGTCGAGGGTTCAATGTGTTGGTGGCAGGCTGTGACAGTGTTGGCATCTCTCCCCAGGTTGGGAAGCTGTACCTTCAGTATCAACTCACATTGCCCAACACAGAGACTCTATATGAAAAGGAAGATATTGTCTGTCACTTGAAGGGCAACAAGGAGCTGCTGTACATTCAGAAGGATCACATTGCTTCTCGCACCGATATCTGCAGGTAAAGCAGCCACATTAGGCACTCAGTGTTAGTCACATCCATACTTTAGTGGAAGCTGTTCAGAAATGTTGGGATCTGATGACGCCCTACATTGGGCAATTACCCTGCACGCAGCAGTGCCACTCAGAACTATTATTGACCCTCCAGCACTGCCCAGCGAGTTGGAGTTCTCAACCCTAAATCCTCTCTTTCTTCCCCACCCCCAAGCAGTCATTATAAAGCTCAATCAACAAGGACAAGTATAATAATTTGGTAAAATACGTTCTCTCTCAAGAGTAGAGAGACTATTTCCATGTTAATTTTCCAACAAAAAGAGTAGGTCACAAGGGGCTTCTCACAGCGCTAGCGTTGGTGGATCGGGTCGCTGGCTTTGCTGTTTATTTTACTCCTTGTTTTCCAGGGAACTTGTGAAGCTTTTCAACTGTGCCGAGAGTAAAGAGGTTGGAAAGGAACTGGAACGCTTTCTCCAGGGACTCATCTCCTGTCTGCAAGTAATTGTTTTGTAGTTTCTTTATGTAAGGAGATAGTTGCAACCATCTTCTGACAGCTTGTTGAGTAGATGGCAAAACAATACAGTTTAAATAATAATAATAATAATCCTTGCATTTGATATAGCGCTTTTCACGTCGGGAGGACGTCCCAAAGTGCTTCACAGAACACACTGTAAAGTGAATTGACTGTATATTTGTGGGCGAACGCGGCAGCCAATTGCGCACAGCAATGTCCCACAAACAGTCGTAGATTGAAAATGACCAATTTATTATTGTTTTTGATTTTGGAGGAATTATTATTAGGCTCTGTGTGGAGTAAGGAAACTTGCCCAAGGTTTCGCCCTCTGCCTGGAATTGAACTCAGGTCTCTCGCTTGCAAAGCGAGTGCTCTAACCACTGAGCTACAGGACTCCAAATAAGGCTAAGGCTAAATAATTCAGGCTAAAAGAGGGCTAAATAAAACAAAAAATAATACCAATAAACCAGGAAATCACTGGTTCATTTCCTGGTCTGCACTGAATTAGCTGTTTGCATTGGGGCTGCAATTAGGGCTTCAATGTGCGTCAGTCTCCTCTTTGCTTAGGTGGAGGAAATCAACACCCCAACAACTTCCATCTATATGTAGTGCTGTTCACATAGCTGGCGTCTTGGAGCAATTCAGCCAGTCCTGAATTCGTCTTCCCTGAATACTGGATGTGACCAGGGTCTTCACTGTCGGATTGCTTTAATGGGAGAGGATTGTTGGTTGGTTAATGGTAATTCAGCTCTGATTGAGGGAATCTTGGTGTCAGACTGAGCAGACACCAGTGGTGGCGTAGCACAGTGCTGGTGTTCACCAGAGACTGGTACAGTTAGTGAGGAGTTATTACACAACTGAGTTCACTGGTTGCGATGCTCTTGCTTAGTGTAAAAACGGTTTGTTCTCTAGGACGCTCCTGCACTGAAAAGGTTATTACAGAAGGAAGATGTTGGTGAATTACCAGAAGACGAGGAGAGATGGGAAGTGCCCCAAGTCTGTGAACCCAGACCACAGCCAGTGAGGCTTCCAGGTAAGAGCTGAGCTGTACAAAGTGGCCTGTGGGTGTAGCCTCAACATCACAGAGGACTGAATGTCATATCGCCACCGATTGTAGCTGCAGAAAGGCAACAGTGTTAATATGGGATGAGCTAAAGGCCAGCACTGCATTAAATGGCCATATTGGGAGCCCAGCCACAGTGAGATCTCTGGTTAGGGAGTGGGAGGGGAAACATTCAACCAGGGGTCCTGTGCCTGATTCTATCAATATCCTGGCCAGTAAATGCACCACAGAAGAAAACAGCTGAGTGTTGTCAGAAAAGTGTTTGAAAATCGTTTGGAATGTGATTGTACACAGAAGGAAATTGTAGGGATGTGAGATTTTTGAGCTATATTATCGATCACCATTCTTTACCTACTCCACAGCTGTATCTCAAATGTAGCCTTCAGCTTACTGATGTCTCCGTTGGGATGTGAGGGTGCTGCCATAGGAGAGAAAACCAGAAATCAAAGCATGAAAGGAACAAGCATAGGGAGATCGTGAAGGAAGAGAGAAATTGATAGTGACAGAGGTTAGTCAACAGAAATAGGCAGTTCAGTGCGAGGGAGAGATGCAATCTATTGGCACAAATAAAGCAAAAGTAGCATAGCAACGTGCACTTTGGGGATATTTGGTGGTTAATCTACACCTTTAGTCTGCTTTCTCTCTTGTGAGCTAGTGATGCTCTCTGAGGCGTTATCATACTGCCACACCCAGGGCAGAGGAAGGAATAAAACGAGATTTCAGAAACAATTGTATCTTCCTATTTTCTTTAAAGCACTGATTCAAACAAAAGAGCAAGATCAGAAAGAGACCCCGGAGTGCAAGGACAGCAGTAACGATGGAGAGATACTGCTGACGAGCTGGCCTCCCAAATCTTCTCTCCATGGTGTTCCCGATGGCAGAACAAGTAAGCAAAGCGTTTGTGTGGCTGTCGTGTGGAGATAAATGGTTTATCCTGTAGGCTCAGTGGTTAGAGCATTCACCTCATAAGCAAGAGGACCTGGGTTTGATTCCCAGTCAGGGCAAAACATCTCCCAAGCTGTGTTTCCTTACTCAAACACCTGTTTACCTAGCAGTAAGTAGTGATTGGCAGATTGCTTTTCCAAGGTTAATAATTCCATGACAAAAAGAATTATAATTTGATCACTCAATCCATGAGTGTTTGTGGGACACTGCTGTGTACAATTGGTTGCCACGTTGCTCACACAAAATACAGACAATCCACTTTAGAGTATATTCTGTTAAGCGTCTTGAGATGTCTCGAACATGTGATAAGACGCTATTCAAATACAAGGATTGTTGTTATTATCTGTGCCCAGCTAATTCTGGAGTGAAGGATGTAAGAGGCAGTACTTAATTGAGAGTTTCTTGAATCATGAGTTTATTGAGATTGAAAATGCAAGTGGTTTTCAACCATCGATGGTGGAATCTTCAGCCACCAACCACACCCCTGCCCCTCTTCCCATCTCTCCCTATCTCACTCCCAATGTACAAAGAATATTTGTGACCATGTATGGTCAGCATTCTTAATTGCCACTTTTCTCCTGCTCAATGTTCCCCATCATATTTAAATGTTGAGATGTTTATTCTATGTAATGGGTGCTGTACAAGGGTAAGTTTTTTTTTAAACTCTGAAACGCTGAGTCTCAGGCCAAGCTGCAGAGGCTGGGGCGATTAACCCATACGCCAACTCTTTTAATGTAAATATACACAATTGTTTCCAAGTTGAGAGCCTGACATTAGGAGTGTAAAGGTGTTTGACCTGGATGTCTGGACATCTCCACGTATACTTCATTGGGGTATCTTTTGTGGTTTTAAACTAATCAGGGCTCCCTCTCCCTCCTTGTCCTCCTCGACCTCTTTGCTACCTTCGACATTGTCGACCACTCCATCCTCATACACCACCTCTCTTTACTTAACCTTCGCGGACCTGCCCTTGCCTGGATCAAATCCTATCTCTCTCACTGTCTCCACTTTGTTGCCTCTAACGGTTTCTCTTCCAGCCCCCGTCAGGTCTAGTGTCCCCAGGGCTCTGTCCTTGGCCCTCTCCTCTTTAATATCTACATACTTCCCCTTGGTGACATCATCCGCAGACATGGGGTCAACATATGTATGCGGATGACACTCAACTCCAGGACCACCGAACATAAGAACATAAGAATTAGGAGCAGGAGTAGGCCATTCGGCCCCTCTAGCGTGCTCCGACATTCAATAAGATCATGGCTGATCTATTCTAACTCCACCTACCCGCCTTATCCCTTAATCCCTTTATCCACAAGAAATCTATCAATCTCAGTCTTGAATATGTTCAAAGACTGAGCATCTACAGCCCTTTTGGGGTAGAGAATTTCATAAATTCACTACCCTCTGATTGAAGAAGTTTTTCATCAAAAGACTATGACTCCAACCAGGGGAAACAGACTGCCTGTTGGACATCAAGGCTGCGATGAGGGCAAATTTCCTACAGTTGAATGTGAACAAGACTGAGGCCCTCCTGAGTGGCTCGCGCCAGTGCCTCTGCACCTCAGGCTCTGGCAGCAACAACCTCCATGGTTGCCCACTGCAACTCACCGCCAGTCAGGAACCTCGGTTCTTGTTCAAACCTCAACTGTCTTCCCCACATCCAATCCATGACCCACTCTGCCATTCCTCACCTCTGTAACATTGCCCGACTCTGCCAATACCCCTCAAGCCGCTGAAACTCTTGTTCAAGACTTCAAGATCCTCACCCTTGTCTTCAAATCCCTCCACTCCTCTGCACCTCCCTACCTCTCTGACCTCTCTCCTCAAAACAGTGCTTGTTGCCTTTGTTCCACCGATCCCTTGTCCCTTGTCCCCCAAGTGCCTTCAGCCACTATGCCCCGAGGCTCTGGAACTCCCTTCCTCACTCCCTTCACCTCACTCCCTCTCTTCCTATTTTCAGGTCTCGGCTCAAGACCTTCCTTTTCGATCGCGCCTTTGGTGACCTTCCTCCCCCTCCCCCTGGCTCAGCCCCAGGATCACATACTGTGAAGCGCTCTGAGACGCCATTCGGTGTGGAGGGCGCTATATAAATCCAAGTTGTTATTGTTGTTGTTCATGCCATCATCACCTCCAGGCTCGACTATGCAAACGCTCTGCTTGTCGGCCTTCCCAACTCCTCCCTCCACAGACTGCAGATAATCCAGAACTCTGCAGCCCGTGTCCTCTCCCGCACCAAACTCCGTGACCCCATCTCCCCCATTCTCGCCCGACTCCATTGGCTCCCTATCCTTCAGAGGATCCAGTTCCAGATCCTGGTCCTCACCTACAAAGCCCTCCATAGCCTCACCCCACCCTACCTCTGCGACCTCCTAACCTCCTACCAACCCGCCGGCTCTCTCCGCTCAGCCGGCTCTGGCTGCTCCTTGTCCCCCGACCCACCCGCCCCACCATTGGCAGGAGAGCCTTCAGCCACTCTGCCCCCCAACCTCTGGAATTCCATCCCCCAATCACTCTGCCTCGCCCCCTCCTTAGCCTCCTTCAAGTCCCGCCTCAAGACCCTCCTCTTCCCTCCCTTTTCCCTTCCTGACCCCAGCTCGTGTCTGAAATGCTGTACACTCTCTTTGCTCCATGGGACGTCCTCCCGACGTGGAAGGTGCTATACAAATGGAATCTTATTGTTGTTGTCTAATGTCTGACAGAAAATGTTGCTGGTTTCTCTTAGATAAAGCTGTCGACAATGTGATGAGGATGTGGCCCCCACCTGCAGGTCCTCCTGGTTCCAGTGAGCACCCGCACCCACCACAAGCAGGTGAGGGGTNGGGGGTCCAGTACAGTTACTGATATTATTGAGTTACCTTTTCTTTTGAAGGTCCTTGAAAGAATTGTTGCTCCCAGCTTCGCTCATTCCTCCCCTACTACTCTCTTCACCCCCCTCCAATTGGGTTTCTGCTGCTCACAGCACGGAAACTGCTCTGGTTTAGGTGATAAACGACAATATGTCCACCTGTCACCAGGGCTCCCTCTGCCTCCTCGTCCTCCTCAACCTCTGCTGCCTTCGATACTGTGGCCCACTCCATCCTCCTCCACCACCTCTCCTCTCACCTCAACCTTCTGTCCTTCAATGGTTCAGGTCTTACCTCTCTCGCCGTCTTCAATTTGTCTCCACCAACGGTTTCTCTTCCAGCCCCTGCAGAGTCTTGTGCAGTGTTCCTTGGGGCTCTGTCCTCAGTCCTCTTTTCAACCTCTACATGCTCCCCCTTGGTGACATCATCTGCAGACATGGGGTCAACTTCCACGTGGACGCGGATGACACTCAATTCACCCTCGATTCCAGGACAACTGACGTCCTGACAGACTGTCTGACATCAAGTCCTAAATGAGAGCCAACTTTCTACAGCTGAATGTCAGCAAGACTGAGGCCCTCCTGATTGTCTCGCTTCAGCACCTCAGACACTATCAGCATCCACGGTTGCAAACCACCTCACCAAGCCAGTCAGGAACCTGGGCATCTTGTTCAACCCACAACTGTTCTTTCTCCCCCATGTCCATACCATGACCCACTCTGCCTTTCCCCATCTCCACAACATTGCCCAACTTTGCCACTGCCTCAGGCCACCCAAAACCTCACATACGCATCCGCCACATCAAGGCCTGAGTACGGAAACACCCTCTTAGTCGACCTCCCCAACTCTTCCCGTCACAAGCTGCAGATCATCCAGATTCGATAACAGCTTTTAAGAGAGAACTGGATAGGTATCTGGGGAAGACGGGTTTGCAGGGTTATGGGGAGAAAGCTGGTGATTGGGGTTAGTGAAAGTGACGCTCTGTCAAAGAGCCGCACAGACTCGATGGGCCGAATGACCTCCTTCTATGCCGTAACATTCTATGAATCTATGAAAAAACTCTGCAGCTCGTGTCCTCTCCCTCACAAGGCTCTGTGACCCTATCACCCACCCTCGCCTGACTTCAATGGCTCCCCATTCCTCAGCGGATAGAATTCAAAATGCTCATCCTCACTTTCAAGGCCTTCCAGGGCTTTGCCCCCTCCTACCTCTCTGACCTGCTATCCCCCTATCAACCTGTCCACTGCCTCTGCACAGCAGGCTCCGGCCTGCTCTTTGTCTCCCGCCCGACCCCCTACCATCGGTGCCGAGCTTTCAGCCTCTCTGTCTGCAACTCCATCCCACAATCCCTTCGCCTTGCTCCTTCCCTTGCCTCCAAGGCATGACTCAAGACCCTCCTTTTTGACCATGCCTTCAGCTGCCCCCCTAACCCCCCCCTCTGCCCTCCCTCATTCTAACCTTGCCGCCACGCTTGGGTCCTGATCCCTGACTGCTCAGCGCCTTGGGACGTCCTCCCTAAGTGAAAGGTGCTTTATAAATATAATTTTATTGTTGTTAACAGCAGTCGCATGGTTTACTTTCTGTTCTCCATCCTTGCATGTCATGCATTTCTCTCTGAGCGCACCAGAACCTGCACTGTTCTTGGCTTCTGCCAATACCCTGTGCAGCCAACTCTCAGGAACTGTTCAGCTGGAAGCTGCTCTCACTTGGTTTGTGTTTTCTCCTCAACACGTCCCTGAGAGTATCACCCACAGATAGAAATGTATCACAGATACAGTGGAATCCGCTTTTCCCGGGACTCTGGTTAATCCCGAACTCCGAGTAAATCTAAAACACCAGGTCCCGATTCATTTACATTCTTACCCGTTTTACATATGCCTGTTAATTCGGACAAAAATCCAGTTGATTCAGGCAAAATACCGCGCTGGTCGCAGCTGAATGTACTCACTCGTGTCTTCTGTGGGTCAAGCCTTCAGCCACGAGGGACTCTGATTGACAGTGACAGCGGAGAGCTGTCAGTCAGTGAGGGGGACGGAGGAACAGGGGCAGGAAATCGCGATTGATTGACAGCTGAGCCGCTTGGGTGAAGCCGAACCACAAGTGGCTTCAGACTGTCAATCACCTCACCACCACCGCTAACTGATGCCCTTCCCCTCCAATGGGACCGGCAATGGGAGAGAGGAACTCCTCTGGTGGGAAAGTGCTACATTTTACAGCAAAACAAAAGTAAACATATTTTACTGAATTCTGTCAACGTCATTTGAACTTTAACTGGTTAGTTAACATTGCTTCAAGTGAAACAGCATTATTACATATTATTATGCAGTGCTGCTGAAGCTCCTCTACTGGGCAGGAATGATATTTCGGTTCACCTCGGACACCTCTTAAATTGGACACAATGTCTGTCCCCGATGTGTTCGGCTTCCACTCGAGTTTGACTTCATGTTTGTCTATAAGCAGTTGCCAGGGCTTCAGCCGCCCTCTCCTCACATTGGGAGTGTAACTGCTGCTGTGCAGGGCTGTGTGTACTAATGCTGTAAGACTGTGTTTTACCTTTTAGAGCACTCTGTTGGTGGAACTGAGCCGTCGGTGGCTTCAGAAGAGAAAAGGGATTTCTATCAATCGCAGCCCGTGTCCCCCAAACCAAACACAAACTACAGTGTGGAGCAGCCGCTCGCTGAGGGGAGACAGACACAGTTTGTGACTTCGGAACAGACAAGGGATTCCCCGCAATCGCAGGTCAGATCCCCACTGCCACCTGGGAACGAAACTCCAGAGCATCCTCCTGCTCCAGGCACTCAGCCAAATAACACCAGGTAAGAGATGCACAAACATTCAGAGCCTCAAAGCAGTGGTCCTCTCTCTGGTGAGGCTGCTGCTTCCCCATGAGGGGAGATGAGTCACAGCCTATTTCTTCCTATCATAGTCGATGTGTTGATCCCAGGTTGCTGCTCATGCTGCACTGACCTGTTGTTAGGGGCTGCAAAAGGGTTACAAGAACATAAGAAATTCTAGACGATAAAAAGACAGAGGTCCATCTAGTTCGCCTTCCACCTTCCTGGCAGCCACATGCATATGTCCCAAACTACCTGTGTCCTGTATCCCATAATGTTATTTCCTAAACGAAAACTGATCTAATCTGTGTTTGAAAGAATCAACATTTCCTGCTTCAACCGTCTCCCTCAGGAGCCTGTTCCACAGGTTTACTTTTCACGCACTGAAATAGTGTTTGCGTAGATTTGTTCTGGATTTACCCCTTCAATCAGAGCCCATGTCCTCTGGTTTTACTATTCTGGACAAGTTGAATCAGCCTGTCATGATCTACCTTGTGTAACCCCTTTAGAATCTTAAAGACAGCAATCGTGTCTCTGTATAAAGTTAAAGCTATGAGGCTAAGAATGAAGTGTATGTGGGGGAATAACCCATTTCCCATTGTATTTAGCACACAGCAGTCAGCAACACTGTTGGCAAAAAGCAACTTCAATGGATACAACAGTTCTCGGCCAGCCCTGCCTCTGGATGTTCCCATATGGACCAGAGAGCAGCCTTACGAGGAGGTGCTGGAGCAGTTAGTGATACACAGCGCTGTTGAAAAGCCACAGGCAGTGGTGTTCAGTGAGGGAAATGCAGAGAATGCGGCGATTGGAGAGTGGGGAGAGCGCCTGGTTCACGCCTTCCTGTTGCAGTGGAAAGAGAGCAACTGCGAGCACAAGCCACAGGAAGTCCTGTGGGTCAACGAGAAAGGGGAGAGCGGGCTGCCCTATGATTTCCAGGTGGTGTTCACTGGGCGGGACGATGTCGTGTCAGAGGCTACTTTTCTGGAGGTGAAATCCACAGTTAAAGCTGAGAAGAATTTTGTGCAGCTTTCTGCTAGAGAAGTGGAGCTGGCTCTGAGAGCAAAGGAGCACTACCACATGTACAGGGTATATAACGCTGGAGATTCCCAGAATGTCCGACTCTGTCGCATTGAAAACCTCGCCAAGTGTCTGAATGCCAAACAGCTGGCACTGTTCCTCTTTGTATAACTGATGTCTGCAGTGATTTTACCTGAAGTTCCACTTTTTAATATTTGTTTTATATCATTAGAATCTTCCAGTCTGTTGCTGTGGCTAATTAGTGTTCAAATTGCATGAGAATTGCAAATTGCAAATTGGTCTCCAATTTTATTAGAAGTCTGTTAATTTAACCTTTGTTTTAACCTTTGCACATTCCACTTATCTGTGGTCAGTTCTGTAGAGTGAGGGCCCACTCACGGCCTGGGGAAGTCACTTGTATTTTTGAAGAGATTTTTTGATGAAGATTATGGCTGTCAATTATGTCTCACATTGTCAGTGTAAACTATCAAGCAACACAAAGCTTTGCTGATCTGAATAAATCAAACTTTTACTATGGTTTGAGTTTTTAATTTGGTGCAGATAAGGGTAAGAGGGTGAGTTAATTAGTAATCCTTGAATTTGATATCACGCCTGATCATGTCAGTTACTGGGGGCCTGGAGGCTGTTAGCTGACTAACAGCATAATCTTTGATAGTTGATGTAAAAAAAAAGGGTTTGGGTAAATTCTGTTCAAATTCCTTTTGTTCTGTAAATTGCACCCCACGGGGAGCTCTTCTCACCTCTGGTGAATGAAACAAATGCCTTTTGGGAACAAGGACCTCGGTGTGGCTCATGTGGGGAAACTGCATCGCTAGTAACAGCGCGATTTCACTGCTGCACATCCACTTGCATCTCAAAGCCAAGTGTAGGTGACTGGGTACAGAGAGGGGGTTTCCTCAATCTCGTTAACCAGCTATTTACTCAGTAGAAACACAACAACATCATACTTCTTATGTGCTTTGTTTTTCTCCAGTCGATGGACACAGTCACTTTATAATACAGCTTTGTACATTGGTTGGTAGCAAATACATGACTCGTGAGAGGGTTTTTCCAGGTGCAGAGATCAGGCTGAAGTGTCAAAGAGCTTTTCAATCATTTCTTCTACTTGGTCCACTCTGTATTTAATATATTTTTCAGGGTTTTTGGTGAAGGGAACATTGGAATACCTGAGTGAAGAAGAGAGGAATTTGAGCCACTGTTGCCACCTACTGGCCATGTTAGGAAGTAGTTCTGGACTTGTGCAGTTGCAGGGAAAGGGTAATTTGCCTTTATGGAAAATTATTAGAATCATAGAATTATACAACACAGAAGGAGGTCATTCGGCCCATAGTGTCTGTGCCGCTCTTTGAAAAGAGCTTCCAAATCAACCCCACTCTCCCCATAGCCATCAACCTCACTCTCTCCCCATAGCCATCAACCCCTCTCCCCCGCTCTCTCCCCATAGCCATCAACCCCTCTCCCCCGCTCTCTCCCCATAGCCATCAACCCCTCTCCCCCGCTCTCTCCCCATAGCCATCAACCCCACTCTCCCGCTCTCTCCCCATAGCCCTGATCAACCCCACTCCCCCGCTCTCTCCCCATAGCCCTGATCAACCCCACTCCCTCGCTCTCTCCCCAGAGCCCTGATCAACCCCACTCCCCCACTCTCTCCCCATAGCCCTGATCAACCCCACTCCCCCGCCTCTCCACCCATAGCCCAGCAAACTGGTCCTTCCCAAAAAATTATCTGTTAGTTTTAATACAAATGGGTGGATAAAGCCTCTGTGAATCACAAGGTATTTCTCACACTAGAAGGCTGATCAGTACCTTTGCCAGAAGCCTCGATAGGCTACAGTCACGTTCTCTTTCTGGGCTCTCCGGATTTTATCCCTTTGCTCCTTGTCGGGAATGGCCCAGGACTTCTGGATTTTGCACAGCTCCTCAAGGCCGTCATTAAACCCCTTCAAAACAATAAACAAATCAAAACCTGAGCAACCAGCTGCACCAATTTTATGGGAACAGAAGCCTGAGCGCGGGAGGTAGATCACCCACTGCTGAATCCCGGCTTACCTTAAATCGGTCTTTAATCATCTGCCTCTCCTTATCCTTTAACTGGAAAAAAAATTAAAAAACATTAGTCTGGTTCCTATAAATTATAATACTTGTTGCTGAAAAAAATAAAAAGAATCCAATTCACCATTACCTCATTAGAGGCTTGAAGGGTTTGGGGATAAAACCGTGCAGTGGCATAATAATAATCCTTGTATTTGATATAATCCTTGTATTTATCACGTTGTTGAGACGCCTTTATATGGTAAAGTGGATTGACTACATTTTGTAAGCAAAATACAGCAGCTAATTGCGCGCAGCGGTGTCCCACAAACAGTCATGGATTGAGTGACCAATTTTTGTTGTTGAAGGGATTATTACCCCCGAAAGCAATCCACCAATCGACTAAAAAACAGGTTATTAAGGATTGAATGAACACTGCTCGGTGAGCTAGTGCAGACTCAATAGGCCATCGGCCTCCTGTGCTGTAAATTTCTGTAATCATAGAATGTTTACAACACAGGCCATTGGCCCAGATTTACAGAAAGCTGAGACACTTACTTTAGTTCCGGGCTGGAAAGCTGGCATATTCCCCTCAGTGATGGACATAGTGACCTTCAACCAACTAGAAGAAGATTCAACAACACTCCAGTTATTTGGGTCTCCAAACCGCAAGATGCAGCTAATAATAAATATATTCCAAAGAATTGGATTCCAGAACTCAAGGGTCTAACATATTCTCAAAATAAAAGACCTTTGGCCAATATTCCTTACTGCCCAACACAGAACTGATAAATACCAACATTCCTGGTTTGCTCCGGGCGGAATTAGCAGATCTACACCAGTAGAGGGCACTACAATTAGACTCCGTTATATTCCAATGACTCCTGTTGAAAAGTCATATGTTTGGACAGGAATGGGATTGGCAATGGAGGTCTCATTGGTTGGCCCAGCGCATGTGTGCCCAGGCCATGAGGGCGAGGTACCAGAGGGTACATCAGGGCCCACAATGACTGCCTCAGCCCATTCAGGTGAAATGGGTCAAAATAAATGGAATAAGCAAACAGGGATTCAGAGTTTTGTGGCAACTCACAATGCTTTAAACATCAGAGGCTGCTTGACTGATGCTGCAGTTACCTGCGCTGGTAGGTGAGTAGTTGCTCCTCGATGTTCCCCCTGTAGGCTTTATCTGGATTCTTCTGCGTGACTGCTACAAGCTGGATTAATTCAGACCTGGATGAAAACATGGACCATAACACAACTAAAGTACACAAATCTTTAAAATGGGATCCTGGATTTTTACATAGAATAACAGCAAGACAACAACAAGATTTCATTTATTGAGCGCCTTTCATGTCGGGAGGACGTCCCAAGGCGCTGTACAGTTGGGTCAGGACCCGAGCAGGGGGGGAAATGGTGAGGGGAGGGAAGGGTGGGAGCGAGGAGGGGGGAAATGGTGAGGGGAGGGAAGGGTGGGAGCGAGGAGGGGGTAGAGAGTCAAGAGGGGAGCTGAAGGCACGGTCAAAGAGAAAGGTCTTGAGACCGGCCTTGAAGGAAGAAAGGGAGGAAGCGGTGAAGGCATTGGGGGATGAGGTTCCAGAGCCTCGGGGCTGAGAGGCTGAAGGCCACCGATGGTAGGGCGGTTGGGGCGGGGGATGTGGAGCAGACCGGAGCCAGAGGAACGGAGGGTACGGGCAGGTAGGTAGGGGGATAGTAGGTTGGAGAGGTAGGAGGGAGCGAGGCCGTGAATGGCCTTGTAGGTGAGGATGAGGATCTTGAAATCGATCCTCTGGGGGATGGGGAGCCAGTGGAGGCGAGCGAGGGCGAGGGTGAGGGCGAGGGTGGGAGTGATGTGGGCGCGAGGCCTGGTGCGGGACAGTACACGAGCTGCAGAGTTCTGAATGACCTGCAGTGTGGAGGGAGGTGCCGGGAAGGCCGGCGAGGAGAGAGTTCCCATAGTCCAGCCTTGAGGTGATAAAAGTGTGGACCAGGGTTTCAGCAGCGTGAGGGGTGAGGTAATGCCATAGTCTGGCGATGTTCCGGAGGTGATGGAAGGCGGTGCCAGTTGTGGTGCGGATATGAGGAAGAAAGGACAGCTCAGGGTCGAACAGAACACCGAGGTTCCTGATGGCCTTGAGAGGTGGAGAGTGCGGCCTTGGATGCTGATGCTGTCAGCGCCTGAGGTGCGGAGGCGCTGCCGTGAGCCAATCAGGAGGGCCTCAGTTTTGCACACGTTGAGTCCAGGACTCAATGTCAGACAGGCAGCTGTCAGGACATCGGTGGTCGTGGAGTTGAGGGTAGAGGAGGAAAGGTAGAGTTGGGTGTCATCCGCATACATGTGGAAGTTAACTCCATGTCTGCGGATGATGTCACCACAGGGGGAGCATATAGAGGGTGAAGAGGAGGGGACTGAGGACAGAGCCCTGAGGGACACCACACGAGACAGTGCGGGGATGGAGGAAAAACTAAGTGGAGATGTTGGGAGAGGTACGACCTAAACCACTCAAGGACAGGGCCTTGAAGGTTGAGGTGGGAGGACAAGTGGTGAAGGAGGATAACGTGGTCGACCGTATCGAATGCGCCCGATAGATCGAGGAGGCAGAGGGAGCCCTGGTCACAGATGGTCAGGATGTCATTGGTGACCTTGACCAGGGCAGTTTCTGTGCTACGGGCAGCACGGAAACCCGACTGAAGGGGTTCAAATAATGAATGGGTGGAGAGGAAAGAGTACAGCTGGGAGGCCACAACTCTTTCAAGGACCTTGGACAGGAAGGGGAGGTTGGAGATGGGCCGAGATTGATAGCTGAGACGCATTAAGGGAGGGTTTTTTCAAAGTGGGAGTGATGATGGCAGTGTTTAGGGGAATGGGAACAGAGCCACAAGAGAGGGACAGGTTGATGATGTCTGTGAGAAGTGGGGCAAGGAGGTGGAGCTGGGAGATAAGGAGTGGAGGGGGGATGGGGTCAAGGGAGCAGGTGGTGGGTTTCAGGGACAGGATGAGGTTGGTGACAGAGGGTTTGGAAACGGGTTTGAAGGTGTGTTGGGGAGGATGGGTAGGAGTCGGAGTGTGAGAGGGAGGGGGTGGGAGGTGGGTGGAAGTTGGAGGGGCAGTGACCACGGAGCGGATTCCCTTGATTTTGCATTCAAGGAAATCCAGCATCTCCTCGCAGTGAAGGTTGGAGGAGATGACCTGCGCGGGGTGGCGGGGGGATGGAGGAGTCGGGATGTGGTAGAGAACAGAAGCCTGGAGTTGTTCTTCGCCTCCAGGATTATCCTGGAGTAGAAGGACGACTTGGCCGAGGCTAGAGTGGAGCGGTAGATTTTGAGGAGGTCCAGACAGATTTGTCGGTGGACCGTTAGGTAGATTTGAGGTAGGTGCGTTCAGCGGCCCGCACCCGGCTCTTCAGTGAGCGGAGGTGGGCGGTGAACCAGGGGTAGGAGCGAGAGTAGGAGACAGTACGGGAGGTGATGGGGGCAAGAGTATCGAGTGTGGAGGAAAGGATGTTGTGGAGGAGGGTGAGGGTAGAAGAGGGGTCAGTGAGGGATGAAGGCCAGAGGGAGAGGAGTTTAGAGGACTCCAAGGCAGCGGTTAGGGATTGTGGGGGTAACTTCTTCCAGGGGCGGTAGAAGATGGTGGTGGGTCTGGGGAGGGGGTGGAGCTGGTGAAGGAGATGAAGTGGTGGTCGGAGACGGCCTTGTCGATAATGGTGACATCCGAGACACTGAGGCCCCGGGTGATCACCAAATCGAGTGGGTGGCCATGACTGTGAGTGGCGGAGTTGATGTGGAGGGAGAGGTTGAGCGAGGAGAGCAGGGAGGAGAAGTCCGAGGAGATGGAGCAGGAGGGGGTGAAGTGAAGGTTGAAGTCGCCCAGGATGATGAGGCGATCAGAGCAGAGGCAGAGAGATGTAAGAAGTGTCGACATATCGGAGATGAAGGTGGGAGAGGTTTTAGGGGCTGGTAGAGGAGGAGGATTTTGAGTGAGAGATGGGAGGGGTGGAAGAGGGTGAGGTGCTCAAAAGCGGGGAAAGAGCCAGAGGAGTAGGGGGAGAGGGCAAGTGGTGTCCTTGAGACAAGGACTACACCACCGCCACAGCGGTTGGGGTGAGGGGTGGGGTGGGAGGTGTAGCTGGGTGGTGTGGCCTCCATGAGGGGGAAGGTGTCGCCTGGGGTGAGCCAGGTTTCTGTTAAGGCCACGATGTCAACGCTCTCATCAAGGATAAGATCGTTGATGACCAGGGCCTTGTTACAGAGGGAGCGGACGTTTTGTAGTCCGATGTGGAGGGAGCGGTTGACAGAAGGGTGTGTGGGGAGGGAGGGTATTCAGGTTGTGAAGCAGGGGTGGGGGGAATGGGGATTAGGGAGGAGAGGTTGGCTCCCCGGGTCTGTGTCTAGGGTGGCTGACGAGTGTGGTGGGAAATGGGGCAGTCGGTGTGGCTGCTGCTGTACAGCCAATGCTGGGTGCCGCGGTGAGCCCGGCCAGCGGAGGATTCCCAGGCTGGAGCAGAGGGAGGTTGTGGGAGGGTCAAGTGGGGATAGAAGGCGAGGGGGACGGAGAGAGAGGACAGAGCGGGAGAGATGCAGTGGGGGGAGGGTTTGGGGGGAGAGAGGAGGGGAGAGGGAGGGAGGGGGTGAGGGGGCTCGGGTCAGAGCGGCAGCCATAGTGCGCACGCGGGGACCGGGAGCGAGCGGTCAGGTGGATGGCATTAGCCCATAGGCTGGGGCAGCCAACCCAACAGGACCATGGTGGTCCCTGATGCGAGCCCTGGGGGGGCGCAGAGGTTTTTTTTTGCAAAAATACACAATAAAAACATCTGTTACGACCGCAGACAGGAGCAGTTCTGGGCTTATAAAGGAAAGCTATCAAGACCAAGGAGAGGGAAGAGAAGAGATTCTATAGTATGCGTGGAGCTATCTGCTCTCAGGCTGAGCATATCCAGGGTGAAAGAGATCAGTTTTTTCATAACATTTTGAAAACAGAGAGTGGAGTTAAGGTTCAGCCCAGCACAATACCAAGCGCACACAGACCCAGCTCCACAGCACTTTACTATATCACAACAAACGTACTTCTCGAGGGATTTCAGGATGTAATTAAAGTTGTTCAGAAGAAAGACAGCGCCGAGAGCAGAGTCCTCATAAACCTTGGCCTTGCTGTGCAGGTTCAACTGCAAGTTGCCAAGTATCTTGCCTGAAGGAGGAAGAAGAAATTTTACAATATGCAAAAGCTACAAAAATACAGAATAAAGTCAGTGAGTCTGTGTCCTCGTCTGACACAGGTACAACTGGAGCAATTGTTCTCAGTTGCTGCCTTGGAACCTGCTAAACTCCACTCTACGTAACACATTGTTAGAGAAAGCACCGTGGTGGCAACATACACATTAGATAGATTGAATCTCTATCGGAAGGGACGTCTTTCCTACGTGAAGGGCGCTATGATATGTGTCGTTTGTTGTCGTTGAAAGCAGGAACGTTTCCCACGTGACTAAACAAAGAATTAAACGGGTTGAACACCCAGCAGCCTCACTGTCAGCCGCTACTCACAGATGTAGTTGCTTAGAAGCCGTCTGCTGAACTCGGAGCTATAGCTGGAAGCTGAGGAACTTGTCTCTGCAAGTAAAGTGTTTACAATTAAAGATTCAGACCAAAATAATGATCTTTGCTCTTATACAACAACCATAACACTGAAACATCTCAAAGCACATCGTAGGGAATTGCTGTTTTGTTAGGTCAGCGTATCCATATGTTATGGTCAGGGTATGAAGGGATATGGGGCAAGGGTGAGTAACTGGACTTAAGGTACAGATCAAAATAATAATAATAATAAATTGGTCACTTCAATCCATGACTGTTTACGGGACATTGCTGTGTGTAATTGGCTGCCGCTTTCGCCCACAAAATATGCAGTCAATTCACTTTAGAGTCTTCTGTGAAGCACTTTGGGACGTCCTCCCGACGTGAAAAGCGCTATATCAAATGCAGGGATTATTATTATTATTGATCAGCCATGATCTTGTAGAATGGCAGAACAGGCTCGAGGGGCTGAATGGCCTACCCCTGTTTTTATGTATGTATTTATAGGCAAATGCGTGGGTTNGGGGGGGCGGGAAGAGGGAGGGAGAAAAGGCACAAAACCACTTTTTGCCATTCTCTGACAATCAAGTTGGTTTCAAATAAGGTTTAAAAAGTCCGACAGAAAGAGGAGAAATGAGACAGTTGGTAATTTGGCATCTCACCTCCTCCCGGGAAGGTTTTAGTTGTGGCTGAAATGGAACCCATTTCTCACCACAAACTGTTCTCTAATATTTTAGGAAAAGGTCTAGTGAGCCCCCAGGGTTGTATTTTATTAACAAATTCTGCTTTGATCACATTTCCACCTCAGGCTAAAGGCAGCATCACAGACACACAGCTTTGAAGCTGCGAGAGGTAAATAAATCCAGTCCGAACATACAGATCAGCCTCTCCCGCTCCCAGGAACATCTGTTCCAATTCCACCCCCCACCCATGGTTAATACATTTCACAGCGCTGCCTGATAAAATGAAGCCACGTGGACATGATTCACCACAACAATAAAACGCAACATACACACACCAGGGATGCGCACTCAGAGGGTAACTCCACTCTGGTCTCTACTCTGTACTCACCTCTGGGATCGAGAGGGATATTGTAAGTGTCCCCCAGAACTACAGGCGAGAGAGAGAGAGCAGAGCAAAAAGAAGTGCAAAAAGTCAGAGGGTTAGAAAAGTTCATTAGTTCAGAAAAAAAGAGTAAAGAGAGTTACACAGGGAGACAGGCAGCATCAACAACACTGCTAGCTCGGCGAAGGGCAGGAGAGTAAAGATCACCAAAGCATTAAATAAAAAATAGTTAAAAAAAGGAGGAAGAAAATTATTCATCATCAAATAAACTTCAAGCAGACAATTAAAAGGATCAATAAATAAGATCTGGAAGCAAGAAATTAACTGTAAGGATTTTGGGTAACGGCTGGACTCAATTTACAATTCAAAACACGAAAAGCGTTGTTGGGAGTCTAAAATCTGGATTTACTTTGTCTCAAACTCGGAAACCTCAGGCACAAGTATTCCCGTGAGAGTCTACAAACAATAATCTCATCTAAAGGCTATTTGACAGCCACAGTCTGTACACTGGGGGTTTCATATAAAACAGCAGCGGGTTCAGTCTTTCCCAGCGACTTCACTGAGGAGAGAGAGCACGGAACCCAAAACTCCCGACAACCAAAGTGAAAGTTAAATAGATCAAGACAATTGGTCTTGATTGTCCCTACTCCCCCCCACCCACACCCAAACCCACGTACCCTGTGAAGCCAGCATTGCACTCGCAGTCTCCTGGAAATCCAGCAGCTGTTGCAGGAATAATATGGCCTGAGACAGAGACAGAGACTGGTTGGTGAGCAGTAAACAACACAGCTGTATATACAACAGTACCAAGCTTCACTGGACAACATTGTGGGAAGGTTTGACGTACATTACTGGTCAGCTCGTGCACGGTGCCGTCCTTGGGCATGTTGTACTCCTTGTCAGGATCGTTCTGGGGAGGAAAGAAACAGGAGAATGGTCACTGAGCCAGGAGCCAAAAGCCGTCTGATCCTCCAGCGCTGAGTGCATCCAAATCCAATCCTACCTTAATGTTGTCAGCAAACTCCTCCAGCGCTTTTGCCCCCGTGGTTTCCATGGAGGTGATGAGGACAGGAAGTTTATTCTTAGTACTGGCCGCGGTGCCCTGTGTGTGAGAGACAGACAGGTCTATCACCCACTGGTTTACAAGGTTTCCAAAGATTCTCTTCCCTTCGCTCACTTCGAAAATATTACCGAGGGGCAGAGGGGTTCCAGCTATGTCAACAAATTTAATAAGTAAGAGTTTGCCCACAAACATACAGCAACTTGCATTTAGTGGGTCTCGGAGTGCTTAAAAGTGCTCTGGGCATTGGAGGCAGTCACTGCACCTGATAGATAGACTGTGAAACACTTTGAGACATTTTGAAGAAGTGGTAAGATGAGAGACAGGCAGGAACCCGAACAGGAGGCAAAGCCAAGTACAAGGCTCAGTGTTACTCCATTACCTGCAGCACCTGATCGAAGTCAGGCTTGGTCTGTTTGAGGTGCTTGAGGATGGGGAAGATGGTCAGCACGGCCGAGTATTCATGTCTTAGGATGGCGCGACGGGCTGCAGCCACGATGCTCTCTCCCTCCAGCATCAGGTTGTCCAGCGCTTCCTGAGCATCAAAGAGAATAATAATAATCCTTGCATTTGATATAGGGCTTTATCACGTCATTGAGATGTCTCAAAGCGCTTCACAGGATATACTGTAAAGTGGATTGATTATGTATTTTTGTGAGCAAAACTCGGCAGCCATTTGCATACAGCAGCGTCGCACAAACAGGTCGTTGATTGAGTGATCAGATTATTTTTAGAGGGATTATAGCCCCGGAAAAGCGATTTGCCAATCGACTAACAACTGGGTTCTACTTGCTGCTGGTAAACAGAAGTGTGTCTGTATATGTGTGTGTGTGTCTGTCTGTGTGTGGAGTAAGGAAACTTGCCTAAGGCTGCACATCTCTCACCTGTATCAGGGAATCAAAGGTTCTCTTCTGGTGATGTTCTGGAATGATATCAGTCAGCAAGCGATACTCACTCTGTGCCAGTTTAACAAAGGCACTGATACAGTTGATGTAAGAGTCTATTTCACTGTCGAGCACATCTTCCTTCCCTGAGAAAACAGGTTCAGGACAGTGAGATTCTGCGACAGAAGGCAAAATACTGCAAATGCTGGAAATCTGAAATAAAAACAGAAGTCGCTGGGAACACCCAGCAAGTCAGGCAGCATCTCTGGAGAGAGGAAAGTGAGTGAACGCTCATCGACCGGAAACGTTAACTTTCCTCTCTCCATAGATGCTGCCATAGATTTCTTCTCTTTGACCGTGCCTTCAGCTCCCCTCTCGACTCTCTTCCCCCTCCTCGCTCCCTCCCTTCCCTCCCCTCACCCTGACCATTTCCCCCCTCCTCTCTCCCTCCCTTCCCTCCCCTCACCCTGACCATTTCCCCCCTGCTCGGGTCATGACCCAACTGTGCAGCGCCTTGGGACGTCCTCCTGACGTGAAAGGCGCTTTATAAATGGAATCTTGTTGTTGTATCTTGTTGTTGTTGCCTGACCTGCTGGGTGTTCCCAGATTCTGAGACAGTCACACAGTGTAAGTGTAATCATCCCTCCCGTCTCTCACTAACAGCGACTGCGGACAGGATCACAATGTGACACCCCAGGCACAGTCGGACACATTGCAGGAGTTCAGACAGGTACGGAGCTCGGGTAAGGTCCCAGTATGTGAGGAACCAAACCCCAGCGCTCCAGAACACAACCCACAGGGCGATATATAAATGCAAGTTGTTGTTGCTTAAAAAGAGAGACTTCGGCTGCAAAGCATTTTGTAGCTGCTAACAGGACAGAAGGGGGGAGTCAAACACAACTTTACGCCTGATTACGTTGGTATCTTTTCGCACTCGGCCTAAAAATCAGGACTTAAACAATCCGAGTGGCAGGTGGACCCGGGGAGTAGATTGAAAGGCTGCAGCCATTGTTTCCTAGCCACTGGAGACAGGCCAGACAAGCAGTGCACACAGGACCTTTAGTGTCAAAATGTGTTAACACGTCCCGTACACCAGGAGGTTCGCTCCCACGGGGATACGTTTTGGGAGGAGGGAGCGTAAAGGTGCGGAGGAGGGAGGGGGTGGAAATCGGGAAGATTCTCAGTTGAAGAAAAGCTGAAGAGTGACTCCTCATTCCCAACGCTATTTCCTCTTCACCATTTCATTTAGAAAAATTCCAGCGGACACGAAAAGACTCGATGGTTTCCACAATGGCCCCGTGTAAACGTACATTACAACGAGCGGCAATCACTCAGTGACATTTTACACTCCAGCAAAGAGAACGCAACAAAAAAAAATATTGAAACCAAATTGGAAAAAAAATACATTTTCCCTGATCCCAGTCAACCTTCCCCCCACCACAAAATACAGGCCATCTCACACCACATCTCCCCCACCACCTCCCTCCACCAGTCTCACTCTAAGCTGCCAGCAGGACTCCAGGCCGCTATGTTTTGCCATCCAACTGATAGATGGTTGCTAGCTTCCCCTCAGGTGAGCTCAGACACGGCAGACTCCAGCCCCCACTCCCCTCCACAAGCCCCCCCAGTAACTAGGGCAGGTGGCACATGTGCCAGTTTCTCCCCTTCTCCTTCACCATGCTCCGTGAGGCGAGTGTCTCCACCTTCTCCCCTTAAAGGACACCCCAAGTATGGGGAGGGGGGAGAGGGGAAGACGAGGAGAAACAGACTCCCCCCATTTGACAGAGGGGTGGAAACACGCTATGTTCAGCATCTCTGTCCCCACTGCGTGGCTTGATCAGGATTAACCTCGATCTGTGCCCTAAACCCCAACTCTGGCTTTAACCAGCTCTAGAGCCTGAAACTGACTCAGGAGCCTCGGAGTTGCAGCACGGAGACCAGAGAGGTGAGCAACGGAGGCAGTTCGGGGAAGGGGGAACAAGAGAGGGGGGAGTGAGAGAGGGGGGGAACGAGAGAAAAAATAAACAGCAAAAAAAAAAGAAAAACTAGGCAAATTATTATTCCACAATTCAGTTAACAATTTTATAATTAAAATTAAAAGATGGAAATAAATGAAAGAAGTAGTACTGGCTTTCGCTTCCACGTGAACTTACCCGAGCCTGGCCCGTGCTTCTCATTCAGCGTATCTGAGAGGTGTTTAGCCCGCGAGTTGTGATCATGACCTGGGCAAGTGTTAATCAGCACAAACACAGGGGATGAAAGGATTGTCTGCAGACGCGAAGCTTGACATTTGGAAATGCTGAGAAGAGGAAAGTGCTGGGCGGCCGGCTATATGCTTTAGAGGGGAGATTGACAAACACGTGCACAGACCAGCGAGCATGTGTCTGTGTGGGCTCACGTATAGAATTTAATTTCCCCTTCCCAGTGACTGGAGCTCAAGGAGCCCTTCATGCCACCTGCTCCACACCTCTGGGGCTGGGCTGTACCTGGTGGAGCTCAGCAGACCTCACTGCTCAGATAGGATAATAATAATAATAATAATCCTTGCAGTTGATATAGCGCTTTTCACTTCGGGAGGACGTCCCAAAGCGCTTCACAGAACACACTAAAAAGTGAATTGACTGTATATTTGTGGGAGAACGCGGCAGCCAATTGCGCACAGCAATGTCCCACAAACAGTCGTGGATTGAAAATGACCAATTTATTATTGTTGTTGGTTTTGGAGGGATTATTATTAGGCTCTGTGTGGAGTAAGGAAACTCGCCCGAGGTTTGGCCCTCTGCCTGGAATTGAACTCAGGTCTCTCGCTTGCAAAGCGAGTGCTCTAACCACTGAGCTACAGGACTCCACCTGTATCTTCTTATAATTGGGAGTCAATTCACATCCCCAGGCTGCACTGCTCCCACACTACGACGAATAATAATAATCCTTGCATTTTATGTAGCGCCTTATCACGTTGTTGAGATGTCTCCAAGTGCTTCACAGAATATACTGTAAACTGGATTGACTGTATTTGTGGGCGAAATGTGGCAGCCAATTGCCCACAGCAGAGTCCCACCCACACAATGCACATTGAGTGACCACATTTTGTGGGGGTAGGGATTATTACCCTGGGTTTTGGAGTCAGTCAAGGGTTAAGGTTGAGCGCTGAGGATCAAACTCCCGTCTAAAGGATCCCAGCCACAGTGATTAGGGAAGACCTGTGGAAGAATCGTAATTCTTGTACGAATCAGCAGATGTAGTTTGAAATGATTAGATAAATAAAGAAAAGAAAGCAAGGATGCAGTAAAAGCAGAAAAAGGTGTGCTGGGAGAGGGGCAGGAGGTGGGGGGGGTGGGGGGAGTTATTACCTTCAATGGGAGTGAGATTAGAAACACCCCTTTTCCCATCCAGCACATGCTGAGAGTATGGTTTGAGCAGATTCTGAACCTTACGGACAGTGCCTGTTACCACGATGCAGAAAAGACAAGACCTCGGCACGTGAGTGAGAAACCACCACATCCCTCCACCAACATCAACACCCAGCCCAGCCCAGCCCAGCCCGGGAGCCGGGAGGAGAGAAGCTAAGCTTTTGATGGGGGAGGAATAACCCCCCCACCAAATCCTCCCCAAAACAGGAAAAATAAGCAAAAAAAGCCACCAAACTGCCGCAAATTTATAGCAGACAAACAGCAAAATACACCGCAAACATTTAATACAAGAAATGATTGACAATCTTAATAAACATTTAATTTGTTTTAAAATATTTAAAATATTTTTTTTCTGGAAACATCAAAACCACATTTATCCTGAGTGTGTGCAACCGCCATGTCCTGTAACCATCACCTTGCGGTGCTTTACGCTCAACTGCTATTGTGTCAGAAATCTCTGGAGAAATCTACTGTAAGATATTGGCACAGATCTGCCCTGAGCTCATAGAATGGCAGGACAGGCCAGAGGGGCTGAATGGCCGACTCCTGTTCCTGTAAGGTGAAACAAGTCAGCCAATTGCGCACAGCAGTGTCCCACAAACATTTGTGGATCGAGACACAATTTTTTTTTAAAAAAGGGAATCGAACCCAGATCCTCTCACTTGCGAGGCGAGAGCTTTAACCACTGAGCTACAAGACTCCACGTTTTAATATGAAAGCGAGACGTACTTTATTCAAAAAAGGTGTAGATGGGCTGACTGGACTCACCAGGATCGCAACCCAAAACCTTCTGTTCACCTTCTGCTCCCAGTTCGAGTTCACAACTCAATGAGCTCCTTGGGGGGGGGGGGGGGGGGGGGGATTTGTCTCATTGAATCACCTGTTAAACTGTGTACACACGTCAGCAGTGGGGAAAAAAACACACACAATGTAGCAGAGGCTGCAGTGAGACAATCAATGATTTTTAAAAAAACTCCTTTTGCCATAAAACTAAGTTCAAATTAACCCGGACTGAGCGAGCGACGAGTATTAAGATGCCTGTTTTATAATGTAAAAAATGTTCAACATTTCTCCAAAGTTTTCTGACTTTAACAAATTCGCAAAATCACATCAGAGTAAATAAAGCATTTCAGCATTTTGCATAAGCTGTGAGCATTTAACGGCTAAAATGGAACATTTATTCCCACTCCCCCCCACCCAAATTCCACACTGCGATGGAGCTTGATTAGCATTGTCAGCAATGGACACAGACAGACACAGCGCTGTGGCTAACCTGACAAGGCAGAGCACATGTGAACAGGCATTACCTGGGATGTAGACTGTTAGTCATCAATATTAATGAAAATAAAATTAGAAAGAAAATAAGAGTTAGCGTTGGGAGTCGAGAATTTAATTCTAAAACATAATAAAATAGATCAGATATACACAATTAAATCTTCAGCTGTTTTTTAATGTTGGGAAATTAAATATATATAGTGAATTCTCTTTAACTAAAATTAATAGAATGATATAAAACAAAAATTCTGCAAAATAAATAATCCTCGCTTTCGACTGCATTAGTGACATGCCAAAATGTTTCAGACAACATCACAGGGAATTGCTGTCAAGAGCAGTGACTGTGGACAAACGAGGCAGTCATTACTGCCACAGCAAAGTCCTACATATGGCCATAAAAAGAACAGCCAAGTTATTTGAAGGATTGTTGACCGGGACACTTTCTCTTTTTAGATACTGTCACAGGATCTTTAACACACAGGCAGGTTTGGCTTTTTAACGTCTCATCTGAAAGACGGGGTTTCTGACTACGCAGCTTTCCCGCCCCCAGCACTGGGCTGGAGATCAGCCTGGAGGATGAGCTCAAGTCCCAAAGTGCAGCCTTCTGAGCCTGAGCCGAGTGCGCTAATGACTGATAAATGGCTCTTAGGGTCGACAGCGTGACCTACTGACCTGGCCTCTTGACGGGTTTCTTGGTGGGAGTGTCTTTCCTCTTGTTCTGAACAGCGGGAGAGTACAGGACCCCGGAGGACGTGCTGTTCTTACGGAAATGGTCTTTCAGCCCTTTGATGGAGTTGTCCAACTGCTTAGAGCGGATCTGATAATACACGTTCATAAAGTCTTCAAAAAGGGAAAAAATAAATGATTGAGAATCAGAATCCTGAGGCTCCGTCAGAGGATAGAGCCCCATTCCCAGAGGAGGGAGGGAAGGAGGGATGGAGAGAGAGGAGGGAGGAAAGGAGAGAGAGAGGAGGGAGAGGGAGGGAGGAGGAAGAGAGGGAGGAGGAAGAGAAAGGAGAGAGAGAGGAGGGAGAAAGAGAGGGGAGAAAGAGAGGGTAGAGAGCGAACAAGAGCGAGAGAGGGAGAGAGAGAGGAGGGAGGGAGAGAGAGAGAAAGGAGGGATAGAGAGAGAGGAAGGAGATAGGAAGAGAAAGGAGGGAGAGAGAGAGAGGAATGAGGGGGGGAGAGAGAGAGAGAGAGAGGAGGGAAGGAGAGAGAGAGAGAAAGAGAGAGAGGAGAGAAGGAGAGAGAGAGAGGAGGGAAGGAGAGAGAGAGAGAGAGAGAGAGGAGTGAGGTAGGGAGAGAAAGGAGGGAGGGAGAGTTAGAGAGGAGAGGAGAGAGGGGGAGGTACCAATACCAAGCCAAATGTATCCAATCGACTTCTGTCACGGACCCTGTGCGGGGCATTAGGGAGTTAATTAAATGCCAAACACTGTAGTTTGGACACCAGGCAGTGAGTGAGCAGCGTGAGCCATACCTAGGTTCCTGCCGTATTCCACCAGCCAGAGTGAGATACAGATCAGGTCCTGCAGGATGTTGTCAGGGAGATGCTCCAGAGGTGCCTCCTCTGTTGGTTCTATCTCCTCGTCCCCCACGATCAGATCCAGGACGACCACAGGGAGGACGGGCTTACTGTTGCGGGTCAGGAGGCTGCGGAGTTCAGACTCCAGGGACTCCTTGCCCTTCTCAAAGAGAAACTTCTGTAAAAACAAAGTAATCCGGAATCATCGCTATGACATTCCATTCTCCGCCCCCCACCGAGACAGCACCTTGACATCAGGCTCCACACCTGAAACTGCTTCACAACTCACCACCCGATTGAGCTCAGGGCTGTCCGGGTTGTTGTCCTGGAAATATTCCACAGCTTTCTGAATCCTCGCCATGCAGCTCAGGTACTCATCCAGCCGTCCCGCAGGACTGCTCACACAGAGGACGACCGAGAGAAAGGGGGAGAGGGAGGGGGGGAAAGAGAGAGAGAGAGCGAAAGAGGGGGAAGAGAGAGGGAGAGAGAGAGGGGGGGAGAGAGGATTAAATAAATCTGATATTATCATACCCCTTCTCTACCCCTTGCTTCAACCTTTTCCCCTCCCCTCTGCTTACCCCTCCCTCCGCTCTCCTCTCCCCCCATTAATTCCCCACCCGGCACTCACCCCTCCCGGATGATCTTCTCGGTATCCTTGGCCACATGGTAGTAGCTGATGACATGGTCCAGGCAGGACAGCGTCTTGTCCACGTTATCCTGGAGACGCTGCAGGTTTTCTGTCTGCTTATGGACCGGAATGATGGAGTTTTCCAACTGCATGAGACGGCTTTCAAATGAGGAAAGGATAGAGACCTGAAAACGCAAGACAGGAGGGGTCGGGCGCTAGCTGAGACCGCAGGACAGACCTCTAGGGAATACCACTTGTCATGTCCCGCCAATCAGAGAATGATCCTTTTATCCCTACTCTCTTTTCTTGCCTCCTAACCAATTACCAAGCCATGTTGTAAAGTTACCTGCCATTCCATGCACTTTTATTTTTGCTTTTGTGCTGAACCTTATCAAATTCCTTCTGGAAGTCCATGCAGACGACATCCATAAACACTCTCTAACCACCGTGTTAGTGACCACCTCAAAAATTCCAATCAGATTCATGACCTAACATTCACAAATCCACGCTGACTCTTTGATAGCTCATACTTGTCCAAGTGCTCAGTCACTCTGTTCCTGATGAAAGATTCCAGTAACTTCCCCACAGCTGAAGTGAAGCTGACAGGTCTGTAGTTATTTGGTTTTTCCCTCTCTCCCTCCCTAAATAATGGAGTGACATTTGCAATTTTCCAATCCAAGTGCACAATTCCTAAATGTAGAGTTTTGGAAAGTTATGACTAAATAATGACTAAAAATTCTTGCATGTACTGCCTTATCACATCACTGAGATATCTCAAAACGCTTCACAGATTATACTGTACTGTGTATGGACTGTGTATTTTGTGGGCGAAATAAAAATATACAGCACATAATAAGGCCACTCAGCGCATCGCGCCTATGTCACTCTTTTAAGAGGAATCCTTTCAGTCCCAAACCAACCAACTCTGCACATAACCAGGCACCTTCTTTCTTCCTAGTATGTGCATCAGCCCAACACTACAGTGCATTTTCCCACCATTCTTACTTTGTCTGTCATCTTAACTAACAGAAATGTAATTTCTTACCATATTTTTTGTCAACTGGTCACTTTTCTCCAGGCTTTCCTTGATGAATAACAATGTTTCCTGTTCCTGAAAATAATGTTTTTGTTTTTAAAAACACTGTAAATACAAAAAATTATAATAATAATCCTTGCATTTGATATAGCACCTTATCATATCTTTGAGACTTCTTTGAAAATTGTATATTTTCTGGGTTAAACTCTGCAGCAAATTGCAGACAGCAGTGTCCCACAAACAGCTGTCGATTGAATGACCAAATGATTATTACTATTTTTTAAAAATTATATATGTTTTAAAAATCAGACCCTTTGGCATTTTCACACTGAAAAGCGCCACAGTGGCGCAGGGAACTGAGGTCACGATGGTCAAGGAGCCAATTATTGTTCCAACGATCGAGTCACTACACATGTTCAGGGCAAAGGGGGCTCAACAGTCTGCTTACCCTGCAACAACTGAATGGCACTGGTCAAACCAGAAAAGTCTCTTGCCATTGTCCTAACCACAATCTTCCAGGTAACACTGGCAAACACAGCAGCCAATTTGCATACAGCAAACTCCCTGCTGGAAATTAGAATCTACAAACTGTCAAATAAGCTGTCAATTTTATCGGGGAGAGAAGAGATTGTTGGCCAGGACACCAGGAGAGAGAGAAACTCTCTTCTCTTTTCTGAAAGCATCGCTGGATCGTCAACATCCGCCTGGCCAGGCACAGATGGGGACTCAGGTTACCATCTCATCTGAAAGATGGCATCTCTTGACAATGCAGCGCTCTCTCCCTCCACCCCTGCACTGGAGTGTCAGCCGACAGATGACCAGGTGGGGGCGAGAGGAGAAACCATTTGCTGAGATGAAATCGAGGCAGTTGGTTAAGTAGGACTCGAACCATGCAAGTGCGGTCCCACTACGATGAATGAGCAAGAGGTTGTGTAGGAGGATGGCGTGGCCAACTGTGTCAAATGTGGCAAAGAGATCCAGGAGGACGAGGAGGCAGAAGGAGCCCTGGTCACAGGTAAGAGAGGACATCGTCTGTGACTTTGACAAGCGCTCTCCCTGTGTTGTTGAACTGTGAGCTCAAGAGTCCCTCTTGTTATGGACTCAAACCCACAACCTCCTGACCCTAAGGCAAGAGCTCAGCCAGGTTGACATCAAGATGGAAGAAAAGCCCCTGCAGGCTTTGTGCAAATAATCTGGCACAAATTAAACAAATGTAGCTTAATAATAATGGCAATCCTTGCAATTGATGTAGCACCTTATCACGTCTCAAAACGCTTCACAGGATAAATTATAAAGTATAGTGACTGTATCTTTTATCTCTCACATCGTCTCCGCCAACGATTTATCTTCCAGCCCCCACACAGTCTGGCGTTCCTCAGGGCTCTGTCCTCAGGCCCCTCCTCTTCAACCTCTATATGCCCCCACTTGGTGATATCATCTGCAACTCCCACATGTATGCTGATGACACCCTCTCTGCCTCCACCCTCGACTCCAGGACAACTGAAAGACTGTCTGTCTGACATCAAGTCCTGGATGAGAGCCAACTTTCTACAGCTGAATGTCAGCAAGACTGAGGCCCTCCTGATTGCCTTGCTTCAGCACCTCAGACACTGGCAGCATCAGATTCCATGGTTGCACACCCCACCTCACCAAGTCAGTCAGGAACCTGGTCATCTTGTTCAACCTTCAACTGTCCTTTCTCCCCTATATCCATGCCACGACCCCCTCTGCCACCCCCCACCTCCGCAACACTGCCCGACTCCACCACTGTCTCACCCCTCAGGTTGCCAAAAACCTCATACGTGCATCTGTCACCTCAAGGCTCGACTACAGAAACTCCCTCCTTGTCGGCCTTCCCAACTCTTCCCTCCACAAGCTGTAGATCACCCAGAACTCTCTCGTACCAGGCTCCGTGACCCCATAACCCCAGCTCCACTGGCTTCCCATCCACAGAGAACAGAATTTAAAATACTCGGCCTCACTTTCAAGGCCGTCCACGGCCTTGCCTCCTCCTACATCTCTGACCTGCTGACACCCTATAAACTTGTCCACTCCCTCCACTCAGCAGGTTCTGGCCTGCTCCATGTCTCCCGCGTGACCCGCCCCACCATCAGCAGCCGGGCTTTCAGCCTCTCTGCCCCCACTCTGTGGAACTCCATCCCACATCCCTTCCCCTTGCTCCCCCCTTGCCTCCTTCAAGGCACAACTCAAGAACCTCCTTTTCGACCGTGCCTTCAGTGGGCCTCCTAACGTCTCGTTGGAAGGACGGCCTCTGCCGGTGACTCCCTCCCCCCAGCGCAGCGCTACAGTACAGTGTAACTTGCACATTAATGAATACAAAAAGTTAGATTTGTTTTAATTCCCTTCCTCCCCCCAACCAGCCCCCCTCCCCCCAACCAGCCCCCCTCCCCCCAACCAGCCCCCCTCCCCCCAACCAGCCCCCCTCCCCCAACCAGCCCCCTCCCCCCAACCAGCCCCCCTCCCCCCAACCAGCCCCCCTCCCCCCAACCAGCCCCCCTCCCCCAACCAGCCCCCCTCCCCCCAACCAGCCCCCCTCCCCCCAACCAGCCCCCTCCCCCCAACCAGCCCCCCCAACCAGCCCCCCCAACCAGCCCCCCCAACCAGCCCCCCTCCCCCCAACCAGCCCCCTCCCCCCAACCAGCCCCCTCCCCCCAACCAGCCCCCTCCCCCCAACCAGCCCCTCCCCCCAACCAGCCCCCTCCCCCCAACTAGCCCCCCCCAACACCAGCCCCCTCCCCCAACCAGCCCCCACCCCCAACCAGCCCCCCTCCCCCCAACCAGCCCCCCCAACCAGCCCCCCCAACCAGCCCCCTCCCCCCAACCAGCCCCCCCCAACACCAGCCCCTTCCCCCCAACCAGCCCCCCTCCCCCCAACCAGCCCCCTCCCCCCAACCAGGCCCCTCCCCCCAACACCAGCCCCCTCCCCCAACCAACCCCCCCAACCAGCTCCCCCAACACCAGCCCCCTCCCCCCAACCAGCCCCCCCAACCAGCCCCCCTCCCCGCCCCCCTCCCCGCCCCCCACCTGCCGCAGCTTCTCCTCGATGCTCCGTTTCCTGGCGGAGGCATCCTCAGTGACGATCATGTCGCCCCCTCTGTGTCTGTCTGTGTCTCTCTCTCTCTCTCTCCTGCCCGCTCCGGCTTCCCGGCCTTCACTTCCGTCTACGCACTTCCGCCCCCTCCGTCATCAGGAGCGGTCACGTGCATGGCAACGGGAGACTGTTACCAGGACAACGGGCAACGCCTGTGGGAGTTCATCCTCCCCCCCCCCCACCCCATGTGCAATGCAGCCCACAGACAACAACAACAATAACTAACATGATCCTCGCACTGTGGTTATTATTATTAATTATTACTGTTATTAATGCGCTAGACATTGCACCTCAGCAGCTCGGGAGGACCACCACCACAACAACAACAACCGCCATGGTGCGAAAGAGTGATTTTATAGATATACAGCCACTGAGTGTCAACTCACCATAATAATCCTTGCAATCCTTGCAATTGATATAGCGCCTTATCATGTCTTCGAGACGTCTCAAAGCGCTTCACAGAATATAGATAATATGGAGTCCTGTGGCTCAGTGGTTAGAGCACTCGCCTGGCAAGCGAGACACTTGGGTTCAATTCCAGGCAGAGGGCCAAACCTTGGGCAAGTTTCCTTACTCCACACAGAGCCTAATAATAATCCCTCCAAAAAAAAACAATAAATTGGTCATTTCAATCCACGACTGTTTGTGGGACGCTGCTGTGGGCAATTGGCTGCCGCGTTTCATCCACAAATATATACAGTCAATTCACTTTACAGCATATTCTGTGAAGCACTTTGAGACGTCTAGAAGACGTGAAAAAGCGCTGTATCAAATGTAAGGATTATTATTATCATATACTGTGAAGTGAATTGACTGTATATTGTGGGCGAAACACACACAATTCCACACAGCAATGTCCCACAAACGATCATTGATTGAATGATCAATTTATTATTTTTTCTAATTTTTAAGGAATTAATACCCCCGGATAAGCGATCCGCCAATCAACTAACAACTGGGTTCCTACTTACTGCTAGTAAACAAAGGCATGTGGAGAAAGGAAACTTGCCCAATGTTTTGCCCTGCCGGGAATCAAACCCAGGTCTCTCGCTTGCGAGGCGAATGTTCTAACCACCGAGCTACAGGGCTATAAATATGATGGGATGTGAAGATAGAACTGCAAAATGGGATTATTAATAGAAAAAAAGCAATTTGCAAACACAGTTAGCCCTGGCACAGACAGCAGGGTCAAACAGCCTCTATTGGGCTGAAAATGTCTATTTTTTTACTTTACAGCAATTACCTGCTTTGATATCCTTCCTAGATTATGGTGCCCAGAATTGGACAAAATACTCCAGCTGGGGCCTAACTCACTTTTGTACTCTATGCTTCTATTTATAAAGCCAAGGATCCCATATGCTTTTTTAACAGATCTATCAACCTGTCCTGCCACCTTCAAAAAGACCTGGGTTTTGAAACCCCAGGTCTCTCTGTTCCTGTACCCCCTTTAAAACTGTACCATTCATCTTATACTGGTTGTACACATTGCAGCCAGTTTCATTTAATCAGCCTTCTCTCTTTTGTCTGGCATTTTTATGTGTCCTTGAAAGGCTTGATTTTTTCTTCTTAAACATCTTTATCCCTTAAGAGTAAGATAATATGTTATTGAACTCGTTAGCATCCCTTGTTTACATATTTGCACACATATCCTTTTGGGAGGACTCAGTGGGAGGCCTCAGTGGGAGGACTCCTGGTTGGGAGGACTCCTGTAAGGGGGAATCATGCTGGGAGGACTCCTTGTTGGAGTCCATACACGTGTGATGAGCTTGTTTAGGTCACGATAGGAGATCCATGAAAAAAATAATATGCCCATGACACCCCCCAATGCAGGACCTTTCTGATGAGGTATAAATCAAGTCTCTACGTCAATTGGTTAGGCAGACACACAGACAAATATTTTGTCTTTATTAGTATAGATGTATTTCTCTAGTAAGGTGTGTGACTTCTGTCACTACTTTGCTACAGAATACCATGCATACCTTTTTTGGGGCTTAATTAAAGTACTCCTAATATATTTTTTAATATAGCTAACCAACGGTAGGAGATCCCCCCAAAACAATATGCCCATGAAACTTCCCTATACAAGACCTTTCCGATGAGGTGTAAATCATGTCTCTACATCAATCGGTTATTGCGTTCTTGGCAGACAGACATTTTATCTTTATTGGTATAGATTGCGTCTCCTCATTCCTCCTCCCCAAACGCATCACTTCACACTTCTCTGCATTAAATTCCATCTGCCATGTGTCTGCCCATTTCACCAGCTTGTCTATGTCCTCCTTCAGTCTGCTACGATCCTCCTCACTGTTTATTATGTTTCCAAGTTTTGTGTCATCTGCGAACTTTAAAATTTTGCTCTCTATACCTAAGTCCAAGTCATTAATACAGTATATATTAAAACATTTACAGTCCGACACAGAGACAGAAGATGAGTTCTACTGACAAGAAGAAAAAGCTAATAAATCTGAGGTAAAGCCACGTTTTCAGCGAAATTTGTTCTGAACAAAAGAATTTGGAAATTTGTACAGGACAAAGGGGGAATCACGTTTCACCCACAAAATATAATAATAATAATCCTTGCATTTGATATGGCGCTTTTCACGTCGGGAGGACGTCCCAAAGCGCTTCACAGAACACACTGTAAAGTGAATTGACTGTATATTTGTGGGCGAACGCGGCAGCCAATTGCGCACAGCAATGTCCCACAAACAGTCGTAGATTGAAAATGACCAATTTATTATTATTTTGTTTTTTGAAGGGATTATTATTAGGCGTGTGGAGTAAGGAAACTTGCCCGAGGTTTCGCCCTGTCTGGAATTGAACTCAGGTCTCTCGCTTAAAAAGCGAGTGCTCTAACCAGTGAGCTACAGGACTCCACGTCCACAAAATATACAGTCAATTCACTTTGCAATATATTCTGTGAAACACTTTGAGATGTCACAAAGGCATGATAAGGCGCTAAACCAAATGCAAGGTTATATTATATTATTAAAAAGAGCAGTGGTCCTAATACTGACCCTTGGGGGACACAAATGCTGCTAACTGTTCCCTTAATCCCATGGGCTCCAATTTTGCTAACAAGTCTATTATGTGGCATTTCATTAAACGCCTTTTGAAAGTCTATATACACAACATGAACTACGCTACCTTTATCAACCCTCTCCATTAATTCACGTCAGGCTGATTTACCTGTACTTACTAGGTTTATCCCTCTCCCCTTTTTTGCACAGCGTATAACATTTGCAAAACACAAAATACTGCAGATGCTGGAAATCTGAAACAAAAACAGAAGTCGCTAGGAACTCTCAGTAGGTCAGGCAGCATCTATGGAGAAAGGAAAGTGAGTGAATGTTTCGGGTCCATGACCCTTCGTCAGGACATTTGCATCCCTCTCGTCCTCTGGCACCACTCCCATATCCGAGGAGACTTAAAAGATTGTGGCCAGAGCCTCCATTATTTCTATCCTTACTTCCCTCAGCAATCTAGGATTCATCCCATCCGTAACAGGTGCCTTTTCTACCTTTAGTGTTGCCAATCTTTCCAGTACCTCCTCTCTATCGATTTTTATCTTATCCAATTTTTCTACCCCCCTCTTCCTTTTCTGTGACATTTGCAGCATCCTCTTTTGTGAAGACCGATGCAAAGTACTCATTCAGTACCTCAGCCATGCCCTCTGCCTTCACAAGAAGCTTTCCATTTTGGTCCCTAATCGGCCCCAACCTAACTTTGACCATCCTTTTTCACTTAATAAAATACTTTGATGTTTCCTTTTATGATACTCGCTAATCTTTTCTCAGACACTGTCTTTGCCTCTCTTATTACCTTTTTCAGTTCTCCTCTGCACTTTCTGTATTCTACTTGATTCTCTGCTGCAGTATAAAGCTGGCATTTATTATAATTCTTCTTATTAAAATAAAAAAGCACTTCACAGGATATACTGTAAAGTAGAATGATTGTGTATTTGGTGGACGTTTCTTTTTCTCTCTGCAGAATGNTTTTTTATTAGTAATTCTAGATTTCAGCTCTGGGAAGCTGTCAATTGAGAAATGTTTATTTACATGACTTTCGTGAAGGACAAGTTTTAGCACTGTTACCTCCCTGATCTCATACAAGCAAAGCAGGTGGCAATTCAGACACTCCTTGGAAACTGATGATGGTTGATCCATAACCCTTCTGAGGTAATACTGGGTTGATCAAACTCATTTATTCACTTTCTGGTTGGTTCTTTATTTAACAGATTTCTTAACGATGGCCCTATGTCTTGAAATTATTGAATGAACCCAAAGTGCAGGCAAGTGAAATGACCTGCAGAATTAGGGAGGGTAAATTAGTGTAATTGAGATATAAAAAAGACAAGTCTATTCATAGAATAATAAATGAGAATGAGAGAGAAGACAGAGAAGGCCTTGAAACTAATGGAGTGTGTCCTGTAGTGTGGTGGTTAGATCACTCGTCTTGCAAGCGAGAGGGTTCAATCGAGAGGACCTGGGTTTGATTTCCTGGAAGAGGCAAAACCTTTGGCTACAACAACAAATTACACTTGTATAGCACCCTCTATAAAAGCTCAATAATTAGAGCACTTGCCTTGCAAGTGAGAGAACTGGGTTCAATCCATAGCAGAGCAAAACGTTAGGCAAGTTTCCTTACTCCACATGCTTCTGTTTACCTAGCAGTAAGTAGGAGCCCAGTTGTTAGTCGATTGGTAGATCGCTTTTCCAGAAGTAATAATTCCTTCNAAAAAATAATAATAGTAAATTGTTCACTTCAATCCATGACTGTTTGCTGCCACGTTTCACCCACAAAATATAGTCAATTCACTTTACAGTATATTCTGTGAAGTGCTTTGAGATGCCTCAACGGTGTGATAAGATGCTATATTAAATGCAAGGATTATTGTTATTAACTTTGAAAAACAGCCCAAAAGAATGATCAGAAAGCTAAATTTTGAGGCAGATTTTGAATCAACAATAACAATTTGCAGTTATATAGCACTCTTCACATGGAGTGGAATGGAGAGATAAGTGGCATCACAGACGCATCTCAGTGGACTCTCCTGGAGACAAGAAGCGAAGGAAAACACAGAGGAAATTGTTACATAGCATGAATAAATAATTATTGTGATTTGCTTTCAGACAGTCAAGGATCATAGCGTCCAGCAGATTTAAAGCCCTACACAATGGAATTCGGGATTATTTTGGCTCTCAAATGTTGGTTCTGGAATATTGTTTATATACTATATTTTCATTCAGTCTGAAGAAAAATGAAACTGAAATCCACTTATTAAAAAGTAAAAACATTGGCATTCAGCTTCAAAATGCAAGTCTTGAACAGTTTAATTGTATTCTGAATGAAGAAAATAAAACTGGACCAGGGAGTTACAGCTTGAAAGCAAGGCTTGCAGGGAAATGCAAGGAAATGGATTGTATGAGTAAAAACATGGCAGGCCTCAGGGAAGAATTGCTCCTGAAACGGGCACAACTGCTGGGTTACATCTGGCCTTGCCTGAATGTGGATTCGAAAAGAAAAAGAACTGGGAAGTTTGGGTGAAGTTCCCTCATCCTTGACTACTCCCCCGGAGAAGGTGCAGGTTGAGTTAGTTACCACTGGGGAAAAGCAAGGTTCACTCTCAGCATCTCCTCACCCATGGTCGCAGTTCAGATGTTGAGTTGTTGATCCTAAACCACCTCTTTGAAACCATTGTTGATTTACACATGTCAGCAGTAAAGCAGATAGTCGATCCTCTGATCACAAATCTGTTCACAATGATGAAGACATTTTTGAAACAAGATCAACCAAACTTGTTAGACTTTTGAGGAGCGGTAACATTGAAGAACATCTAAGGGTCCTTCACCCGAATGAGTTTGACTATATGTTTCATATTCAAGTGCTCGCCTGAATCATCTGGACTCTTTGTTGCCTCCAGAGTCACATGGTTTGGGATTAATCACCATTTGCCCACTGAATCCTGATGATAAAGAAGAGAAATCTTTTCTGAACAAATTTGTGAAGGACAAATATCTTCAGGCCAGTTGTATAAAAGATTGGTTCACAAGTATAACAATGAAGGGGATAGACAAAATGAAGAAATGTGTGGACACCCCACTGAAAGAAGCACTGTATAATTTGAAAATTGCCTCAAAAGATCTGAAAATTAATGTTTCTGAGGTGAGCCCAGGAATATGCCTTAACATACAGCACAAATCATTCCACCGCAGCGTTGACCTAATTCCTTCTCTGCAAGTTGACCGGAAATATGACATATACCTTATTCCTAAGACCTGTACATATCACATCAGTGTTCAGAGAGAAAAAAATAACAAAGATGTTCTCTGGCGCATATCATCCTCTCTCTTTGAGATGAAGTTAATCAAAACATTGACCAATCAATTTTTGTTCTCTTGTCACACACAGTGCTTGAAGATGATGAAAGTGTTGAAGGACTTAGACGCTCAAAAGAGTACATAATCAGTTTACTGCTATCCTCACATCATACCACCTGAAGACAATGATGCTTGAAATATTACTGAGACATAAAACACTCAATTAATCAGGTCTGTTGCACAATAAATGGAATGCCAGTTGTCTTGCAGAGAACCAAAGAATTATTAGATTTTGTTCTCCAAGCAACAGAGAGCAAAAACCTGAAACACATTTTTTTTTGCTTAGATACTAAAGACAATTATTTCGGACGGCAAGGATCTGCAAAGTATGGACCACAGTTCACTAGAACAAGTCAACACACAAATTCAGAACATTCAGAAGCAATGGCTTAATCTTATTTATGAGTTGGTGTCTCCTTTGTCATTGAGATACATGGATTGAAGGTTAAGACTGGTACTGCAGAACTCAATTGGGTGGATCCTATGCTGCTCTCAATGTAAACTCAAAAAGGATGGCTCCCTATTGTTAGCAGAACTGAGTGATAAACTTTAATGTTAACTGTGGAGAGTATCTCTTTCAAAATTCCCTTTCCCCATTTAATTCATTTTCCTTTTCTTTTTGAAGGCTTCAATTGTTAGGTCTCTGCCAACCGACTAAAATTAGCGTGTATCCAAAAATACGCAATCAATAAAAAAAATTAGAAGTGTTTCACTTTTGTTTGTCAGAGGCAGATATGCGCTGGGATCCGTCGTTCACCAACAGGTAATTGGCTGCCGCGTTTTGCTCACAAAATATACAGTCACCAGACTTGACAGTGTATTTCTGTGAAGCGCTCTGAGATGTGATAAGGCGCTATTTATCAAATGTAATTGTTATTACTATTATTATCGATGCCTTATTGCCAGGGTCGCTGGGTGACCTCGAACCCACCACAACCTGCTGAGCCTGAGGCCAGAGCGCTGAGGAAGGCGCCGCGCTGACGCTGACGCTCGGCTGGCGTCCTGCAGCCCTGAGCCTCTCTCTGTGCGTGCTGTGGCACCCATCGTGCACCGCGCGCAATTCCCGCGAAAACGGTTCAAGGAGCAGCGCGAGCGGCAAAAAGAGAAGCGAGCGGCTCCCGCGAGCGACACCTTAACTTGCTAGCGGAAACCCCCCCCCTGAGCGGCGGGGAGGCTGGCCAATCAGGGCACGGCATGGGCGAAGCGCCCTGGCCTCTCGACCAATGGAAGTTGTGGGGGGCTGCCGGGTTGGAGGCGGGATTTCCGGTGTCGGGGGGCGGCGGGAGCGCTGCTCACGTTAGGTTGCGGCGGCGGGTATTTTTGTGGGGATTTTTTCCGCCGCTGAGAGGAGAGGAGGTGCGGGAAACAGGCTTTAAAATCTCTCTCCGGTCCCTCCATTATCCTCTCTTCCCCCCCACCCCCCAACCCCCCCATTTTAATACAATAAAAAAAAGCCCGCGAGAGACCATGGCGCCTCAGAAGCACGGGGGCGGCAAGAACACGGTGAAGAAGCCGAAAATTGACCAAATCCAGGCCGACCACGAGCTTTTCCTTCAGGCCTTCGAGAGTAAGTTTAGGTTTTATTTTCTGGTGGTGGTGGGAGGGGGGGGTTTCCCCCACTTTTTTGACCGTCGCTTGCCCCTGTGGACACGGAGGGAGAGGGGGTGAGGGATTGGGGGGGACAATTCAGCCTGACCGTGCACCGGGACTCGGGTGAAAGCGGCGGCGGAGACCGAGGATTCACCCGCTGACTAGGCCGCACCAGCTGAAAATTTGCCCCCTCTCCTCCCGGACGGGAAGGAAACCGAGGGAAAAGGTTCCCGAACCATCTACAAATGGTGAGGATGGGACCCCGGCGGTGAGCCCCCCCGCCCCCCTTGTTGTAAGATTAATTTCCCTCCTCAGTCAACGGTTTTAAGATCAGTTTCTGGGGTTGGATAACGTTGGTTTCATTTGAAGCTGTTTAGATATTTTATTTGTGTTTAAATTAATATAAAACCAAGGAGGAAATTCAGCCAATGTGCTCGGATTCTCTCATATCCTTTGGATTAGTTTGCAGATGTTGCCGTTAAATCCAAATATCTATCTATCTATATATACACACAGATATATGTGTATGTATAAATATTTAAGTGGAAAATTAGTCTTTTAAAGACTTATTTTAAATGTTTAATTTTAAAAAACGCCCCTCCTCTTGACGTATTGGACATTTGCGGAGTGAAGAGTTTGTAAGTATCAATGAAACGTATTTAATTTGTGCCATTTTAACCCGACAATACGTTTCGTTACCCTCACTAGTTATAAAAATGCTGAAAGCCTTTTTGTAAATCGTTGAGATAAGGTTGAATTCGTTTGTTTGTGGCATTATTGGACTATCCCGCATCTAATCTTTATATATCCCTTAAAAATAGTAACATGTGTTGATCTGTAAAGTGGGAATGGGGAAAGAAAAGTTTACATTTCGTTCGTGGGTTGAGATCCGAGTTGTTTTTTTTCCTTTCGTTTTCACAGAACCCACTCAAATTTATAGATTTCTCCGAACCAGGAACCTCATAGCGGTAAGCTTCGTATAAATGTTTTCTGGGAAGTGGAAATTAAATATTTTAACTAAGTATTTTAATAAGACAACTTTTCTGAATTGTCGCAGTGCTTTGCGATTTTTTTAAAATGGACACTGCTTTAATCGCCGTCTGTGGATGTTTCGTTTTTGTCCGACAAATAAGTAAAATCTTAGATATGAATTAAACAGGATTGATGTTTTATTTTTGCTTTCTAAATCTCTTAAAATGCTTATTATGTAAATCGACTTTTCCTGAATATCAGGAAATGAGTTATGGCGCAATTTCTGACTGGTATGTTCTGTTTTCCAGCCCATCTTTTTGCACAGAACTCTCACTTATATGTCGCATCGATTATCAAGAACAAATGCCAAAAGGTAATTTTGCAAGTTCGGTTGCTGGTGCATGGGTCCACGGTGAAGCTGGTCATTTGAATAATTTGTTCTAGAATTCGTCATATTGTTGGTGTGTTTTAACTGGCGCCTTCAGTGTTTTTTCCTCTGGTTGATGCCATTAACGTTGTTGAGAATTGGCAGAATGGTCGCAAAATGTTATTAAAACGCTGTCGTTTTGCGGGTTCAAGAGGACACCACAGGTTTCTAGGGAATAATGCAAAAGCCTGGTCAGTTTCCACTGTAGGATGTATACAAGAGCTTTGTGATTTTGATGTGAACAGAATTGTGATTTTTGGAGGTGAACAAACAACAATAGTAGATGAGAGGTGTAGCTACCTGGCTTCATTGACATTTAATCTGATATTGTTTTAGCCCTTGGAGTAGTACTTGGTCATTCTTTTAATGTGTGTTCAGTTAACTTACTTAATGTACACATTACTCACATTGTCAGTATTTTAATTTAGGGCAAAATCATAAAATATGGGAAAGATGACAGCTAATTTTAGGTTTGGTCAAATTATTACAAAACAATATATTAATTTTAACCTAATCAGTAAAACTAAAGGTTAACCAGTATTGCTGCTCTTCATTTGAAGGATTGGTACCAAGGTCTGAACTGATCCTATCTGAAATTGCAGGGCACAGTATTGAAAGTAGACTGGAAAATGTGCTCTTTATAACAACAACAAAATTACATTTGTATAGCACCTTTCCTGTCGGGGGGGGGCATCCCAAGGCGCTGGACAGACAGAGTTTGAGACCTGAGCTGGGGGCTCGGGAAGGGTGGCGGGCAGGGGGGGGAAGCAGGGAGATCGAAAGCATGGTCGAAGAGATGGGTCTTGAAGGTGGCGAGGGAGAGGTGGAGGGACTGCGGAATGGAGTTCCAGAGAATTCCAGGTGGAGTTCTTTAGCTGAAAAATGGTGACTTTTCCAAGAATCCATCTAATGTGGCTTAAGATTTTTCATGCAGCATTTAAACTGTTTTATTAAAAAAAACTAGCAACAGCTTGTGAAAGTTTATTTTTTTTAAAAGTTCAATATTGTTGTTTTCCAAACCCTTTGATATATTCCAAGTTGTTAAGAATCCCTTTTTGACATGTATTAAGAGTATCCACAGGTTTTCTGATCAAGACATTAACTTATTTCGATCCACAACAGTACGTTCTATTCCTTAGTTCTGCCGCTTTCCATTGTAGCCTCTGAATTTACACTGCGATCCCAGGGAGATAAGAAAATGTTGTAACAGTACTTTGACAGGACAAGATGTATCTAGTACCATAATTATCACAGTAAAAGGATCCATTTGATCCACTCACAACCTCATCAAACAAATTATTTCGCTGTTCAATCTTGGGCAAAATTAAAGAAGCATTCCTTTTTCAGGTACCACTGCTCTCATAATAGTTTGGTAGCTTTTGCTTTTGAAAAATTATTTAAAATAGATTCATCACAATAAGCTGCAATAGCCTTTCATCCTGTTATTCATGTTGTATTTCTTGTGTACCGTCTGATTCTTCCGATTGGTTATAAAACCATTTACCTAAGATTTATTTACTTATTTTATCACACTTTTCATTTAACTTCTATTGTGACAAATACAAAGGTCGAAAGTCAGTTTAATAATAAGCTTCCACATTTATTTTAAAATGGATCTTCAACTCTGTAAAAATGAGATTTGAAGAGAAATATTCTGTTAGAATATTTGCTTCTGCTTTCTGCTCTGGACAGTGAAACAAGATTTACTAAAATTCGAGGAATGTTATTGGATTTCATGCAAATGTACATGATACAGACCACCTGTTGATGTAAATTATGCATTTCTATATTGTTAGTGTTTTAGTAGCAGACTGGACCCAAGGTGTCTACTGAGCTATACACACCAGGGAAAGTTCAATCGAGTTGGTGCAGATACTAGCCTCCTTAGGGTGGAAGAAGATTCATGCTCTGGTCTCTGGAAGGTTAGAATTGTAGAGAGGGAGGTCATTTGGCCCACCTTCTTGCTGCTTTAGTTTGGTTCCTGGTTTAAAATGACTGCTGCACATTTTGTTAGCCATTGGGAAAGGTAGTTACAGTAATGGTACTTCTCTCTTCATCTCCTTTCCCTCTTCCCATCTGAAAAGAATGCCATTTTTCAAATTTCTGTTTTGACAAATCACTATTGCTCTAATACTATCACCATAATAAGATTATATATTTGTTTGCTTGACTAGATAGAGTGTAAATCAGTTTCTCAAGCAAAGAACTCAAGTGTATTTCTATTTATTTTGTTAGGTTTCCATTTTCCATTCTGAAAACGAAGTGGCTTTAAATCTAAATGCAGATTTCTTGTTCTGTCTGATGCTCAAAGTCATGACCATTTTTAAATGGGTTCAGTGGCTAGTGAGTTTAGTGGTGCATTCATATTCTTAGTCTGCCTCTTCTAATTGGAGGTGAAATGCTGATGTAGAAGCTGCAGAAGTTAAGATATCCCTGAAGTTGAAAACCATCGGAGTTTTAAAGCAAGTATACTTTCTGCTGTGGAAAAAGTGTATCCATATCAGCTGTTCTAGTTTCTACAGTCCTGCTTTTTGGGGTTCCCAAAGTTGGGTGCTTTCTATAAAGCATTTGGTATGTTTTGTAAGTGTGGTGTACTTATTGTGTAGTTAGTTTCTTCAGTGTATCTGCAATTTTGTGTGTGTATGTGTAGAATTCTTCAGCGATCAAATTCAGATATGCAAAACTAGAAATATATATGAATGAGCACAGTGCATTGTAGTCCACTATATCTTAGATGAGTGAGATTATCTATCATTTAATTACTGTTGATTCTGCAGGTCAGCTACTTGTGGTTAGGAATTGGTATAATATTAGGTTGGTGTGAACTTTTTTCTTCCTGAAAAAAGATGTTTTGAAGCCTTGAAGCCTTACGTGTTTCAATTTTCTCTCACATTACTTTGATGATACTGAGGCTCTCTTCAGCACCTCTTCACTTCGGGTGCTGACCATATCAACCTCCCTCTATCTCTGCAACATTGCCTTTGCCTCTGCCACTACTTTACTCCCACGCCCACGTGCTCACATGGAAAACCTGGTCTATGCCTTTTGTATCCACAGACTCAACTTTTCCCATGCTCTACACACTGGCCTCTCCAGCCAAACCCTTCAAGTTCCAGGCTATCTAGATTTCTACACCTGCTCCCTTACCAATCAGTTGGATCCAACTAAATTTCTGTGAAATGTGTGCTCATGAAAGCTGTGTAAAGGCTCAATGCGTAAAAAAGGAAATCAGCAACTTCCATTGATGCATTGCTTTGAGGCTTCGGTGGGGATGTAACAAATGGAATCATAGCACAGTAGAATTCTTGAGCACCTTTTTAATTAGTGCTTAGGTTTGGGACTGATGTTGGATCAGGAATTTCTCTTCCTGTAATACGAATGACTGCTGCTTTCTAACCTGATGTAAGGATTTCTGGTAGGCTGTTGGAAGGGGCAGATAATTTAGTTCACTTGCCCCCAATAAATTCCCCTCCTAGCCTCCAAAAATGCACTATGTATGTACTCCACATTGGTTATTCAGTAATGTTCCATTTTAATGTGTGTAGTTTCACTCATAACAAAATAATTATTCTTTGAAGATTGAATCACATTATACACTGAATGGTCCTGTTTTTTTAAAAAAAGTTGCTTTTCCTCCAATGGGAGCAAATTAAAGGACTTGTGTGTTTGGGTCATGAATGAATTCTCTGATAGTATTCCATCATGTTTTGTCTTATGTAAAATTAACATTCTTGTTGGGGGTGGGGGGAGAATTATTACTGAAGTGTTAACGTACACAATTATTGCCTATGTATTCTCTATATTGCTGTGTAATGGAAGAGATTCTGAAAGGAATATTTTCAGAAGAGATTAATATTTGATCTGCAAGGATGAGATGGAACTGTTTTTATAAAGTTAAGTGCTAACACCACCTGGCTATGTAAGTGGGGTAATTAACTCAGGAATGCTTCAACTACAATTGTGTGTTGCATTTAAATTAAATTGAGTTTTCTCAGCTAAAGTAAATGTAGTCATTTAATATATGGGACAAATTGATGTCTAGCCACATGTACTGGAAGGTTGTTAAAAGGCTTGTGGCATATTGTAGAGAAGGTTGTTCGATTCGTCTGTGAAAATCTTAACGGATAGCATTTCTGCAAGCAATAAACAAACTTCCCAGTTGATCAAAATGCCTGTAAATTTAAATGACATTTAGTGAAGAGCTTATTAATTTTTACAGTATCGGTATGATTACAATTAGTGATGTAAAGCTTGTCTGGGTTCCCGTGGCGAGGCATTGATGCATTTGATGTGTTTTGGTGGTAGTGCCCCTCTTCATGTGTAAGCCTTGATAGTACAGGGTATTAAGAGATTTTGGCAGCAGCCATCTCCTGCGTTCTATATAATCTATGGGTACCCACCAAGTTAAATACATCTATAAAACTGTCCTTGGGAATTGATGGAGCATATTATTTTACACCATTTCTTGCATTGGTGTAGCGCAGGGTCTGTCCTGATGTAATAAATACATTTCTATAATAATCATTATATTTGATATAGCGCCTTATCACGTCACCAAGACACCTGAAAGCGCTTCACAAAACTTACTGCAAAATGAATTGACTACATTTTGTGAGCCAATTGCGCACAGCAGTGTCCCAAAAACAGTTGTGGATTGAGTGACCAATTTTTTTAAGGATTATTACCCCCTGAAAGCAATCTGTCAATCGACCAACAACCAGGTGCTTGCTTACTGCTGGGTAAACAGAGGTGTGTGGAGTAAGCAAACTTGCCTAAGGTTTCGCTCTGCTGAGGAATCGAACCCGGGTCCTCTCGCTTGCGAAGGTTGCTTACCTCTGAGTCCCTAAACCCCACATAATCTTAGCCTTAACATTTGAGATGGTGCGATGTTAAAAAAAAAATTCTATAATTTCCATGTGCAATGTTAAAATTTTGAGAGCTTGCAGGCTAAGGCAAGGTGGAATTTTGGGGGCTAAGGTTTCTGAAAAGATAACACAGATACACATTCTTATACATGTTAATGAATTCTTTATCAAATAGTTATCCGATTTTATTTAATCTGTCTTTTCATAGTTAGTTTCCCACTTGGAAGGAGGGGAATCAAGTGAAGAAACCATTTTCAGGTTTATTGGACAAGATTTAGTACAGGATATTACTATTGTATTTTGTTATTCTTTCCACAATTATTTAAAAGAAGAGACACAATGGTGGAGTAGTTGCAGCTTACATTTGACAGTGGTTTGGTATGAGGTTTGAGATCTGAGCAAAGAACAGATGAAATAGGAAAGTGAAATGTAAGTCACCAAGTATATATATTTACATTTTCGTGGATGCAATTGGCTATTAACTTGCATCTCTTTTCGTCCTAACTTGCTTGACACTGAATATTTTGTATCCTTGAATGTCACTCTCGTAAATATTTTTAAGAGATTGGGTTTAAACGTTGCAGATAAATTGTACATGTTTGACCTTAAGTTATGATCCTTTTTAGCTATTGAAGGCTGAGTTGGTGTTCAGATAGCATTCCACAGCTTCCACTGTTATAATAAAACACTTAATAGACAATCTTATGTTTCAGGAAAACCTTTAAAGTGAACGATATGTTGGCCAAAGTAGAGAAAATGAGGGGAGAGCAGGAATCTCCCAGGTAAGATAATTCCTTCAAATAACCCTGGAACATGAGCTGTTTTAGATATTGGGATCTAATTTCCAATGTTTTGTGCATTTTTAAATATATGTGCAATATAACCTTTTAATGTGCTAAAAAATGTGATCCTTGGCACTTCAATGTTTTTGAAATTCTATAATTCTGATTAAGTGGCAAGAAATATTGCAAATTAGATTCCAGTTTGCACTGCTTGGACTTTGGTGGTGGGGGTGTTGTCAGTTTTTCTTGGCATCTTCTGTTTTGTGTCTCCTCTGCTTGCTTGCCTGCTCACAGATACTGTTCCTGTACTTGTTTTAGTTGGGGGAATAGAACTGGGAAAGGGGTGACTTGGGCAAACTGTCAAAAGATGTGTTGCGTTGTCCAAGCTTAATGTTGGGTATAAATGTGCCTGAGCTGCTGATTAATTCTGTTTCCTTCCTTCCAGCAGCTTGACAGCTCATCTGCAACTTACATTTACCGGTTTCTTCCATAAAAATGGTAGGTAGATCTCCTAATCAGACCCAGCATAATAATGAGGTGTCAGTGATTGGTTCTGATTAATATGCTTAGTTATGATATAGTGCATGACGGATTCTCTGGTTATCTTTTGTGCTTTTGAGATCACTGGGAGAACGATCTAGGGTTGGGAAGAGCTGTTTTTCACAGTGGTTGGTGGAACCAGTCTAATCCATGTCAATAGCTTAAATTGTGCTGGATATGAACACAAAGACAATATCACTATAGAATGTACTATAATAATAATCCTTGCATTTGATGTAGTGCTTTTCATGTCTTCTAGGCGTCTCACAGTGCTTCACAGAATATACTGTAAAGTGAATTGACTGTATATTTGTGGGCGAAACACGACAGCCAATTGTGCACAGCAGTGTTTCACATACAGTCGTGGATTGAATGACTCATTTTTTTTCTTGAGGGATTATTATCAGGCATGTGGAGTAAAGAAACTTGCCCGAGGATTTGCCCTGCCGGAAATCAAACCCCGGTCTCTCGCTTGCGAGGCGAGTGCTCCAACCACTGAGCTACAGAACTTATTGTGAAAACGTACAAAATACAGTGAAGCCCGTTTGCGGCAGTAACCTTTCATTGTACCTTAGAACCTCACCTTGGGCACTTCAGTCAAGGGAGTAGTGGAAGGAGAAAGAGTTGACATTAGGCTGTGGAGAGTATAATTTGTACTATACTGTACACTGACTAGTGTTGGGTAATTAAATTCCCATTTGATTGCATGGAAGGGATTGTGGAACTTGCTGCTAGTTTGTTCAGCACAGTAGCAAACATCAAGCTGTTGGTTCAATTTAAGTCTGTTCTTAAATCTGAAGATTGTATAGTATTTGGTGGAAACTAGTGTTTGTTTTCTTAAAGGGATATTGCAATGTATTAATTAATTACAGTAAGGTTGTAAATAAATTAGTTTTAGCATTTGCAGTTTCTGTTTGCATCCCATTTGACTATATTCTTCCAACTAGAAAAGCCATCTCAAAACTCAGAGAACGAACAAAACTCTGTATCCCTGGAGGTGCTACTTGTTAAAGTCTGCCACAAAAAACGTAAGGTACAGTATGCACATTATTAAATCATCCTAAAGAGCAGCACGGTGCCGCAGTGTTTGTATATTGATGAAAGCAAAGGATTTTAATTGCCTACAAACTCAACTTATCCCAGAGGAGATACTTGCACATTTTATGTACTTGTGAGAATTTTTATAAAATACTTATGTGAAGTCTGTTGTCAGTGAAATGTGAGGAGTGTATTTTGTTGTAACAATGGTGATAAATTGGAGGAGGTTCTTTTGACAATTTGGTTCATGTTTCAGCAATTTGCAGCTTTGAGATTCTTATATACCCTGAAATTAGATGTTTCTTAGGAGCAAATGGATCAGATGGTGTACATTTTTCTAGCAGATTGTTACAGTGGCAGTCTTCTGAGATATTTTGTGTAGTGAAATCCAACTTTGTTTCACAGATTTTGCTAAGGAGTGTTCAGAGAGAAATGGTGATGCCCTGTTGGTGATGTGTAAGGACAGAGTAGATGTGATTATAGATTTTTTTTTGAGTAATCTGTTGCAGGGAGTCCCTGGCTCATGTATGTTAATCATTTGCTCATCCCTGTAGGGTTCCTGGAAATGGGTCACACTGAGGGCCTGAGTAACACAATTCACCCCACCTAATGACAACTTCTACTTATATAGCGCTCTCCACACAGGGTAGGGTCTCAGAGTGCTTAACAGTGGCGGAGCCTGACTCCGCGCTGGGGTGGGAGATGGCCGTAAACACGGTCGAAGAGGAAGGTCTTCAGGCGGGACTTGTATAAAGGGAGAGGGAACAAAATTGAGGGACAATGTTCCAGAGTTTTGGGGCGTTGTGGCTCAAAAAGCGCGATTTCCGAGGTGGGGTGAAGGGTGCGAGGGACGAGCAGGAGGCTGGTGTCAGTCGAGCAGAGGCCAAGATGTAGGAATAAAATTGTCATCACACCCACTTTTCCCTAGGAGCAGCTCTGAACATCTATTACATTATACTTGAGCTGTGTAGAGCTGCCAGATAGAGCAATAAATGGGACCCGATTCTTTGCTTGGTAACAATGCCAAATTCATTGGATCAAGTCACTGTAATGTGCTTATCAGGTGTAAGATGGGCAACAATAGAATTCAGCAAAGGTCCTGCCAAAAAGCAAACTTAATCTAAACTTCAAAGGCAATGAATTGCAGACTGTCAAATGGAATGTTTAAAGCTGAAGGGGCAAGAACGTAAATTAGCAAGCTCTCTGAATGTGCGTGTCTGTGTCTAAATGCTATTTCGGGGTGCAGGGATCTGGAATATTGTTAGAGGTTGAGGTGACTGGTGTTTGGTCCCTAAGTTGTGCTTTATTCCAGACCGAGCTACGACTTGTCTTTGTTTTACATTTTATTTATTAAGACTATAGTTCTTATTTTTAACTTGTTTACTAACTTGTTAATTTCTTCTCAAGGATGTTAGTTACCCGATCAAGCAAGTGCCTACAGGTAAAAAGCAGGTGCCTTTGAACCCAGACAACAGCCAATTCAAGCCAGGCAACTGTCCTTCCCTTGCCGTCCCTAGCAACGAGTTTGAGCCAAGCAACAGCCATATGGTAAAATCCTATTCGCTGCTATTCAGAGTGACTCGACCAGGAAGGAGGGAAGTGAACGGACTGACCAATGGGGAGATTAATGAAAATATCGGTAAGCATTATTTGTAGTTGTGTATCAGATCCCCAGAGATTTGTTATTTGTTCCAACGGAAATTAATGAAACGTTATTATAGAGAACCCTTGAGGTTTGGTATAGTAGTAAGATCAAGTTACAAATGCTTATTAAGCAAGTGTAGAATTGTACAGCACAAAAAGAGGCCGTTCGGCCCATCGAGTTTGTGCTGGTTCTTTGGGAAGAGCAATTAACGTCAATCCCACTCCCCGGCCCTTTCCCCATAACCCGCAAACCCGTCCTCCTCAAATACCCGTCCACCGCGTTTTTAAAAGTAGTTATTGAATCGGCCTCCACCGCCCTTTCAGGCGATGCGTTCCAGATTCGAACAACTCGTTGCGTGAAAAAATGTCTTCTCACCTCTCCCCTCGGCTTCTTTTAGAGACTATTTTGAATCTGTGACCTCGAGTCACCGACACACCCACCAGTGGGAACAGTTTTTCCCTTTCTAACCTATCAAATCCCCTCATGATTTTGAAAACCTCTATTAGGTCCTCGTAACCTTCTCTGCTCCAATGAGAATAATCCTAACCTCTCCAGCCTTTCCTCATCATCGAGGTCCCTCATTCCTGGTACCATCCTCGTAAATCTCCTCTGCGCTCTTTCCAATACCTTAACATCCTTCCTATAGTGCGGTGCCCAGAACTGGGCGAAGTATTCTAACTGAGGCCTAACCAGTGTTTTATATCGGTTAATCATCACCTCCTGACTCTTGTATTCTATGCCCCTATTTATAAAGCCCAGTATCCCATATGTCCTTTTTACAGCTGTATCTACCTGTCCTGCCACCTTCAAGGATTCATTTACCTGCCCCCCCAGGTCTCTCTGTTCCTTCACCCTCTTAAGATTGTATTACCGCCTATATTGTGTCCCCTCATTCTTTCTACCAAAACGCATTACTTTGCATTTCTCCACATTGAAACTCATCTGCTATGTGTCGCCCATTTTACCATTCTGTCTATGTCTTCCTGCAGTCGGCTCCTATCCTTCTCACTGTTTACCCCCTCCCTAACTTTGTGTCATCTGCAAACTTGGAAATGGTACTTGCTATACCCAAGTCCAGATCATTTATGTATATTAAGAAGAGCAGTGGTCCTAATACCGATCCCTGGGGGACACCACTGTACACTTCCCTCCAGTCAGAAGAGCAGCCGTTCACCACAACTCTCTGCTTTCTGTCCCCCAGTCAGTTCTGGATCCGCTGCCACTGTCCCTTTTATACCGTGGGCTTCTATCTTTCTTTCAAGTCTTTCATATGGCACTTTGTCAAATGCCTTTGAAAGTCCATATAAACTACATCAAATGCACTACCTTTATCCACCCTCTCCGTTACCTCATCGAAAAATTCTATTAGATTTGTTAGACAAGATTTGCCTTTAACAAATCGGTGCGGCTGTCCCTAATTAACCCATATTCTTCTAAGTGAAGATTTATTCTGTCCAGGATTATAGTCTCCAGGAGTTTCCCCACTACTGATGTTAGGCTGACTGGCCTGGAGTTCCCAGGTTTGTCCTTCTGTCCCTTTTTGTACCGGGAGCCACATTGGCCACTCTCCAGTCCTCTGGCACCACTCCTGTGTCCAACAAAGATTGAAAAATTGTGGCCAAAGCCTCCGCTATTTGTACCCGTGCCTCCCATAGTAACCTTGGCTGCATCCCGTCCGGACCGGGCGACTTATCTACCTTCAGCCCAGTCAACCTTTTCAGTACTTCCTCTCTGTTTATACTTATCCTATCCATTTCCTCTATCCTCTCCTCCGATACTACGGCATTTGGTGCATTATTTGTGAAGACAGATGCAAAGTACTCATTCAGCACATCAGCCATGCCCTCTGCCTCCACAGTAAGATTTCCCCCTTGGTCCTTAATTGGCCCCACCCTACCTTTGACTAGCCTTTTTTTCTTGATGTTTGTAAAATGTTTTCGAATTCTCTTTAATGTTTCCCGCTAACCTTTTTTCGTATAATCTTTTTGCCGCTCTTATTTCCTTTTTCAAACCTCTTCTGCACTTCCTATACTCTACTTGTTTGTCTTCTGTATCTTGGGTTTCACATTTGTCATATGCCTTCTTTTTCTGCTTCATTCAAGACACAATTACCTTCATCCTCCAGGGAGGTTTGGATGCCCTACTTTTCCCTTTTGTGGGAATGTATTTGTTCTGTCCCCGAGCTATCTCATCCTTGAAGACTTCCCACTGCTCTTTAGTTATTTTACCTGCCAATCTTTCTTTCCAGTCCACCTTGGTTAGGTCCCTTTTTAACTCACTGAAATTAGCCCTCTTCCAGTTGAATATCTTCACCTTAGATGGTTCCTTGTCTCTAATGATGTTATGATCACTATTGCCCAGAGGCTCTCCCACTGAAATCTGCTCCACTTGCCCTACTTCATTCCCCAGAACTAGATCTGGCACTACTTCCTTCCTTGTTGAACTGGAAATGTATGATCAAGAAAAATGTTCTATATACATTTTAGGAATCTTTCCCCCTCCTTGCCCTTTGCGCTGTTGCTTTGCCAGTCTATGTTGGGATAATTAAAGTCCCTCATTATCATGACTCTATTGGCCTTGCATCTGTCTGAGATCCGCTAATCTATTTCCTTCCCACTATTTGGTGGTCTATAGTATACCCCTGCCAGCGTAACAGCTCCTTTTTTTGTTCCTGAACTCTAACCAGATAGATTCTGTTTTGGGGCCCTCCAGCACCTCGACCCTTTCCACGGCTATAACCGTATCCTTGATTAACGATGCCACACACCCTCCTTTTTTTCCTTCCCTATCCCTCCTGAATACATTATAGCCAGGAATATTCAGCTCCCATTCCTGTACTTGTTCGAGCCAAGTCTCTGTTACTGCTACTACATCGTATCCCCCTATGGCCACTTGAACCTGCAGCTCACCAATGTTTGCTAAAATCCGTGCATTTAGGCACGTGCACTCCAAGACCGACTTGACCTGTTCTGCACTCCACCCCACCCCCCCTGTTTTTTTTCTCCATTTTCTAGCTCTCTTTTTTGCATTCCCTTCCCCAACAGTATTAGTTAGCCTGTCTGCAAGCACATTCGCCCCAACCCTGTTTATGTGCAACCCATCCATATGGTACAGGTCCCACCTGCCCCAGAACTGGTCCCAATGATCCAGAAACCTGAAGCCCTCTTTTCTAGACCATTTCTCCAGCCAAGCATTCATATGCTTGATCCTGCCATTCTGGTACGTATTTGCCCGAGGCACAGGGAGTAATCCAGAGATCGCCACCTTGGCTGTTCAATTCTTTAGTATGTTCCCCAGCGTTTGTTATTGACCCCGTAGAGTCTCAGCCCTTTTTTTAATCAATATCATGGATCCCCACCTGGGCTCCCACTTCTGGATGTTCTCCTTCCCCCTGAAGAATTTAATCACCCTTTCTGCGATGTCTAAGACTGTTGCACCAGGGAGGCAACATACCATCCTTGACTCCAGTCTTCTGTTACAGAAACGTCGGTCTATATCTCTCACTGTTGTATCCCCTATGACAACAGCATTGCTCCTGTTACCTATGTCCCCCTGTTCCACCAATCGGTTTATACTGTCCTCCCTGGAGATATCAACACTCTCAATGTTCAGTACAGAGTACTGGTTTGAGAGTGCTACGCTATTGGGGGCATTCTGCCCTGCCCGTCCCCTCTTCTTATCATGCCGGACAGTCACCCAGTCATTTTCCGTCTGAACCCTCGGTGTGTGGGGTGGGGTGACAACCTCTTGAGGTGTCTAGTCCATCAAATACCCACATCCGTTGATCAAGTTTGAGCCCAAGGCTCCATCACTCCTCTCTCAGGGGTCCCATTATCTGCTGGACTGATGAAACCATCCTGTCCCTGAGCATTAACCGGATGCAAGCATCTCCCGAGCCTCAGGGGAGTGATGGTTTCCTCCATCATACTGTCCAGGAACCTCTCACTGTCCCTGATGGAGCGCAGGGTCTGCACCTCGGCTCCCAGCTCAGCTCCTCAGCTGGAGCTTCCTGAGTTGCAGACACTTGCTACATATGAAGTCGCCCGGACTCAGGGCCCTCCATTACTCCCACATGTCACAGACCTCACATTTCACTTACCACATCATCTTCTCAGAGTGTTTTCTATATATTTTTTTTATTTTATTTGCCGTCAAATTTGCCATCTGTATCTTCCAGTGAAACTCAATTTTAATCTATTCCTAAATCCTAAATTAAGAATAGATTACAATTGGGTTTTAGCAAATTGTGTGCTTTGATTTTAAAATTGATCACACATCATTCAAGAGATTGTTCAGTAGTAGAAAAATTAGGATCTTCTGTGTATTAGTGAAAATTGAGTTAGTTTAAGTTTGCTGCCAATTTTGTGGTTTCTAATGACCAATCTTTGTCCTCACTGGGTGTAGTTTTTTTTACACACTTTTGGTGTTGGCAATGGTTGAATCATTCAGTTGCCTGACTAGATTGTCCTGGGAGCATGAAGACAAAACCACAAATATCCTGATCTCAACAATGCTGAGAATTGCTTAAATTAACTCGTGCTGATTACGGTACTGACTTTCTTTTAGAAGTCACGGAAGAAGTTCCTAGTAGGCGAAAGCGGAATTCGTCGCACAAGGATGATGGGGAGAAGACGTTTGTAGCCCAGATGACAGTCTTTGATAAGAATCGGTAAGAATTGTGACCTAGTTTGTGGGCTTGGTGCACAAATTAAATGCCTTTTCCTCAAGTCATCAACAACAACAAAATTACATTTATAGAGCGCCCTTCATGTCGGGAGGATGTCCCAAAGCGCTGAACAGTCAGGTATCGAGCATCGGGGAGGGGTGGTGTAAGGATGAGGGAAGGCAGAAAGGTGGGAGGGAGACCAAAGGCAGGGTCGAAGAGAAGGGTCTTGAGACCGGCCTTGAAGGAGGCAAGGGAGGAAGCGAGGCGAAGGGTGGGATGCAGTTCCAGAGTGTGGGGCAGAGAGGCTGAAAGCCCGGCCACCGATGGTCGGGCGGGAGACATGGAGCAGCCGGAGCCCGATGAACGAAGGGAGTGGGCAGGTTGGTAGGGAGTCAGCAGGTCAGAGAGGTAGGAGGGGGCAAGGCCATGGATGGCTTTAAAGGTGAGGATGAGGATCTTGAACTTGATTTTCTGGGGGGATGGGGAGCCAGTGGAATTGGATGGGAGTGATGGGGTCACGGAACCTGGTACGTGAGAGTACACGAGCTGCAGAGTTTTGGATGATCTGCAGCTTGTGAAGGGAAGAGGAGGGAGTTCCCATAATCAAGCCTTGAGGTGACGAATGCATGGGTGAGGGTTGAGGCAGTGGCGGAGTCTGGCAATATTGTGGAGGTGGTGGTAGGCAGGCCGGTCATGGTGCGGATGTGGGGGAGAAAGGACAGTTCAGGGTCAAACAAGATAACTTCTTGAACCATTGTTGAACTTTGCTCTGCACATTGTAGCCCTTTAGTAATATATCTAGTCGCTGGGACCTATTAAACTGACCCTTTACTCCTTAGGACCACTGCTGTCCTGACAGACTGCCTGTCGGACATCAAGTCCTGGATGAGGGCAAATTTCCTACACTTGAATGTGAACAAGACTGTGGCCCTCCTGATTGGCTCTCGCCAGCGCCTCCACACCTCAGGCTCTGGCAGGGTCAACCTCCATTGTTGCAACTCACCAGCCAGTCTTGTTCGACCCTCAACTATCTTCTCCCCCACATTCAAGCCATGACCCGCTCTGCCTTCCCTCACCTCCGTAACATCGCTCGACTTTGCCACTATCTCACCCCTCAGGCCACTGAAGCTCTTGTTCATGCCTTCATCATCTCCAGGCTCGACTATGCAAACGCTTGTCGGCCTTCCCAACTCCTCCCTCCACAGGCTGCAGATAATCCAGAACTCAGTAGCCCGTGTCCTCTCCCGCACCAAACTCCGTGACCCCACCCCCCCCACTCTCGCCCGACTCCATTGGCTTCCTATCCTTCAGAGGATCCAGTTCACGATCCTGGTCCTCACATACGAAGCCCTACTTCTGTGACCTCCTAACCCCCTTCTAACCCGCCCGTTCCCTCTGCTCAGCCGGCTCTGGCCTGCTCCACATCCCCCTACCCACCCGCCCCACCATTGGCGCCTTCAGCCATTCTGTCCCCAACCTCTGGAATTAAATCCCGCAGTCACTCTGCCTCACCACCCCCCCAGCTCGGGTCTGAAATCCTGTGCTCTGTCCTGACGTGAAAGGCACTATACAAATGTAATCTTGTTGCTGTTATGCTCAACACTGGTGTATTATATGGGGGGGTGGCAGCAATGTTCCGAATCTGTGATGTGTTGCTCGCAGACGTTTGCAGCTGCTGGACGGGGAGTATGAAGTAGCCATGCAGGAAATGGACGAATGCCCTGTCAGCAAGAAAAGAGCTACATGGGAAACCATTCTTGATGGGAAGGTACTTGTTTTACTAAAGTCCCGTGTGTGGGGCTGGGCAGTGTCAATGGGTGGTTTGACTGTGCAGATCTCACAACTGAACGTGATCTCTTGGGGGACAAATCCAGTGTCTGCTTGAGCTCAGCTAACTATACCGGCTGGGGATCAAGCCTTTGGATAGCCTGTTTGCTGCCTGAGCTCTTGCTGGAGGAGCACCCAATATGTTTACAATGTCTGATTTGGAAACTGCTTTTAATGACCAGGAGTATATCCTGTGAAGCGTTTTGAAACGTCTCGAAGATGTGATAAGATGCTGTATCAAATGCAAGGATTATTATTATATTTATTGAGGTTGGGCACACTTTACCTCATTGTCACTTTATCCCTAAATATTGCACTGAAACCTCTGAGCGGCAATCTTTGTCAGTCTCTGCAATGGATTTGTGTTTTCTGTTCTGATCTAGATGTCTCTGTAGAGATTATAAACCGCGTCTCTTGTTAATGATTACCAAGTGCCATCTAATGCATTTCCTAACCTTAGTACTTGATGTCTTTGCAGAGGTTACCTCCTTTTGAAACATTTTCTCAGGGTCCCACTCTCCAGTTCACCCTCCGATGGACGGGAGATGCCGCGGATAGGTCTACTGCTCCAGTAGCTAAACCTCTGGCAACTCGCAATACTGACACCACCGCCGCCGAGACCAAACTCAACTCTGTGAAACCAGCACAGACCCTCGGTAAGAGGCGCTGACTCAATGCACAAGCTTCTTATTGGTGGCAAGCGGGCAGTTATCTATATTAAGCATGACATCAGAAACAAACCTTTTGTTCTTGCACGCAGCTGTTAAAGATCCATTGGGGACTGAACTTCAAACTAAGAGGGAGCAAGTTCCAATGGAGCCACGGCAGAAGTTGAGGATATTTTATCAGGTACAGGAGTCATGCACCAGAGTTGTATCTTTTGACATTTGCATGGGTCGGTGTCCGTTTGAATGAGAGTGTGAGCCCACAAGTCCAGCAGCTTGCGTAGTGTGTTAGGCCACGGATGTGTTGGAATAGCTTCAATTTGTTCGGCTAGTCGTAGCCTCCCCTCCCCTACATATTATATAATATATATATTAAAAAAAGCCTTGTGGAGGTCATTTTGAATAATGAATCACTCTGCCTCTACTCTGCCCACCTTAAGATCTATCTTTATTGACTGCGTGTTTAGCCACCACTTTGGTTTAAAAAGGTGATGTTTTGGGGGCTGTTCTGAATTACAAATGATTGTGTGAAACTGATGCAGCAACAGTTAGTTATCTGAACATTGTGTGGCTACGGCTACTTTAACTCTGCAGCATTTAACTTTACAGTTCCTTTACAACAACAACACACGCCAGCAAACTGAAGCCAGAGATGACTTGCATTGTCCATGGTGCACACTGAACTGTCGGAAGTTGTACAGCTTGCTGAAACACCTCAAGCTTTGCCATAGCAGATTTATCTTCAATTATGTGGTGAGTGTGTGTATTGTGGAGTCCTGTAGCTTAGAGGTTAGAGCACTCGCCTTGCAAACGAGAAGACCTGAGTTTGATTCCTGGACGGGGTGAAACGTTAGGCAAGTTTCCCTACTCCAATGCCTCTGTTTACCTAGTAGGAACCAGGTTGTTAATCGATTGGGATCACTTTTCTCGGGGTAATAATCCGTTCAATAAAAAGAGAATTTAAAAAAGGAACAATAATGTGGTCCCTCAATCCATGACTGTTTGTGGGACGCTGCTGTGCGCAGCTGCGTTTTGCCCACAAAATATTCAGTCAATTCATTTTACGGTATATTCTGTGAAGCGCTTTGAAGCGTCTCAAAGAAGTGAAAAAGCGTTATATCAAATGCAACAACAACAAGATTACATTTATAAAGCGCCTTTCACGTCAGGAGGACGTCCCAAGGCGCTGCACAGTTGGGTCATGACCCGAGCAGGGGGGAAATGGTCAGGGTGAGGGGAGGGAGCGAGGAGGGGGAAGAGAGTCGAGAGGGGAGCTGAAGGCACGGTCAAAGAGAAGTGCAAGGATTATTATTGTGTGCAATTTTTATTAAATGGGCCTAAAGGGCAGGTGCGTAGGTGTAATAATTTGTGAGACTTACGAATTTGCTAGGTGAAAGAAGAATAAGGCCCATCCATTTTGCCTTCCATCATTCTGGCAGTCGCTAGACATGTCGTGTCCCAAACTATGTCATATCACGAGATATTATTTTCAAACAGAAATATAAGAACGTAACCTCGGGCGTCCTGAACTTTTCTGAAGCCTTACTTCCTGAAAACATCCTCCCTGATTCTTGAGAGAGAGTGAGTGATTTGGGAGTAAATGTATGGAACAGGCTAGGTGGCCTGAATGGCCTCCTGTTCCTATTTAGTAAACTTGTGACCTATTTCACAGCTAACCAGTAATATGGAGACGGCTGTGTTGTGTGAGGTGCAAGTTGCTCCAGGACGTTATCCATAAAACCTGGTTCAGCAGCCAGCAGTTCCCAACCTGTAACACCGGTGCCACCATTATACCATCGGAACTGTAACCAGGGTAAAGAATGATCATAAGTCATCTTTCTCTGCAGCCTCATCCTAAAGGTGCTCGGATAGACGTATCAATCAACGAGTGTTACGATGGCTCCTATGCAGGGAATCCTCAGGATATTCACTCCCAGCCTGGGTTTGCCTTTAGCCGTAATGGTCCCGTGAAAAGAACACCAGTGACTCATATCTTGGTCTGCAGGTAATTTCCCATTGCGTATTGATGCCTTTGTAGGTCGGGTGGGAATGTGGGTGCTGCAATAAGACTTATCTCACAATTGAACCGTGTTTTTCCAGTTACATTGAGCTGCTCGCCTGGGAGCTGTGTGCGTTGTGGACTGTCATACCCTTGAAATAGGGGAAGCAAAACGTGTGTTAGTGATGTGGAGAAATCCATAGTGTGACCATCACACAGCACTTTAGTTGAAGGAGGTCGAGTTGTGTAAAGTGACTTGGAGCGAAAGCTTGGACTTCCAGAGTTTGACTGAGGTCCCTCTTTGATCCCACCGCCAAGTCCATACTCTGTTCCTGGAGAAGGCTAAACAGGCCAGTAATGTCTTTGAAGCCCTTTGTTGCTGTTATTCTTGAGCTGATCACTGAGTTGTGATGGGGGCAACTCCTGTCTGCAGGAGAAGCTTATTGCCACTGCTTTGTACCTTTGCTTGATGGTCCCGTTTAGACAGAAACACTCCATATGGGCGATAGATAATTCAGCAAAACACAATATCCTGATATACTCTTGTCTGGCACCAGGATGCTATGCCTAAGGTTATTAAAAACCTGTATTTGTGGATTGCATTAAATGCAAAATGAACAAAAGGTATTTGGATTCTTTTATATGTTGAAAGGACCACCTTTTGCCTTTCGCATGAAGTGAAGTTATCTGTGAGGACTTGTGTGTGGGTGTGTGGATAATAAGGATGTGAGTTCAGAAAAGAATTGTATGTTTTTGGTTGCCAAACTCAAATAGTTTCAATTTTTGTCATAAGGCCGAAACGTATTAAACCAAGTCTGTCTGAATTCTTGGAGTCTGAAGACGGGGAAGTGGAACAGCAGAGAACCTACATCAGTGGCCACAATCGCCTCTACTTCCACAGCGATACGTGCCTCCCCCTCAGGCCGCAGGAAATGGACGTGGACAGTGAAGATGAAAAAGACCCCGAGTGGCTCCGAGAGAAAACTATTACAGTTAGTATCTCATTACTTCTCCCCACCCCACTGCATTGAAGAATATTGTTAATAATAATTGTCTGCTAATCTTTCAAGACTTGAGCTCTTGGTCCAGGCTGACACAAGTGCAGTAGTTAAGGAATACTGCATTGTTGAAGGTATTGTCCTTTGGATGAGATATTAAACCGAGGTCCTAAATCTCTTCAGGTGGGAGCTAATGATTCCATGACATGCAAAAAGGGAGTTTGTCTACATGTCACGGTCAACAATTCTGCCCATTAATTGACCAGTCATGTAACAGCTGTACATTTATCCCTATAAATATACTGATAGCAATTTCCCATGAAGCACTTTGAGACAATATGATGTTACAAGTCCCTAAAACGAATGCAAAGATTATTTGTGTTGGGGTAGGGACGTGGAGCACTTCAAGCTGTGACTGATGTCCTGATGTTGTTTTAATTGAGCACTTTTGGCTTGCAGCAAATTGATGAGTTCACTGATGTCAATGAAGGAGAGAAGGAAGTGATGAAACTGTGGAACCTGCATGTTATGAAACATGGGTAAGTGTTGTGCGCTCTGTTGTACTGCATAACCCATGCTGTTTTAAGCAATGTGGTTTGTCGTGTGAAGGTGACAAATTCACCTCCGTCTGTTGCCTGCGCCTTCGGTCAACTCCCTCGCTGCCCCCATTTTCAATCTCGCTCGGGTTTCCTCTCTGTCTGGATGTCCAGGTTCAGACATTCTACCTTGTTTCACATTTTACAAGATTTGAGAGAATCTGCTCTGCTGCATGTGGCTGTAACCCTGTGCTCGCTCTGCGTGTGTCTTTAATGGATTCTCATTGCTCTCTGAAGGTTCATTGCTGACAATCGGATGCATCAGTCCTGCCTGCTCTTTGTGGAGACCTGTGGACCGAAAATAGTTGAAAGAAGCCTGTGTCGGAACTTTCTGCTTCACCTGGTCAGCATGCACGACTTCAACTTGATTAATTTATGCACCATAGATAAAGTAATGGCCAAGCTGGGAGAACTCCAACAGAAGCTGCAAAAAGACGACTCTGCTGCCAAGTTGCAAGAGGAGAGCACGGAGGACAGCAGGCCGGATAGTGAAGACATTGGAGCTAGTATGAAAGACACAAATTCAAGCACTGACAGTCTTTCCTCAGGAGTCACCAAACAGAGTAAAAGGCACAAACTCTGAAGTCTCCCCACCTTTCCCTGCCACAGACCTACCAGCCCCCCCCCCCACCACCTCCACTCCCCATGGACAGTCACTGAGGAGGGATGGGGGAGATGCAAGTGTACTCTATAAAAGCGTCACAGCTGAAATATACAGAAGTTCCAAATGGGCTAACCAGTCACTGAGTGAAACAATGTACAGCAGTGTTATATTCAGATCCTCGCTCCTTGTAAATGTGGGTGTCCTTAATTGTACTTAATTTAGCTGATGGCAGTACAATTTGAAAACAAAGTTGCTTTCACCACAGTAGACTGAGCACGCACAGTTCAGCTAACTGCAGATGTTTTTTGTGCTAATCATTCTTTTTTAGAAGATTTTATTTTGGCTACAAAACCAAATCTTTTCACACACCTGAATTGATCCTGTTTTAAAATATTGGTAATTGTACAGTCTCAAATCTTATCCGAAGCTTATTTTCTCCCCTTTTTTGATTGATAAAAATTCTCTGGAAAAAAAAAATCGGGTTTCACTTTACATCCTCCATTTAAAATAGCATGTACTTTCGTTAAAGTATGTATAAAACCATGTGTAACAAATTTTGTGTAAAAAAAACAAGTGCAATTTAAATAGTGGATGAAGTTTGCGTGTATATCTCAGTTTAAAAAAAAATCTCCTTGAGACACAGGAGTTGCACTTCTCTTCGTTGCTGTTTTGAAGAACCTTGTACTTTTAGTGTCTTATTCTATTTGAGTAAATGTCATCTCCCTTCCTGCTTTTCTCTCGCCCTTCCCTCCCCCCAAAACCACCTTAGTCTGAGTTGATCTTACTATCAGGTCTGGTTTTTGTGGATTTGTTTTGCTATTTTTGCTCAGTATCCAAGCAAAATGTGAACATATGAATAATGTGTTTCAAGGGTGACAGAGATGTTTTTTTTCTTCAGAGTGTGAGTTTTCTATATGTGTGCGCCTCACACAGAATGCATGGGTCTGTCTTCCATTGGTGCTGGAAGTGTAACAGATCTGGGGAGGGGAGAAGGAAGAGAGAAAGCTTGAGCTGTTACAAAGTTTGAGCAAAGGTGCTGCCACTTGGGTGGGTGAGGGGGGGAAGTAAAATGCACAGCAAAGCTGGGGGAGCCGATAAACGTATTAATCTTATGCAATATTCTGTGACTTTCCTGTCCTGTTACCAACACACAGGGTATTTATTTGAGTAGACACTAAAAGTGAAGGCTGTTGAAAGGTATGTATTTTGTGCAGTATTTCACTGCATCAGAACATCATTTGTGCAGGTAGAACACATTTCAGACTAAATGTTTACAGTTTTTCCAATGGAAAGAGGTTTTTCACTCCTGCCGCAGTAACAGCGATGCAGGATATTAACTCAGCACTGGGTCCAAGAGACTTATCACCTCGGTTTTTAAAAACTTCAGTGAAATATTTTATTTAAATGGGACTGGGAAGCTGTCCCTTTAACCAATTTTATTTGAGATGTGATTTTAAAATTTTCATTCCACCTGTTATAAACTAGTCAAGCCTAGACTTTTGCCAGCTATCTTATTTCTGTGAATCGTTTTGACATGTTGCTTTTTTTTTTGTTTTGAAGGACGTTAGAATAGATACGTTCCTGTCTGTGGCTTTAATTTGCAAAAGCAGTGCACATGTAAATTTTATTTTAGGTTGGGCTGGGGGAGCTGTAGTGTTTTTCCTGCTGCTAAAGTTTCTTCTAAAGCGAGATAATTATGCTCTACTGCAACAAATGGCTGGCGTGGTTTGCACAAGTTTGACAGCCGAAGATTTTGAATAAACGCTGGAAATTTTCAATTTGGTGACATTTTTCACTGACTTTTTACGTTTCACAAAAAGAAAAGGAAAAAAACACTTTTCTATCGTTTTTTTGTAACAACCAGTCATAAAAATTTGTTAATGGTCCTTTTTTTCTATTTAAAATAAAGTTGTCATTTTCCTACTTTAAATTGAATGCCTTCAATACCAATATGTGAATTTTTTGAAACAATCTTAAGACTAAGGAGTGATTTATTGGATCTTTGTTTGAACAGGTTTGACATTAATAGCTGTGCTTAAGCCCAGGAGAAGCTGCTGCTGCACATCATGTTCACTGCAACTAAATCATCAACCATTTGCCACTTCTCAGCATCTTTTGTAAACTGGTTAAATACATGAACAAAACTTTAACCTGGGCGCTCTGTTCAACTGGTGGACCCATAGATATTTTACAGCGCAGAGGGCCATTTGGGGGGGTGGGCAGTCTTGTAAAAATGCCATTCCCAGTGTGTAGGTATTGTGTGTTGCAGTTGGAAAGGAGAAACAAATTTACACTGAGGAAAGGCTGTCAGATGCCAGAAAGTCAATTGGGCCTTGAGGTAAGGTAACAAATTACACTTTATTAGAAAATTTCTTTGCAAATAGGTTGAAGCCAAACATGAGTCGCTGCTGCTAAGCTGCAGACAGTTCACAAAACGTTTACATGAGGTAAGAGCACAATACTAAAACCCTGATCAATCTGCAGTTTTGTTCCATTGGAGTGGTTGCATAAAGCGAGGCTTTCGTGGAACTGGTCAGCTTAGCATTGCCATGGCTTATAATAGTAATGTAAAAAGATTTGAATTGCATTGCAAATGGTATAAAACTAACCATGCAGTTATAACCAAAATTCACCCCTAATTGGTTCACTGTCAAAGTAACTTTCTAAAATCCATTTGTTTCAAGTACAATTTAAGTTGGACTGAAATCCCAACGCATGATCAATATTAAGGTATTCAGCTGATTGAAACCTCACTATTGAATATTTCATGAATTATGACCATAGGCACTTAACATTGATTGTCCCACAGAAAAGGATACTTAAATCCACAAACTAAGGCACTAGTGCAAATGACTTTTGGTAAAAATGGAATTTTCAAATAATTCCTACCCGAAGAGATGTCAAAAGTCCCCAAAAGTGCAAGTACTATGTTCACAGTACATTAAGATCAGAGTGCTACTCTGGTAAATCACTTTCATACAATATTTATTTTGCTTCTGAAGGTGAAGTCAGTGGTGGGGGAAAAAAAAACTGGCACCAGCAGCCTTGAGGGGCTCTAATACTGACACTTCCCACGCAGTTTTGCCCTGTGTCTGGTACATAGGTAGTTTTGAGCTTATAGACTCAACTAGAGAGTATCTGAAAATGAGATTGTTCTATAGAAAGGCCACATGGGATACAACTGAACACCCTTGTAATCCAACCACAGCCCACTAATGTAACACAAATGGGCCATCAAAAGTTGGTCAAGTAAATATATTTTTTAAAAAAAGCTTTAAGCTTAAATGTACAAGTGACAAAAGACATTTTGAGGTTGTAAGTTGGACCACATGTTCTAATGCAAAGAGTTTGGTCTCAATAATACTAGGAGCTTGGGCCATATTCAAAACAATGTTGATCATTTCATACCACCAAGACTTCTGTGCTCTTTCCCCCCAAAAAATAATCAACAACAATCTCACTTTAAAAGGTAACCTGTGTAGCAACCAAGCTGACCACAAACAAATTCTGAAAATTCCAGAACTTCCTGCATTATCATTCCAAATTAATCTGACCACACAAACAATGAAGAATTTAAATCACTGACCCTGTGGCCAAAAAAACTGGCCTCTTCATCTCTCTTATATTGTTACACACACAGCACTTGCTTAAACATTACTTTAAGCCCAACAAAACTACATTCTGTTTTGTCTTTCCAACTGCCCTCCCACCCAATATCTCCAGTAGCTTTTCCAATTAAAGCAGGATTTTCACTAAGTGTATTCTTTGAAACTTCTTTGTTCCACTGTATTATAGAAAAGCAGGACATCAATTGTGTGTACCTCCTTAGGATCTAAAATACTAGCAATTTCCAGCCTGCGTAAGTAAATGAGCAGCCAAAATACAAGGCCTCACATGGCTGATCGAGCACCCAATCAAACACAACTTCTCGATTCCCAGAACTTATGATCACTCGAAGCTTGAAGTTTGTACTGTCGGTTATTGATGAGCCCAAGTTCACAACTTCCACGTCAAAGGTCACTGAAGAACCAATGGAAACACCAGGTAGTTGATTGGTCATTTCTTTACCATTCACAAATACTGCTCCTAAAAATGAAAAGGGAACTCCTGTAAGTAAAACAATCACTGAATGAACTGACTTCATGTGAGCAAATTTTACAGGTCTCCCAATAGGCCACGGATTGGCTTAGAAAAAAAATAGCAGACAAACCCTTTCCAAAAATGTTTTTACTATTTACACTGAAATGTTACAACTGAACCCATTGTTACTAAATAGTTAGTCCTGTTTCCATTAATGATCAGAATCTTCCACACAACCCCTTTCCTTCACAACATGTTTGGTATAATTTGAGTATTACCATTAGAACTGATGCAGACAGCCCGGTCTCGCTGGAGAGAGTCATGTCCGTTCTGACGATCCATGCACACCCCAATACTGTCCCGCTTGTCTGCCAATCCCACTGCTTCTACTCTGGAGATGGAAACAAAATGAATAAGTAAACCTTTTGTTTGACTTAGTAAAGCTCACATCTGAAAGTTATGCAACATGGCAGTTAATCTTGCCCCAACAATTTCTCAGGGACATGGTTTGCTGTTTGCTGACCATATTTGCTATTTAGTCACTGGTGGTTGGAGGTGATTTCTACTGAAGTGCTGGCAACTAGTTAAGGTGAAGTACTTACTTGAACGTTAGGGTCTGGCCACTGGTGTACGTCGGTTCCTTAGAATACAAAACACCACTGCTCGGAGAGTCATTCCTGAGAGCTATATCTCTGCGGCTGCTCAGACTGAACCCCTCGCAGCCTGTGATCCATTCTGTACGACAAAGAACATGAGTTGTGAACAGAACACTTACAGTTTCAGCCGGCACCCTTGGGTCTGAAGACGATAATTCATGGAACTGGTAATTGAAATACCTGTCTGGTACAGCCAAAGGAGTCCATCACACTCAAATCATCACACCTATTTGTAAGTATAAAGGATTTTACACTTTCTCAAGGAAAAGAACCAGTCTCAGTGTCAAATTTTTGTGAGGTTGGAATAATATGTAGGTCAACAGATTACCAAATTGCACATTTATAATAGTAGATTTCAAACTCACAACCTCAGTGTTTCTAGTCCAGAACTGTTACACTATTGTACCCTTTGTGAAGTGGTTACTGACCGTGAGGAGTGAGAGTGGTATGTGCAGTCTGTGGGATGCTCCAAGGACTCCATTCCCGCCGCCCCTCTCCCCGAGCACAGGCTCGGAACCAATACTCAATGTGCGGGTCAATGTGCAAAACTATAAATTCAGTTTCGGGTCCAATGTAGGCGTCTTCAAAATGGTTGGAGGAGCTTTTGCAATGCTGAAGGCGGTACTCCTGGGTTGCAAAGTCATCGTCAACCTATTGTTCAACAAAACCAAAGGCTTAAGACACTATGTTCGTAAACAATCACTACACTTTAGTCATTGTGTGACTTTACAACATAATATTTCAAGAGGTTGAATTATTTCTTATATAAATTGAGATAAATCCTTGCATTTGATATAGCACCTTATGTCTCCAAGACATCTCAATTGAGCTTCACAGAAGGTGAATTGACTGTATATTTTGTGTGTGAAATGCAGCCGCCAATTGCACACAGCAGTGTCCCACAAACAGTCATAGATTGAAGTGACCAATTTTTTTTAGAAGGAATTATTATCCCTGGAAAAGTGACCCGCCAATTGACTAACAACCGGGTTCCTACTTACTGCTAGGTAAACAGAGGCGTGTGGACTAAGGAAACGTGCACAACATTTCACTCCACTGGGAATTCAACTCGTTCGCGAGCGCTCTAACCACTGAACTAGAGGACTCCACAAACAAATTTTAAAAAATCTATTTGGAATATAAATATTCCTTATATAAAGACTTCAAGGCCAATACAAGTACCTTTCACTACCTGCCACAATCTACATTTAATCCAAATTAAACTGTAGCTGTTCTCCCCCTAGTGGCCAATTAAAGGCTGCCACTGAAGCTTCAATTGTCCCCAGTCGGTGATGTAAAGGGGAAAAGAAACCTTAAACAAGAGTACTTCAAAGTCTTCGTACGAATTCCTGGAGAAACCATTGTTCTATATCTTTCCTTACAGTGATAATTGCTCAAAATAGCACAGTGCCTTTTTGTGCACTGCTCTGCTTTGGAGAACAACAAAATTACATTTGTACAGCGCCTTTCACGTGGGGAGGACATCCCAGGCGCTGAAAGTGTTACAGGGAGGAGCAGAAGCAGCTCCTTTGAGTGGACGAATAATTTAGAGATGCCCATGGTTGTGAGCAGGGACAAGGTGGGAAGGTTCCCTACCAGTTGCTCACTTGCTGACACTGAAATCTCCAAACTCTGGAATCACCTCAGCAGCTACTTGCTCACCTTGCACCACCGAACGAGGATTCCCCCAGGCCTCTCTGTCAGTTCCTCTATCTGCACGGGAGGCTGGGAGGCTACCGCCCCATGGCTGAAGATTCGCTCTCTCACAGAACTCAGGAAGGATTCATCCAGCTGAGCCGATAAACACGGTACCTCCACCAGTGAAGGCACTTCTGGCAAACTAGTTTAAAATAAAATAGAAGAGGAATATTCAAATAGTTGAGGAAAATTGTAGATTTAAACACAGGAAATGTATCATCCCTCAGATATCAGCAATTCCACCTAATCCATCCCCAATGCCACCAACCCAGAGCATGCCCCACCTTGTCCCTGCTCACAACCATGGGCATTAAACATGGCAGCATTGGGATGAGGAGCCAATCCGTGTCCTATCTGTGTTCTAACACTAAACCATCACTGATTCAAAGATAATCACAATTAGAGAGCAAGATATACCCACAAGGAATTGCCCGAGTTCAGTTGGCTTCCAACAATTAAGAATTGTAAATAAAATAGATTTACAATTTTAATTAAATTTGATGTAAATTGTTCCAAGCTTTGAACGAGCATCACTACAGAAATCACAGGATTTTTCTCTCTTCTCTTCTGAATAATTGTTTTCATTTCCTGAACAAAAACAATCTCTTACCTGTCGAGTTGAATTTGCAAAGCTTTTTTTGTAAAATTTCCAAGTTTCTCTTCTTCCGCTGTCCCACAGAGCACAGCAACCTCCCCTGTGGGGTAAAACAAGTTCAGTAATACACTACCACCAGGATAGGTCAACATCTTTACTCTTTATACAAATAACGCATCCCCAACATCCACACACACTTTATCGTTCCCCACCCATAAATGATCATACAAGTGCCTTTGCCTCGTACCCTCTTGCACCAGCTCCTCAGCTGTGTTCACACCATGCTCAATGAGTTTCTGGCAGTCATCAAGAGGTTTGATGCTTTCCTGCTCAATCTTATCCACTTGCTGTAGCAGCGACGCTAAACGATCAGCCAGCAGTTTGGTCAGAGAGCCTTTCAGCTCAGTGAAGTGGCGCTTCAGTACATCCCGTGTCTGTATGGCGCTCTCATTTATCTGGAAAACAGCATGATAAAAAGCTAAGTCTGATAGCTTCAATCAGTCTCATTTGAAAGAGGACACAGCGATCACCTGGCTCTGCGTGGGAGTGATAGCTAATGATGAAGCTCAAGTCCCATGTGGGGTCTGACCCAGCAATGACCACTATTGTAAACGTACATCATCGAGATATTGTAATATCCACAAAGAAGCCCATAACCCATTAGATTTCTATGTTAGAGAACATTAGTAACTAGTATTTTTAAATCCTGTTTATTTTCAATCTATGAAAGACAATGAAACAGTTACAATTTCTCCTCTGCAACTCGCCACCTCGCTTCAAACTTTCTCTTTGAGTGTGCTTTGCCCAACATTCTTAAGTCTTACCCCCACTCTCCATTATATCTGCCCACCCTTTCGAGACTGTCATTCTATGTGAACTTCACCAGGCAAGTTGTTCTTGCGTCAGTCAGCTGTGCCATCGAGGTAACATTTTTACCCCCATGGAGGAGTAACCTGTTGACAATTAGCACCTCCCATAATAGAACGATGCAAATCACAAACTCACTGTCTGATGATCAAAAGCCACATCCTGCCACATACGATGCAACAAGCAAGTCTCACCGTTCACCCCACCCCCACCACCCCATGGAAGGCCTAGCTTCTGATGCAGGCCCAGTTAATTTTAAATGTACACTGCCTGTACACAACTCCTCTGAAGAGTACTTAGTATCAGTTAAGAGTGAGCAACATATTTAAAATACATTCCCACTCCCCTCAGTTTTCTGAAACAAAAATGTGCTTCCATGTCACACCAGATTTCCCCTTCGCTCAGAGGCTTCATTGAATACAGTACTTTGCAAATTTCAACACATTGCAAGAGGAAATGATGCAAGTGGCTACAAAAACTGCATCCTTATCTTCACTGCAGATTTCTCCTGTAGACAATGAGAGAAAAACAGGAAGTAGTCTGGTTCTAGCTACTCTCCTGTTTTTCCTTTTTTGGACAAATTACATTTATTCTATTAACGATATCACTTTTCACAAACTGTGTTAAAGAGTGTTAAATGTAACAAATTTCACTCTGACCCAAGACTTATAAAACCAAGAATTCCTCAGCTGGATTTATAGCAATAATAATTTGAAATGAAGAATTCATTTTCTGCATTGGCTCTGGAAGCAACAGTCATAAAGGAAGCTGACATATTCAGTCATTAGCACGTCCTGCATTAGCTGATCTCAGCCGAGGCAGGACCAGACGGTGTGCTACAAGTCGCCTCAGAAAGGGGAGGGCAGGTAGGAAGAGGACGAAAATAAGGGCTCAAAAGCATACAGGAACAGCTTTAGAACCAAGGTCAATGTCGCTGTGTTATGCAATCTATTAAGGATATGTATAACTATGGAGTCCTGTAGCATATTGGTTAGAGCACTTGCCTCTAAAGCGAGAGGACCTGGGTTTGATTCCCGGGCACGGCGAAACGTTGGGCAAGTTTCCTTATTCCACACGCGTGTTTACCCAGCAGTAAGTAGGAACCTGGTTGTTAGTCACTTATCCAAGGGTAATAAATCTTTCAAGATAAAAAAAATAATTTGGTCACTCAATCCATGACGGTTTGTGGGACACTGCTGTGCACAATTGGTTGCCGGGGTTCACCCACACAATATATAGTCAATTCACTTTACAGTATAAACTGTGAAGTACTTTGAGACGTCTTGAAGATGCGATAAGTCGTTATATCAAATGCAAGGATTTTTTAAAATTATAACTAGTGAAAGTCATGTATTTATTTTACGCACACCCCAGGCATTACTAGCCTATTACAACAATGACTTGCACTTATATAGTTCTTTTCACTTAGAATATCTCAAAGCATGGCCAGCTTCTCAACACAAGACCTACCACCTGTGCAAGGAAGTTCCAGAGAGCAAAGCTATAGTATCTGAAAGATTAATGAAAAGCTCCTCCCCCCACTCCCTTGGATAATGCGAAACAAAGGAAACAAACCTGTTTTCTGGCTTGGTTCAGTCCTAGTAACCGTTGCTGTAGCTCATCCTTATAGTTATTTGCTGCATCGATACTCTCCTTGGCTTCTTGAAGCAGTTCAGACTGAACTTGTACCTCCATCCCTGTGATTTGTCCCTGAATGTGTAACAAAATTATGAAAATTTCAAGAGCATGAAATTACAGAGACATTCAAAAATATTAGAAACATCCCTGTCAGCTGCTGATTTACTCGTGGTTCCACTAACGTTATGGACTCCCTGTTGGCTCAGCAAGTAACCACCCAAGGGAAGGTTTCAAGTGTGATTCACAGTGCTGAGTTTGTTGATCACACAATAGTGGGTTCCACAAAAGGTGCCAGCCCTAGATAGAAGTGGGAGGCGATGTGAAGAAAAATCAGTCGGGATTTAAGAACACTCAGCAGTGTTAATCCTAATGCTATCTCAGTACAGATGACCTGACACCAGAGATCAGCAATCAAGCTTAAGCCTCTAGACTTGGGAAGAACCAAAGCCCAGATAAGTTCACTCCTTACAGAACAGAATGCCACAGTACTAACAAGGCAGATTCTACTTTACACTGCAAAAGCTTTGGAACCTCTCATCACCTTTAAACATTTCAGATCATGCTAAACAGCCTCAGTCATACTGCAACTCAGTGGCACAGGCTAGGATTAATGTCTGCCCTGTTGCGATGTTCTCAGGCAGTTACCATTTGTGTCCATATATGGATACACAGCCTAAGTCTACACAGGCAAAATTTTCACTGAAAAGTGATAACTTTCGAAATTCAACATAGGTGCCATTTAGCAATCAGTCCACTCGAAACCATGGCAGCATGATTAATTTCACATTAGTCAGGTGGGCTGGTTGCTAAATGGTACCTGTTAATCCATTTTATCATTGGTACCCTGGTAAGATAATAATAATAATCCTTGCATTTTCAAGACGTCTCAAAGCGCTTCACAAAATATGATGTAAAGTGAATTGACCGTATATTTGTGGGCAAAACGCGGCAGCCAATTGCACACAGTAGTGTCCCACAAACAGTCGTGAACTGAAAATGACCAATTTTATTATTGTTTTGGAGGGATTATTATTAGGCGTGTGGAGTAAGGAAACTTGTCCAAGTTTTCGCCCTGCCTGGAACTGAACCCAGGTGTCACGCTTGCAAGGTGAGTGCTCTAACCACCGAGCTACAGAAGTACACTGATCTAACATCTCACACAAGGTATAGCAGAATGTAATCACCTTGAACTATACCCTTTGCTGCTGAAACAGAAACCTGTTCATTACAGTGGCATTAAGGCCAAAAAGATGGATCATTTGTCAGAATTCAGACAGATGATTTCGCAATAGCACATTTAGTGTGTTAAAGGTTGTTACATTTTTGGAGTTACTCAAGTTCCTTAATGTGCATCTTTGTAAACTGGCCCAGTTTTGATGGTTAGAGGGAAGATAGAATTGGGGTCAACATGTGGTGGCATGTTGGACATGACACATCTTGTTGAAAACTATTTCAAATCAGAACAGTTCAGCAGTTTCACCTTCTAACAAGTGCTGTAGTTTTGTGACTCAAAATCAGTTCAACCTAAGATTCCTTTGAGAGCTTCAAAACTGAATTTAATCACTGACCCTGGTTGTAGCAAGTTATAAACATTTTATTGTTCAGATACATACTAACAGGATGGAAGTGTTGGTAACATCCAGGAGTTAAATCCATGCTGGGGAAACAGCGAATACAAAAAACATTCAACTGATAGCAGGCAAACGTAATCTGACAATGCCATTTGGTCACTCCCAGTACGTTTTCCTGTATCCAGTAGTGACACATTAAGCACTAAACAGTGTAGACTCCACAAGGTTGGATTTGTGGTTAAATAAATTCAATGTCAAAATAACACCTCCAGCTGAAGGTGCAACCCAACACTGCTCACAAGTAAAGCCAACTGAGCTGACACAAGATGGCTGCTTAGCTGAGGTACCAGCCAGTGACTGAAATATCCCGGTATGAGCTAGCTCTTTCTGCAAATTGCAGAGTTTAAATGAAAAGAAACTGCCATCTATTTAATGGGGCAGAAAGTGGGAGGGGGTAGGGGAAGAGGGGAGCCTCCCATAGCAACCTATCTATTCCCTCCACTGCTCCACGTCCCCGCCCGGCCTGCCCCACATCAGCGGTCGGGCCTTCAGACTCTCTGCCTCCACCTTTGAAATTCCATCCCAAACTCCCTTCGCCTCGCTCCTTCCTTTACTTCCTTATTTCCTCTCCAACAGCACCTTCAGTCATCCTCCTACCCTCCACCCTTCCTATCCCAAACCCCAGCTCGGGTCCAAATCCCTAACTGTCCAGCGCCTTGGGATATCCTCCGACGCGAAGAGCAATACAAATGTAATTTTGTAGTGTATTTGTTGCCTTTTCCACAACGTACACCAATCTATTGGACCATATCAGCCTCCTCTGGTTTTCTACTTTTGGAACCCCAGTGTCTAAAGCTGAAATCTGTCTTGGAAGTGGTGTTCAGATTTTATATTATAGCGAAATACAGTATGGATATAACTAGAAAGGACAAATCCCACAAAGTCCTCAAAATACAGATTGAGAGAGAGAGAGACATAATCCTGTCCACAAATTCAATCTACTCACCACGTAAATTTACATTCGTCAGTTTCCAGGTATCATAATGACGGGATTTTAATGACTCTGAGCTTCACCTGTACAATCATCATGAATCACTGCCCATCTGATAGTTTTCTATAGTTTAGGAGATGAATTTACAAATTGCAGGTATTCCAAAAATTGACCATGATTAAAATTTGCTTCCAGCTTCCTGGACTGCAACTCAAATTGCAACAGAAAAGTTCCATAAATTTACAAAAAATGCAAAATAGTGAATTCTGGATCACCATATTTATAGATCATCTCCATTCCCAAATAGGTCTGAAGATGAGCACAAATCAGAGTCCACCTCTGAGATATCGCTCCCCATATATCTTTAATGCATTCACTACACTTTATACAACTAGTGCGTTAGTCGTGCAAATATCCTGGAGTGGAGTCCTGTAGCTTAGAGGTCCTCTAAAGCGAGAGGACCTGGGCTTCATTCTTGGACAGGGCGAACAGTTTGGAAGTTTCCTTAGTGCATACGCCTCAGTTTACCTAGCAGTAAGTAGGAACCCGGTTGTTAGTCGATTTTTTCCAAGCTGTTTTCAAAGAGCCGGCAAAGACTCGATGGGCCGAATGGCCTCTTTTTGTGCTGTACAATTTTATGATTTTATGATAATTCCTTAAATAATAATATGGTCACTCAATCCACGATTGTTTGTGGGACACTTTTGTGTGCAATTGGCTGCCACATTTTGTCCACAAAATATACAGTCAATTCACTTTACAGTCTATTCTATGAAGCACTTAGAGATGTTTAGAAGACGTGATATCAAATGCAAGGATTATTATAATAAATTATTAAAAATAGTAAGGACCTTAGCCAGCCTGTTAAATAAGGAGCACACCTTGGAACATTAATGGTACAACAGATGGGAACGTTAACAGTTTAAGCTGTGGTAAAGCGTCCTCTTTACCACAGTTTAAACTGCAGGAAGCACCAGTAAACGGGCTTATCGAAAAGATCAGAAATTCGGCATTTTCAATTCGAACACTTCAGTTATATTGGAAATACTAAGGACTCCTAGGACTTGGTGGAACAGTGCCAACTATATGGTGCCTCAGGGATCACAGTGTGCTTCGTCCGTGTTTGTCCAATTATAAAATAACCTTCCTAACGTTTCTTTTAAATAATTTCCCCCTAGCCAAAATAGAGACATTGGAGATCCAATGTACCAATGGACCTGAAGGACACTTACATTCTCTTTCAGAACTGAAAATGGAGTTTTGTGTAGGAGGAATGCTTTGTTATTTAACAAATGCAGTCCTATTGAAACAATTTGGGCACAAGTCCATAAAAAGCAAACTTGCTGTTGAAGGAATAGTTTGCTGGAACAATATTTGATTCAGGTGAGCAGCTGCAATAGTTGTAGGTTCCTGTCTATTTCCAGTATATCTTGGGTCTCCCTATGGACTCATGACTACAGTCCTTGTACATAGACCCAGAGACCAGGAAGATCAGGCGGGACTGGCAATGACTAGTTTCAAGCAATAATAAAAATGATAGTCTTGATTTTTTAAATTTGCTTTAAGAGATCAAAGTAACAGCACAATCCACAGAAAAGATTGAAGAGGAAAAGATCTGCATTACAGTAAGTAAATGGAGAAGCAGGAGAATGACAAATAAGGTAAAGCACCAATTGTGGTTTCTGCACATTTCCTCCACTAAAGCTAGCCTCTTCTGAAAGCAGAGTTTTAAAAGAAAAAAATTATGACTATAAAATACATGTTTTAACAGTTTCTGCACCACATCCTCAACCAGTTAGTGATTATTAGTAAAGGCAAGTTTTCACTAAAAAATTAGCACATACACAGAAACTACTTGGGCATTGCACTGACAAGAACTGCTTTGCAGGTCACAGCTGTACAGGTGCCTACTGCTTTCTCAAGTGGACTCAGACATTTCCACATTCAACCTGCTGGCTTGCCTCTTGCCACGAATCCGCAAGCGAACAGTTCAGCTCAATGGATGCTGTCCAGTATGTGCAAGCTCTGAAGTGAAACCTTATGTAAATATTATCAAAAACATGCTTATGCACTTGGCAAGGAACTGGTACTCTACATCCATATTCCCACAGTGAGTTCTCAAACTGAGATGCAGATGACAGCTGCATGACAAATGTATAATAATGTATTATACCATGCTCTAAGTTTTCTAGCCTTCACAAAAATGATTTTCACAGGGCTACTTCTCCTTGGAGCAGAGAAGATTAAGAGGATACTTAATAGAAGTTTTCAAAATTATGAGGGGATTCGATAGGGTGAACAAGGAGAAACTATTCTCCTGGCGGGTGGGTCGGTAACCCAAGGACACCAATTTAAAATAGCTGTTAAAAGAAAGAGGGGAGGTGAGAAGAATTTTTTCACACAGCGAGAATTTTGGATCTGGAATGCATTGCCTGAAAGCTGATTCGATAACAACTTTTAAGAGAGAAGTAGATAATTATTTGGGGAGGACAAGTTTGCAGGGCTATGGGGAGAGTGGGGGAGTGGAATTGATTTGGAAGCTCTTTTCAAAGAGCCGGCACAGCCACATTGGGCCGAATGGCCTCCTTCTGTGCTGTATAATTCTATGTTACTTTCAGTCCTTAAATGGCAGCCCCCAAAATAGTGAAATTTGGAAACTCTTACAGCTGATCCCCCTCCATGTGCATCACACAAAACTACATCAGCACCGATGGCAGCTTTGACCTAACAATTCTAGGAATTCACAGCTAAAAAGCACTAACTTGGACACTCGAGATAAGGCAAATCTCCTCCAAGAACCAAACAATTCAGCTCAATGTACAGTATCCGTAAATCTCACTTTACACCATTTGAGAGGTTTTGTCAGTATCGCAGCACTCAGCTCTGGATTATTTGTGTTGTAAATAGTAGTTGTAAAGGGAAGAACTGGTTAGTGCAGCGCATTTGACATTATTCTTTCACCTCTGAGATCTGGGTTCAAATCCTGCTAAGATATAATACCTGTGAGTTGCAAACTTGGCAATCAAGCAGCTTGTCATATCTCCTGTAGGTTTGCAGAATAGCAGTGCCTATGTGAACTAGATCACCAATCTTTATTTCATTAGGCGTTCACTGGATTAAGGATTCCTTTCATAGGATAAGAGTGATGTTGATATTCCACAACAGCAATTTCTCCCACCCAACAACCCTCCAGATTAATTATTCATTCACTTCATGGCTGTTTGTGGTTTTGATGTGGACAAATTGATTTGCCAACCAAGACAGTCACTGCACAGGGCAGCAATTACACGTTCAGATATTTTGACAATATATTTCAATCCAAAGAATACTATAGTTTCACATACAGTCCATCAATTAGTTGTACATAAAAACTGCAGTCAAATTTCGAATGAAAGTGTTTGAAAATATTTTTTAAATATTTGACCACTTTAATTTACACAACCCACTTCGAAAACATCACTGCGGCCATCAATTTTGTAAGAAAACAAGTTGTTAAAACTTGTAACAGTTTTCTTCCTTCAATTACAATGTTTGTACCCAAATTGAAAGACACTATATATAAATGTAGTTTGCCGTTGTCATTCAACGCAGACAGGGGGGAGTTTCTGGGAAGGGAAGACATGCAATGGAAGACCAGAAATAGTCATAACTCTGTCCTTCCTTCTTCAGCTCAAAGTTCCTCAAATCCAGCCTCATCACGGAGCTGAGTGTATGTCACAACTTGCGTTTCATCCACAAAATACGCAGCATTCATACATTCCGTGAAGCGCTTTAAGAGACGTCGCAACGACGTGATAAGGCGCCATACAGCAGATTGCAAGGATTATTATTATTATTCACCATAAGCGACACAGCGCCTTCAAGCAGAATTAGCGCAAACACAAGCTGCGCAGTAAGTCTGGTACGGCTGATGGCGCCTCACCCCCACCCTGAGCCAGTGAAGCCCACACTGCACAACAACAACAAATGACATTTGCAGAGCGGGAGGACGTGCCGAGGCGCTGTGCAGTCCGGGAGTGAGGCCAGGCCAGGGCCAGGCCAGGGCCAGACCAGGCGCGGCCCTGACTCACTCCGAGCGCCGCTTCCTCCCCGCGCCGCGGCGCGCGCTCCGTGCACAGCCCAACTGAAGCCAACTTTTTTACCTCAGCGCGACCGAGTGGCTGCAGCACTAACACATCTCCGTGTCAGGTCCCTCCGGCCGACAAGGTTTCGATAAGGTAAGAACTCACCGATATCGTCAATTCATAACGCCTTTCAACGGATTTTTTTTGAAGGGAGAAAGAGAGAAAGAAAGAAAGCGAGAGCTCGCGGCCCGACCCCCCGCTTTGCCCGCGGGCTCCCTGCTCTCCGCGCGCGGCGCGAGTCAGTCAACCAACCGTCACTCGCACCCCGCCTCCTCCTGCGATGATTGATTGACGGCCCTCTAGACCAATAGCTGAGTCGGCTGACGGTTGCTGGGAGCCGGGCTGGAGCTGTCACTGGGGCCGGAGGAGAAGGGCGGGTTTTGGCCGGGGACGGCTGCTCGCTGTCACGTGATTTAGCGGGAGGGCGGGAGGAAGATCGTTCTCGCGCTGCGGTTGGTGCATTTAGCGGTGGACGTTGCTCCTGCCCAATAAGAATTGTGGGGGTGGGGCTCGGCCGATAGCGGGCGTGGTGAAAGGGGCGGGGCTTGGTCCGTTGTCACGTGAGCGAGATCGGCAGGGGGCGGGGCGAGGCGGAGCGGGAGGAGCACGAGGGCGCGCTGTGATTAGTGGGTTGGCGGGGGTCGGAGGTCAGGGTGAATTGGCGCCATTTCTGGCTGAGGGAAGCTTTCTTTCGGCGCCTGTTTCAAAGCGGCTTCTCCCCCGGCCTCCGGGGGCAGCTCGAGGTGGGGAGGAAGCGGGAGTAACCTGGAGACGCCAACAGCCTTTCAATATGTCTTTCCCTTTCGCGTGTAGAGTGATTCATAAGGAGAAAATGTGAGCTATTGCCGTTATGAGGTGGGATTTTTCTCCCATTTTCACACCCCACCCTCCCCTCAAAAAAGCTGTTCGCTGCATCGAGAGGCCCCTCTCTCTCACTCCCCACACAGCCGCTCGCTCCGCTGCTCCTAATAAATGCGAGAGGATAAAAAAGCGACATCTATCGAAGATGTGGGGCGTCAGCTTTCGGACCCGATGTTTCCTGGAGGCGAGTCTGGTGCTGGGTGTACGTGCTGTGAATGTTTGTGGAGATCTGCTCCAAACCGTGCCCTGTTCTCTCGCCTTTACTGTATGTACATATTTCATACATGTTTTGTCCACAGAATGCACTTCTGTGTCAATTCCGTGAAGCGCTTTGGGACGTCTCGAAGACACGATAAAGCGCTATATCAAATGCAAGGTTTCTTATTATTAATACATCGAAGGCAGTGCTTGTGTTTTGTGCTCTAAATATTAATCGCATATTGGGATGCTAATTGACAATCAATTTGTGTGACAGCCCTCTCTCACAGCTAATTGTTATCTTGGCTTAACCTCCCCCATCCCACCCATTCTCTCTCTCCCTCCCTCCCCCACTCATTTTCAAACTTACCTTTCATAGGCTTCCTAGTGGGAACTGACTGACATGGTTGGGATTATTGCTATGGCCAAGGTAGAGGAATATAATCACCAGGTAAGGATGGATGTTCATGGAAATCCCTCTTTTGTTTTTTCATCCTGCTGTCTACTTGTCTGTTTAGGATTGTACGGGCTCCAGTTGTGAGTACATACATCTCGATGTTAACTTGGCTCAGTACGTGGAGTCCTGTAGCTCAGTGGTTAGAGCACTCGCTTTGCAAGCGAGAGACCTGAGTTCAATTCCAGGCAGAGGGCAAAATCTTGGGCAAGTTTCCTTACTCCACACAGAGCCTAATAATAATCCTTCCAAAAAACAAAACAATAATAAATTGGTCATTTTCAATCTACGATTGTTTGTGGGACATTGCTGTGCGCAATTGGCTGCCGCGTTCGCCCACAAATATACAGTCAATTCACTTTACAGTGTGTTCTGTGAAGCGCTTTGGGACGTCCTCCCGACGTGAAAAGCGCTAAATCAAATGCAAGGATTATTATTATAGTATTAGCACTCTTGTCTTTGGGTCAGAAGATTTTGATTTCAAACTATGTTGTGACTTGAGCACACAGTCCATGCTGGTGCTCCAGATTAATCCTTGAGGAGAGCAGCGTTGTTTAAGATGCTTCCTTTGGATTAGGCATCAAACTGGGGTCCCATATGTCCGAGCAGGTGGATGTTAAGGATGCTTTCAGGGTAGTATTGCTAGATGGTGTAATAGGGCATAAGGTGCACATTGACTTCTTAATGTAAAATCTGAAGCTTAAAATGTGTCACAACTGGTATTTGTATTTTGCAGCCTTGCAAGAAACCGAGAAAAGATGTGGATGATTCTTCCACCAACACAATCACCAGCTACTTTTTACCAGTGTCTAAATCAGTCGATAAGGATTTTCCATCACCCAAATCCAGCAACATACTGGATTACTTCAAAAAGACTCCAACCCATGGACAACAGGTTACTTCTAGCCCACCCAGCCAATGTGAGGCACCTGTTGTGACATATGTGGACTGTGGGAAAGAATCCACCGTGACCTTGGAAGGGAAGTCCCATCAAACGCCAAAACGAAAGCGACCCTATAGAAGAGTTAATTTAAGTAGAAGACTCAATGAATGCCAAGAGGTTGTTGAAATCAGTGAAGACAACAGTGACTCAAATAGTACAGATGAGTGCAGGGTGAGGTCTGGTATTGGGGTTCTGGGGAGCGACACCGCCGCGCTACTTGCTCAGCTCTGTGCAGAAAGCCCACATTTGTTTCGAAAAATTGAAGAGGTAGACTGTGAGGATTTGAATGACAAACAAAGAACAGAAGTGGGCTCTAGAAAGAAAAATTGGAAGGAACCAGTAAACCGCTTGAATAAAAGTGAATCGAAGAAGTCCCAGAAAAGGAAGCTAGTTAGAGATAAGGACAAGGACTCACTAAGACAATTGGATGTGCAGCCCGTGCCAAAAAATGACTGTTGCAGCAGAGAGGCTGAAGAGGTGGAAGCTAAAGAAGCAAATGATCTTGTTATTGAAAGTGAAGAAAAGCATCCGGTTGAGACTGGGGAAGAGGCGTCTCCACTGAATGACAGCACTGTTACAGTGGCCTTCGAAGACTTCATTAAAATCCAGGGTACCGAAGAGGCTTTGACAGCTGAAGGAAGAGAATGGGAGAATCCTGTTAACATGATTCAGGGTAATAATGAAGAGGCACCCACACTAATGGAAGGTGAGAGCTTAGCTATCACACAGCCAATATCCCCTAAAACTATGACAGTACGCGTTCAGATTCATTCAAACCCAGTATCTACCTCGCCTCTGATTTCAGGGAAGAAATCCAAGAAAATAGCTTCAATTTTTTTAAAAAAGAAACCGGATTTTGATACCAATGATGTTGAAGCCATACCATTGAGCCCAAATCCCACCGACCCAGTTCCTGCCAGGAGATCCAACGTGGTTATCTCAGAGGAGGAGCTGGAGCTATCGGTGTTGGATGTCACAGAGCAGAGTCCCATTAAGGCCAAATGTAGTCGAGTTGAGAAAGAGCAGTTTATGAATGCCTTTCGGCAACCATCTGCTGAGCTGGCCAAGAGTGGACTCAAGAAGGCATTGGGAAAACCAAAGGTCCTGAAAGCAAGTCAGGATGAAGGGGTTGAAGAAGTGGATGCCTGTTCCAGCCAAGAGAAGGACGAATTGGCCAGTGCTGAAAGTGCTCATATTTTAGCCCGATGCAGTGAGGAATCTGCAGTAGGCAAAAGAAACTCCAAGGGTCAGTCAGTTAAAAGGAGAAACAAGTTAAAATGCAAAAGAATTTCCCACAAAATCGTAAAGGGAAACCTCAAAGTAGATGGGTATGAACTAATAGAGAATGGAAATGATGACTTAGATGGAAACTCAATAGATTTGAAAGAACTAGGGACTAAGGATCCATCAACTACTCAGTCAAATGACTCCCCCAAGAGGCTTACCCGGAGAAGCTTCAGACAACAAAGAAATGCAGTGGATTACTGCTCAACTCCAGCGAGGGACGCCAAAATGAATCGCACGAGCGCCCGTGCTCGTATGTCAACTCCGAAAATAACGAGCTGGTCTGAGGAAGAAAATAGCATTTACAAGGCTGAAATGATCCTCTCAAACTCTGATACCGAAAGCCCTTTCAGGTAGAGTGCGTTTTAATTCCTTTAACTCAGTGTCATTACTGGTTAAGTGGAACCTTGATTCGGGATTGAATTTGCGACGTTGGCAAACCGGATTGGTTCCATTCTTTGCAGCTTCAGATTTGAAATGAATGAATGGTAAATTCGAAGTTGCGAAACTGTCGGCTGTTTTATTTGGACATTTTTCAAACTTTGTCAATTTGGCATTAACAGACCATACATTTTGTAAGCAGAAATTGCAATTAAATCAACTGTTGAAGTTTGTGAATATCCTGTAGACCAGCATGGTTCAACTGGCAGTCCGCGGGCCACATCCGGTTGATTTTATCCGGTCCGAGACTATAACCAACATTCCAACTTCCGCTCCCTCCCTCCATCCCTGGTGAACATCCTCTCTTGGCACGGCAGTTGCCGGTGGTTGGGATGACCAGTGCGGAGACTGGAAATAATACCAGCCGTTGTTGCAGTGTGTCAGGAAGGCAAGTGTGTTACTTGCCATCCGCGTCCTTAGCAACCGCCGGCCCCTGCAGATAATGAACCGATGGGCTGATTGAGAGAGAGATAATTGATAGAGGGAGAGAGCAGAGAGGGAGATTAAAAGAGTGTGAGAGGGAGTGTGGCTGTGTGAGAGTGGTAGTGAGAGGTGAGAGATGGTGGGGGGAGAGATTGACAGAGAGAGAGAGAGTGATTCAGAGAAAGACAATGTGTGAGAGAGGGGAAAAAGAGAGAGAGAAGCAAAAAGAGTCAGAGAGAGAGAGAGGTGAAGTGAAGGCAGTGTTTCGTGGTTCACTGTCGATAGATGATCGGAGCCTCTCAACGCCGCGGGGGGCACTGAGGATAGATATCAAGCAACATGCCCATGCAGTTTCCACACAAAGCTTCCTCTTTCCCCAGTGAGAGACTTCTCTGCATCCTTTATTCCACCTCTGCCCCACCCCCAACGACTTCTGACCCAGCCGTTCCCTTTACAGAGCAAACACCAACCTCCCCACCATTGCCATTTTGCCCCTGCTGTCTAGATTTTGTTTCCTGAAGTCACTCTGACTCGCTCCCTCCCCTCTTTGAAGGCACATCAAGACCTAACTCTTTGACCTTGCTTTTGGACATCTTTTCCCCTCCCCATCCCTCCTCCCTCAGCTCCCATGCCCAGCTCAAATGCCCATCCAGCAGTGTCGAGCATTTTACTGCTTCAATGTTGTTAAGTTTCTAGAAGGGAAGCACAAAATATTGCTTATGTGGCCCATGGAACTTTCTTAAATGGGGAATCTGGCTCTCAGCAACCAAAAGATTGGACCACCCTGCAGTAGGCAATAGTGGCAACTCCACTTAAGGATATAAATAAATTGTTGAATATGCATATACTTAATATTAAAACCAAGTGAAATCTAAGAGCAGATCTTCATGGTATTTTGCACACCATTTCAGAATGAAGTTTACACGTCTCACACTATCAGGTGCACCAGTAAAGCGGTCAGGAGTGGATGAAAACAAGGCCTTTACTCCAAGGAGTAACAAGGTGATCATTTCTGTTTCATTCCAGATGAATATTTAAGCGCCGTGTGCAAATTATCTCAATCTGTTTAGTATTTTTCTTCTGAGCTTTTTTGAAAGAGGTGTAAATTTGGGCTGAAGTAGAGCTGCTGTCTGTATTAGTTTTGTTACACACAGTTGATGCCTCTCGCACATTTGAATTGCTTGTTTCGGTTCCCCTGTGGCCTCTTACTCTTTTTGTACTGTGGTTGTTTAGCGAGCGTCCAAAAATGTGGCCAAAGCAAAGCAGCTGGTTCAAAAGGCTAAAGCTTTTGAGCAGAACAAGGGCAGGAGCCCCATCAAGTCCCCGACACCTCTCAGACGCTCGACTCGGCAGCAGATTCGCTGTGACAGCAAAGCACCTGGAACTGAGGTATCAGCCCATCAAGCTCATGACAAAATAAATAACTTTGAAAAGTGGGAAACCACTGCAGACGCTGGAGACTATCCCAGGCTGCGTGTAGCTAATGTTCTGGTTTGTGGACTAGCACATCAATCTATTAATATTACTCCTATTATCTCAGATCCTGAGCTCGGTGTAAACTCCCTTTTCAAATTCTTCCATGTACAGCTCTCTGCGGTTCTGTTGGCCACCACTCTAGGCTGTGAGCCAGTCGCCAAATCTCAGCAAGACCAGAAGAAGGCAAAGAAACTGAGAAATGTGAAGGATGTGTTGGGAAAGAATCCAGATTCGACAAAGTCAGCCAAGAGCGAAGCAGGTCAGTGAATGTTCACACAATGAGAGTCTCTGACAATCAAAACCTTTCGGAGTTTTCTAGATGAATCATAAAATTACACAGCACAGAAGGAGGCCATTCGGCCCATCATGTCTCCCGGCTCTTCGAAAAGAGCTATCCAAATTAATCCCACTCCCCGGCTCTCTCACTATAGCCCTGCAGACTTGTCCTCCCTTGTGAGGTGAATGTGGAAGGAAACATTTGATTAGTAGAATGTGTAGTGAGATGGATCAATATAATAATCCTAGTCTTCGAAACTTCACAAAGTACTCACAGAATATACTGTAAATTGAATTTACTATATTTTGTGAGCAAAACGCAACAGCTAATTGCACACAGTAGTGTCCTACGCAAACTGGTAGATTGAAGTGACCAATTCATTTTTTTTTTAAGGAATTTAAATGGTTTGTCATAGCATTTATTTATTTGTGGCACCCTCTGTTCTGACTGTCCTTGCTATTTCCCATCCTTTTTCCCCCCAGAATTCCTCGTATTAAACAAACTGAAGTTCTTAGACCCTTTGATAACAACTTTTAAGAGAGAAGTAGATAATTATTTGGGGAAGCCAAGTTTGCAGGGCTATGCGGAGAGCGCGGGGGAGTGGGTTTGATTTGGATAGCTCTTTTAAAAGAGCCAGCAGACTTGATGGGCCAAATGGCCTCCTTCTGTGCTGCAATTCTATGATTCTTTTCTCTCTTCTGCCTATTCCAGCATAAGAACATAAGAATTAGGAGCAGGAGTAGGCCATTCAGCCCCTCGAGCCTGCCCCGCCGTTCGATAAGATCATGGCTGATCTTCAGACCTAACTCTAATTACCTGCCCTGTCCCCATATCTCCTAATCCCTCTATTTTTTTAAAAATCCATCAGTCTCAGCCTTGAAGATGTTCAGGGACTGAGCATCTACAGCCTTCTGGGGGAGTGAATTCCATAAATTCACTATCCTCTGAGCGAAGAAATGTTTCCTCAACTCTGTTCTAAAAGGCTGACCCTTAATTTTAAGACTGTGACCCCTGGTTATAGAGTCTCCTCCCAGGGGAAACAGTCCCTCAGTGTCTACTTTATCAGCCCTTTAAGAATCTTATATAGTAAGATCTCCCCTAATTTTTCTGCTGGAGAGTACAGTCCTAGTTCAGCCTATCCTCAGAGGTCAGTCCCCTCATCCCAGGAAACTAACCCAGTGAATCTACGCTGCATCCCCTCTAGGGCAAGTATGTTTTTTTAAATAAGGAGACCAAAACTGCACACAATACTCTTGGTGCGGTCTCACCAAGGCCCTATACAGTTGCAAGACTTCCCTAAACCTTTTGCAATGAACGCTAACATGCCGTTCGCCTTCTTAGTTGCTGCTGCACCTGCAAACTAACTTTTTGAGACTGGTGTACAAGGACACCCAAATCCCACTGAACACTAACACTATCGAATCTCTCCCCCTCTAGAAAATAATCTGTTTTTCTATTACGTAGGTGAATAACTTCACACTTCCCCACATTAAATTCCATCTGCCACCTACTCGCCCACTCCCCTATCTATATCCTGTTGCAATCCTTTGTATTATCCTCAGAGCTTACTCTCCCACCGAGTTTAGTGTCATCCGCGAATTTAGATACGTTATATTTAATGTCCTCGTCTGGATCATTGATGTAAATTATAAATAGTTGAGGCCCAAGCACTGATCCTTGTGGCACTCCACTCGTCACATCCTGACAATTTGAGAATGACCCGTTTATCCCTACTCTCTGTTTTCTACCCATTAGCCACTCTTCAATCCATGCTAATATGTTTCCATTAATCCCGTGGGCCTTAACCTTGTGCAATAGCCTTTAGTGTGGCACTTTGTCATATGCCTTCTACATCTACTGGTTCCCCCTATCTAACCTGCAGATACATTTTAAGAAAAACTCTAAAAGATTAGTTAAGCATGACTTCCCTTTTGTAAAGCCATGTTGACTCTGCCTAATCTTGTTATGGTCTTCCAGGAATCCCATAATGATATCCTTAAGTAAGGACTCAAGAATTTTACCACTGATGTCAGACTAACTGGTCTATAGTTCCCCATCTTTTCTCTCCCACCCTTTTTAAATAGTGGTGTTACGTTTGCAATCTTCCAATCAATGGGAACCGTTCCAGAATCCAGAGAATTTTGGAAGATCAAAGACAAGCCATCCACTATCTCAGTAGCCACCTCTTTTAAAACCCTAGGATGTAGGCCATCAGGTCCAGGAGATTTATCAGTTTTAAGACCTGACAATTTACCTAAAACCATTTCTTTACTAATATTAATTCCCCAAGTTGCTCGCTAACATTGTCTTCTTGGTTCCCCTCTATTCTTGATAGGTTTTCAGTGTCTTCTAAAGTGAAGACAGTAGCAAAGTACTTGTTTAATGACTCTGCCATGTCTTTGTCCCCTACTATAATTCCCCCTGTCTCTATCTGTAATAGACCCACATTTACCTTTGACAGACTCTTCCTCTTTATATTTGTAAAAACTCTTGCAGTCTGTCTTTATGTTCTTCGCTAGTTTGCCTTCATATTCCATTTTCTCCCTCTTAATCACTTTTTTGGTTCTCCTTTGTTGATCCCTAAAGTTCTCCCAATCCTCAGGTTTACTACGAGTAGGTTTACTACTGATCTTAGCTGTTTTATAGGCTTCTTCCTTTAACTTTATACTTTCCCCAACTGCTCTAGTTAGCCACGGTTGGGCCACCTTTCCCGTGGAGTTCTTATTCCTCAAAGGAATATGTCCTCGCTGGGAATTTTGCACTACCTCCTTAAACGTCTGCCATTGCTGGTCTACTGTCAAATCATTAAGTCTAATTTCCCAGTTTATTTTAGCTAAATCCTCTCTCATACCAGCAAATATGGCTCTACTTAAATATAAGACCTTTGCTTCAGACTTAACTACTTCTCTCTCTAAATTCCATCATATTATGATCACTTTGCCCTAGAGGAGCCTTCATTTCCAGTTTGCTGATCAGCCCTGCTTCATTACACAAAACAAGGTCTAATATGGCCTGTTCCCTGGTTGGCTCCTCAGCACACTGATCCAGATAATTATCCCTAATACATTCTATAAATTCCTCCTCTATCTTACTTTTCCCAATTTGGTTGTCCCAGTCTATATGCAGATTAAAATCACCCACAATTAATGTTTTTCCTTTACTACATGCTCTGCTAATTTCCTGATTTATACCATAAGAGATACTGTGACTGCTGTTCGAGGGTCTATAAACTACTCCCACTAAAGTTTACTGCCCCTTGTTGTTACGTACCTCTACCCATACTGACTCTACTTTCTGCTTTTCTGATTTAAATCTTTCCTCTACTGTTTTTATCCCATCTCATAGCAGGGCCAACCCCCCTCCTCGTTTACCACATTGCCTATCTTTCCTATACACCACATACCCTGGAATATTTAGCTCCCACCCTGTAACCATGTCTTGGTGATGGCTACTAGATCATACCCATTTGTTTCTACTTGTGCATTTAATTAATCTATCTTGTTTTGAATGCTTTGCACATTCAGATATAGCACCTTTAATTCTGACTTCAGGCTATTAGTACTATTCACCAGTACCCTATCCCTGGGCTTCTTTTCCCCTCTTGACACACTTTGCTCATCTCCCTGGTTAATCTACTCTCCCACTTTCATCAGTCCTAATTTTAATTGTGACAGATTACATGTGATTCATTTTACCCCACCCTCACCTTAGTAGTTTAAAGCCCTGTCTACCTCCCTATTTATTTGTGTCGCCAGGACATTTGTCCCAGCCCTGTTTAGGTGGAGTCCATTCCTTTGGAATAGCTCCTTTCTCCCCCAACACTGGTGCCAGTGGCCCATAAAATGAAACCCCTGCCCTCCACACCACTCTTTTAGCCAGGCATTCAGATCTTTAATTTTTATTGCCTGTACCAATTTGCCCCTGGCTCAGGTAATAATCCCAATATTAATACCTTCAAAGTTCTACTCTTTAGCTTAACTCCCAATTCCTAGAACTTGCTCCTCAACTCGTCCCTACCAGTCCTACCTACATCATTAGTCCTTATGTGAATCATAACAATTAGATCCACTCCCTCCTGCTTCAACTTTTTCTCCAGCCCAGAAGTGATGTCCTTCACCCTGGCCCCAGGAAGGCAACAGAGTCTTCTTGTCTCCCAGCTACAGCTGCAGAAAAGTGCATTAGTCTTTCTGACTGCCTCATCTCCAATTACCACTATATTCCTTCTAACTATTCCCCTTTATGTGGCCTCCTGTATAGAGGTGTTGGGGTAAGTTTGCCCATCTTCCTCAGACTTCTTTGTCCACATAGGTTGCAAGTATTTCATATCTGTCAGACAAGGTTAAAGCCTGGGGTTCCTCTGCACCTCTCTTTTAGGTCCCCTTACCCACCTGTCTGACCATCACTCAGTCCTGTCCATGGCTGGTAACAGAATGTTCCATGGGACTCAGGGGAGTGTCTGGCTCCAGGATGAAACTGTCCAGGAAGCTCTCCCCATCTCTAATGCTGTACAGTGTCTCCATCTGAGACTCCAGCTCAGCTATTCTAAAATGGATCTTCCTCAGTTGCAGACATTTGCTGCAGATGAAGTCACCCAGGCTCAGGTTGCCCTCCATCAACTCCCACATACCACATTCCTCACACATCACCTGCCAGGCCATTCTCTCCTCTCACTATTTTTCCCTATATTATTGTCATTAGAAGATATACTACAACCTTGCACCCAATTCCTTCACACCTCACTCCGTACATAGCACTCTCTGCTCAAGTAAGGCTCACGCAGCTATCCCCTTTTTATACCCTCTGGATGCAACCAGTTTCTGATTGGTCAGCAGTAATTTAGAATTAACACCTAATCAAGTGATTAATCAGTATGTTTCTTGTTATTGGGTTAAGTCTAATTAGCTACAGCTGCTCCCTGTAGAGTTTCGCCACAAGACCAATCTACCAATGCTATCAACAATTATAACAGTTTTTAGTAGCACAACACTCACAATAGCAGTTCCCACAGCAATTCCCACTCTCACCCAATTCCTTTTCACTCTGGCCTCGCCTCACTCCGGACGTAGCTCACTCTGGGCTCTCTGCTTGAGTGTGTGTGTGAGATTCTGCCTCTGAGATTCTGTGTGTAACTGTAGGCTGCAGAGTTTGTCTTCTAAATGCTTTGATCTTTGTCTTAACCCAGGTGATCTCAAGGTTGCATCTATATTTATTGGAAAAAAAGTTCCCAGAACTGTGACCTCTGGACCCATTACCATTCTTGATGAGGATAGGTGAGTATTTATTGGTTGTAAAAACAGAAGTTGCTGGGAATACTCAGTAGGTCAGGCAGCAGCTATGGAGAGAGAAAAATGAGTTAACGTTTTGAGTCATTGACCTGAAAGGTTAGCTAATTTTCCTCTCTCCATAGATGCTGCCTGAGTGTTCCCAGCAACTTGTTTTTATATCAGATTTGCAGCATCTGTAGTATTTTGCCGTTTTATTCACTGGTTTTGTTGCATGTGTTCCTTTAAAGGATCTTGTGTGCCTTGTTGACCTTGAAGTCTTTCCTAGTTAAGTAGCCAACTTTGAGAACTCTGCTCAGAAACCAATGTCCCCCTGTAAACCTTCTTTAGCTACTGTCTGGGTTCAGTGAAATCATGAATGAGGTAGTCGTCTGGGTGGAGATGACTAATGCAGAAGAAAATATCAACTGGCTATTTTATAGAGATGCTATTTATGGTTATCAGTGCTCAGGAAATCTAATAAATTATTTATTTTGAAAGTTGCAACTACTCAGAAAACTCTCAGGATGGCGAGCGCTTCAGAGCCAAACGTGAGTTCCTAATGAGCGGGTTACCGGTTACGCTGAAGAAACATATTGCAAAGACTACAGCGGCCATGGAGGCGTACTCCAGCGCCTGTCTCTCCTTCCAGCCCGTCACCCACATCCATCAGCAAAGTCAAGGTGCGATTCCCATTCTCCAGCTGTGACTGCATTGTGCAGGAGTGAGAAAAGTGTATAATTTAGCCTTGAATGCAGGGAGAAATGTTGGGCAAGTTTCCTTACTCCACACGTCTCTGTTTACCCAGCAGTAAGTAGGAATTGGAGGATCGCTTTTCTGGGACTGTTTGTGAGACACTTCGGCGTGCAATTGGCTGCTGCATTTCGCCCACAAGATATACAGTCAATTAACTTTTACAGTATTTTCTGTAAAGCGCTTTCAGACGTGTCGAACACATGACAACACTATCTCAAAAGCAAGTATTATAATTATTGAATTGATCTACAGCAACTTGCACCTTTCACATACGATGAGATTCTCAACCAATATCACCTCGTAGGGTTGGTAAAGAGTGCCTAGCTTCTATGTTGAAATCAAAAAGCTCTCCACCATCCTTTGTAATGTTCTAGGATATTTGAATAACGTTTTTATTGTTTGTTGCAAGTTGAATTGTCATTTTTTTCCAGTACGAAATCTAAAATTGGCCTGTGAAAATTGACTGAATGTGTTTTATTGTGTGCAGTTTCTCCGCTGTGGAATCTCCCTTGGCCCAACTGCAGTCTTCTAAATCATCTTAGGGAGGTCACGGCAGGCATGGGAGGCCTTCGGAAACTCTCCCTCTCTCTCGGAGACTTTTCTGAAGTGAAATGCAGACTACAGTTCCCTACAGAGTCCCGGCCTGTGCTGGTGAGCATGCCAGCTTTTTTCATTTTTTTAATTTTGATTGATGGGAAGGTTGAATTGGTGGTTTCAGTCCTCACGATTGTGGCAAGACAGGCTTCCAACTGTGATGGTTTTACTTCCATCCCACTAAGGACCAACACTTTCCTGCAAAAGAGGGGAGTGGAGGTTGATCTGATCAGCAGAGAGTTCTTGCTTTCCTCCGAGAAGCCAGGTCTGTGTTGTCACGGTTCCAGAGGGATGAGGGTAGATTGCCTTGGCTGTTGTAGTCTTAGAAAAGCAGGTAGCAGTGACTTGGAGGAAATTCTAAATTTTATCCCTAGTTGCTTATACTGAGTAGTGTTTGAACCATGTATTCTAACATTGGCGGGAGAGCCTTCAGCCACTCTGCCCCCAACCTCTGGAATTCCATCCCCCAGTCACTCCGCCTCACTCCCTCCTTAGCCTCCTTCAAGTCCTGCCTCAAGACTCTCCTCTTCGACCATGCCCCATCCCCTCCCCTCCCTTACCCCCCCAACCCCAGCTCGGGTCTGAAATGCTGTACTCTGTCCAGCGCCTTGGGACGTCCTCCTGACGTGAAAGGCACTATACAAATGTAATCTTGTTGTTGTAACACATTGCAATAAATGTCAATTGAGTGCCTTTATAACCCTCATTAGCACCTTCTCTGTGTGTTGTGTGTGTGTCGATTCTACAACTTAATGACCATAACTTTATGTCATACATTTTAAATGGTGTCCTGGTCTGGTGTTAAGAATGCTCACGTTCGTTCTTTGGATGGTGTCCATTAAACTGTTCTGTGGAACGCTACAGGTATCCACGTGGAGGCGGGAATTCTCTGAGGCCATCAGGAAGCGATTGCTGGAAGAGATCAGATCGTCCAACTCCGAGTTTCCCGTTCGTAGAGTATTCAAGCCTTTACTTCAGAAGCGAAACGAGCACCTCGCACTAATGGAATCCACCAAACCCGGTTAGTAAACAATGCGGAGGGGTGAAGGAATGAACTGCAACTTTACCTCAAATTATATTGATTCAATGTAATTTAATGGAAGAGTTTCTGAGAATAACGCATCAACCCCCCCTCCCATCCTTCCTATATCACTATATCCTTAGGGTATTGGGTGAGAAGTACAATGGTGGATTATTGCAGGAATGAGTTTGATGGGATGCTGAGTCGAGATAGGCTGTCACACTGGTGTGGTATCAGTGGTTGTGAGGTGTAGGTGTTTATGGCAACCACAAACCTGCTATATTTGTGCTGATCTACAAAGGTTATGGATTTATTGTTCTCTCATAACTCAGCAGGAGGAGGGCCCTTTGCAGTCACTCCATCTGATAACTCTCAGCAGCCGTTGGGCAAAAGGAAGAGAAAGCGGGAAGACCAGGAGATGAGAAAGAAAAGGAGGAAAGCAGCTGATGAGTTGGAGGACTCCGTCATCATCATCGAAAGCCAGGATTACCTGGGATTGTCGGGAGCACCGGCCCCAGGGCTGGGCACACGCTGGCAGGATCAGCCTCCCGCTCACCCTCCCGGGAGATTGAGTCGATCTAGGAGGCGGCAAGAGGCCATCGCTACAGAGACGCAGTCGGAGGTTCCCAGCACAACAACAAGGACAGAAGCTGCAGCCACTGAGGGTAATTCTACTCTGATTAGCTAACGCAGGGAAGTCCAACCTGTTGGTTGCCGCGGGCTGGATTCCCTATTGAGAAAGGTCCTCGGGAGCAATAGGGGGAGAGAGATGAGAGGGACAGAATATGTGTGAGACAGAGGTAAGAGAAGGAGAGTGAGAGAGCGAGTGTGAGGGAGTGAATGAATGTGAGGGAGAGAAAGAAAAAAAGATGGTGGGGAGATTGCGAGAGTTTGAGAGGGAATAGAGAGGTTGTTAAAAGAGGAAGAAATGAGAAGGGGAGAGAGTGACTAAGAAGGGGGAGGTGGAGTGTGAGAAGGGGAGTGAGAGTAATTGAGAGAGTGTGTGTGAGAGACTCCTCTCTCGCCCCTCTATCTCCCAATCAGTCGCGCGGGTTACTATCTACAGCGGCAGGAGCCGGCGGTGGCTGAGAACATGGTTGGTAAGAGACGCGCTTGCCTTCCTGACAGACTGCAGCAACGGTTGATCGTATTTCCACTCTCAGCACTGTGTCCTCCCAACCGCCGGTTCCTTCCGCTGCCATGGGAGGAAGTTCACTGGGAAAAGAGGGAGGGGAAATTGGAATGTTGGAAATTGTCTCGGGCCGGGTAAAATCCCGTGACAGGACGGATGCAGCCCATGGGCCGGCAGTTGGACGACCCTGATCTAACAAGTTCAGTGCCCACCTATGTAGGGGCACAGAATGGTAGGATAATAATAATCCTTGCATTTAATACAGCGCCTCATCATCTTGTTGTCTCAAAGCGCTTCAAAAATATACTGTAAAGTGAATTGACTGTATTTTGTGGCAAAATGTGGCAGCCAATTGCGCACAGCAGTGTCCCCACAAACAGTCATGGATTGAGTGACCAAGTTATTTTTTTTGGAAGATTATTTCCCCCAGAAAAGCGGTCCGCCAATCGAAATACAACCGGGTTCCTTAGTGATGGGTGAACAGAGGTGTGTTTAGTAAGGAAACTTGCCCTACGTTTCACCCTGCGGCGAATCAAATCCAGGTCTATCGCTTGTGAGGCAACTGCCCTAACCACTAAGCTGCAGGATTTCACTCTATTCCCTTTTAAAAGTTATGGATTCTGCTTCACCCATCCAATGTCCTAACCCTATAAAATGTGTTGACATTGTTTTAGATGGGGAAAAAGTTTTGGCCACTCAATCAACGACCCTTTGTGGGTCTCTGCTTTACACTATTGCCTGTCGCGCTTCGCCCACAAAAGTGCACAGTCAATCCATTTTACAGCATATTCTGTGGAGCGCTTTGAAATGTCCCAACAACGTGATAAGACGCTATATTAAATGTGAGTATTATGTTTTATCGAAATCCAAGGTTTTTTTTTGTTTAAATTCTGAATAAACCTTCCTTTTCAGATGCCGTGAAGGAAGATCTCTTGTGGACGGAGAAATACCAGCCACAACGTTCCAGTGAACTAGTGGGAAACCTGAAGGCTATCAAGCAGTTGCACAGGTAATGGCCGTACCAACAAGGAGCCTCTGTTCACTCCTGGAAACTACTCCCCTCCCTGCATGCCTTTAGGATAGGATTAAATGTAGATATTTTCAGCAGGTCTGTTCCCTATTAGCTATTTATCCCTCCACCCACAGTGTTTAGGACAGTGTGGTTGTATCACTGGCTTGAGTTGGAGACAAAATAGGTTTTTGTTCTTAATTTATGAGAACTGGGGAATTGGGTTGTGCAGTTACCCGCTTCCCAGGTGAAGTTGCATGTTCTAGTGAAAACCGAGAATGGTGTTCGGCAATCGGGTAACTGGAGGACCTTTGCTGTGAACTAAGTCATTTTCTCTCTCTCCAAGTTAAGTTTTTGTGGTTTTTTTAAATCAATATAGTTGGTTGATGGAATGGAAGAGGAGAGCCGATCGAGAGGAAAGGAAAAAGCAGAAGGAGAAAACTATTGAAAAGGAGAAGAGATCAGGTAAAGCACATCAAACACTGGTGAGAATAAGCAACAGATGGCTGAGAGTTGGGATTCTGTGAAAAGCTTGTTAGGAGCAGAAACTTGGGGTCTTGTTTGACCCTCAACTATCCTTTCTAGCTCACATCTGTGCAGATGACCTGCTCTGCTTTCCCCGCCTCAGCAACATTGCCCAGCTCCATCTCACACCGCAGGCCGCCCATGTTTTCATTACATCGAGGCTTGTCTATGCAAACTCCTTGCTTGTCGGCCTCCGCAACTCCTCCCTCCACAAGCTACAATCATCCAGAACTCTGCAGTCCGTGTCCTCTCCCACACCAGACTCCGTGACCCTATCACCCCATCCTCGCCCAACTCTACTGGCTCCCCCTCACACAGAAGATACAGTTCAAGATCCTGGTCCTCACCTTCAAAGCCCTCCATGGTCTTGCTCCCTCCAACCTCTGTGACCTCCTAACCCCCTACCATCCTGCTTGCTCCCTTCGCTCAGTGGGCTCCGGCCTGTTTCACATCCCCCACCTCGCTCGCCCCATTAGCAGGCGGGCCTTCTGCCACTGCCCCCGCCCTCTGGAACTCCATCCCTCAGTCTTGCCCCCTCCCTTGCCTCTTTCAAGATCCATCTTAAGAGGCTCCTCTTTCTATCTCCCTGCTTTCCCCGACCCCCAGCTTGGGTCCGAAACTCTTATCTGTCCAGTGCCTTGGGAAATCCTACCGAAGTAAAAGACACTATACACATGTAATTTTGTTGTTGTTGTATTCTCATAGTCACTACACTTGACTGCAATCACTTGTGAAACAAATTGAGAGGTTTTGACGCTATTAAAATACACATTCTTAATTTGCTTCCCCCCTATCTTCTATCTGTCAGATGCCTGGGACAACAGTGACTTTGACTTGCAGAGCTCTGAAGATGAGGATTTCCTTTGTAACACAGTGCTGATCACCGGTCCTCCCGGGGTGGGCAAAACTGCCGCTGTCTATGCTTGTGCTCAGGAACTCGGCTTTAAGGTTTGTTTGTTTTTATTTAGCGCTGTACACTCTATAGTCTGGGGAGGGATTTATTTTTTAATGACTTGTGCTTGGGTTCAGTCACACAGCTGCCCATATTCCCTTGATTTGTGTGTGAACCCGAGATACTGAGTGCACCACGTTATATGATCCTTGAGGGCCTGGGGTTAAAATCACAGCAAAATCAAGTTCTCATGCAGTGACCGTCCACACGTTTCAGCTCAGTGGTACTGGGGCCCATTGTAGCTCTTTTATTGCCCCCTGACCCCAGCTCGGATCTGAAATGTCTCTGGTCAGCGCCTTGGGATATCCTCCCGATGTGAAAACGCTACACAAATGTAATCATCTTGTTGTTGCTCTCCGAGCTGAGGTCAACTAACTCAGCCAAAGAGTAAGAGTTGAACCTGGGGTTGTCCTAGTCTATACAGGTGACAACAATTCCCTGTGAAGTATTTTTAGGATGTTTTGAAGTTATAGACACTATATGAAGTGCATGGATTGTTGTAATGTTTTTGTGTAGGTGTTTGAGGTGAATGCCTCTTCACAGCGGAGCGGCAGACAAATTCTCTCTCAGCTGAAGGAAGCCACGCAGTCCCACCAGGTGGATAAACAGGGAGCGACTGTATTCAAGCCGGCCTTCTTCAGCAACTACAGCACCATCGGCAAACCTTTACAGTCAGCCAAATCCCAGAGTGAGTACACAATCCTCTCTCCCAGCCCAAACTGATCCTGAGATGTGATACCGTGGTTACATAGACCGGCAGATAGACCAAACGGTGGTTCCAGGATTGGTTTGGGACTTTGCTGTGTGCAGATCGACTCCTAGGTTCACCTCCATATTCACAGTCAATACACTTTACAACAATAACGTTTGAGACATTTTGCTGTTTAGGTGCAGTACCAAAGTAACAATTGTTATTATCGTTATCCTGTCTGCTTCACAAGAGTTGGAAATTGGGATTAATAACGCCAATAATCCAGGAAACGAGTGTCATGGTTGCACTTTTGGTTGGATCATTTTAGTAATATTTGCACTTAATGCATCCTGTTTGTGTGGCAATTAATCCATGTTCGTTTTCACATAGGGAAAATTAACTCGCCCAAAAAAGTGATCTCATCACCTCGGAAATCACCCAAGTCTCCCCGGGGCAGGAGCACAAAGAAGAGTCTGGCTCCCATGTCTTTAGCCACTTTCTTCAAAGCTGCTTCAAAACCAAACAAAACTGAAGCAACGGAGAAGATTGAAGAGGAGGCAGATGGTAAGAGAACATTCCCCGCTCTGGGGCCTGACTCTGTCCTGCCCATATCACGACTCTCTACATACTGATACATTGGGGTTTGCCAAACTCCAAATCAGGAGGCACCAAGGCAACACTGGCCCTCTCCTCTGCCCTACCTGAGGTCAGCTAACTCAACACTGATGCGGGATTGAGGTTGGGGTTTTCTGGGCTGTAATTCTGCATGCCTGGTCTTTACCCACTGCTTCTCTGTCCTTCACAGGTAAAACCCCAAAGGACGGCAAGTGCCAGAGAAGCAGTCCCCAAGTAGCTGAGGCCTCCTCCGTAACCCAGACCAAGGACACAGCGTGTGAAGAACCCAACCGAAAGAGCGCCACGTCCCTCATCCTGTTCGAGGAGGTAAGATCATAGTACCACCGTTAACTCTCTCCTCTCCACATATGCCCACACAATCACCCACACCCCCCCAATCGTTACAATGCATTGACTCATAACTGAAGCTACTGTGATGACATTCCTGTGGCTGGGGTGCAGCAGCAGCGATCTCTGTCGACAGCCTGTACTTGCCATCTTTCTATCCATAGAATCATACAATACAAATGGGAGACCATTCAGCTCCTCGTGGAGTGTGTGTTTAATGCTCACATCACTGATTAATTCATTTCCCTCTTGGCTGAAACAGTGTTAATAATGGTGTCTGTCCTACAGGTGGATGTGATACTTGACGATGACTATGGATTTCTGAACGGGATTAAGACTTTCATGGCAACAGCCAAGAGGCCAGTTATCCTCACCACCAGTGGTATGTACCTGGGCCTTTATTACTGCCGTTTACTATTGTTCAATGGTGAGTGTGTGTGGCAGGCCTGAGCCTAAGGCCCTGGGTAATGAGTGATCAGGCGATGCCAGGCCCCTTCCTGTTGTTGTGGAATAAAAACCATAGACCACACAAACAATGAACAGTAATCAGTACAGGTTTTATTACGAGCTTTATTACAAGCTTACCGGTAAGGGGAAGCACCCAATCAGGTTCCCAAGTCACCTGAGATGGTACTTCCAAAGAATGTATAAAAGCAAAGGGTTATATTCTTTTTCTTAACAGATTATGTGGCATTTTACAACCAATGATTATTTCTTACCATGACCCGTGACAATTCTACAGCATTTTCACATCCAATCATATCAATTAACAGTTTTTCTTTGTTTGCTACATACTCATATCAGTCATGTGATCTTACCTGACCCTGAAGAGTGGTACCATCTGGTTTTAACAATCATCTCTTCTAGTCTGGAAAAGGGTTGGAATTTCTAAGACTTTGTGTAAATACTTTGAGTAAGACCACTGTATAAGGCTATGTGGCAACACTGTGTATGTGCTTCAATTATCTATCACGTGAACCAACCATATACGTTGTCAGGGTCGTATAACCTCTGTAGGCTGATGGTATTTTTAATGTCACCTTCCACACTGTCTGGGAGCAGTTTGGCCTTTACTAGAGATTTATTGCAATTTAAATCTATGACTGTTTGTGGGACACTGCTATTGCGTTTAGCCCACAAAATATACAGTCAATTCACTTTACAGTGAGTCAGGCTCTGCCACTGTTAAGAGTTCTGAGACGCCTCCCTGTGTGGAGGGCAAATTGTTGTTCTGTAAAGCGATTTCAGACGTCTCAAATATGTGATAAGATGCTACATCAAATGCACTTACCTAGTACTAATACAGTACCTAAGTAGTTTGTGACATATGTGCCAGGAAGGTGGAAGGCAAAATTGCACCAAGATGGACCTTGGTCTTTTATTGTCTAGAGTTTCTTATGTTCTTTCTTATGCAAAGATAATAATATTTTGCAATTTCTAAATTGGAGAATCTGAAAGTCACTAAAGCTCAAATTGCATCTACTTAAATATTATCTTTGCATTTGATACAACGCCCTATCATGTAGTTGAGGCGTCTTAATGCTCTTCACAGGATATATTGTGTGTTTTGTGGGCGAAATGCGGCAACCAATTGTGCACAGCGGTGTCCCACAAACAGTCATGGATTATAATAATCCTTGCATTTATAATAATAATAATCCTTGCATTTGATATAGCGCTTTTCACGTCGGGAGGACGTCCCAAAGCGCTTCACAGAACACACTGTAAAGTGAATTGACTGTATATTTGTGGGCGAACGCGGCAGCCAATTGCGCACAGCAATGTCCCACAAACAGTCGTAGATTGAAAATGACCAATTTATTCTTGTTTTTGTTTTTTGGAGGATTATTATTAGGCTCTGTGTGGAGTAAGGAAACTTGCCCAAGGTTTCGCCCTCTGCCTGGAATTGAACTCAGGTCTCTCGCTTGCAAAGCGAGTGCTCTAACCACTGAGCTACAGGACTCCACGAGTATCACTGTCATTACTCTTGTAATTTCACTCCTGTTTCTTTTTCCTGTAAATTTAGTTATATCAGTCATCAAAATCCATCTGATTCCATTGTGAGTAACACAATCCTCCCCACCTACAAACATTTCCAAGCCAAACGTGGTATAAGAAGAAAATACTAATCCTGAATATTAATCTGAATATACTAATTTGAAATAACATACTATTAACAAAAACAGCTTCCAGGTATTTTGGATTGAGGGACTATCAATGTTTTTCGAGGGATTATTACCCTCTGGCATCTCTGGTAATCACCATCGCAGTTCTGATCTTTTGTATTGATTTGTTGATTTATTTCTCAGATTCCAACTTCAGTTTAATGTTTGACGGCTGCCTCGATGAAATTCACTTCAAAATCCCGCCCTCAGTAAGTGACTCTTCCTGTTTTAGTTTGGTCTTTAGTGTGCAGTTCTTTGTGATCAAGTGTCTTTTTAAAAAGATACAAAGATAAAAAGCCCTGCCCCTCTCTTTCTCCCTTAAACTTTAGGTATATCTGTGACCCTCACGGGTGTTTGTAACATGCTAGAGAGAACGTGAGAAAGAATGCAGAGAGAAATTCCTTTCCCCTTTTCCAATAGTGCTGCAGAGTCTAACATTCACCTGAACAGGCAGATGGGATCTCGGTTTAACTCTGACTTACTTGCTTCATGTGATTCTCCTCTCATCTGTTGAATTAAATAGTCTAAATGCTGAAATGATTCTATGGCTAGTTTAATTATAAATCATTTAATTTCCTCTCTCGCTCGATCTCTCTCTCTCTTCGTTTCCCTCCCCATCTCCCCATGAGCTCTGTGAGATTAAGCGTGTTGTAAGACTCTCCTGCCCAGAGTTTTTCTGCTAATGTCAGCGGTTTGCTTCTTCACCTGTCAGGTCAGTGTTGCCAGTTACCTCCAACTGCTGTGTTTAGCCGAAAACATGCGGACGGATGCGAAGGACCTGTCTGCACTCCTCGCCCTTAACAAGAGTGACATCCGCCGCAGCATGCTGCACCTGCAGTACTGGGTGCGAAGTGGGGGCGCTCGACTCCCCACTGCTGACAGTCAGGACAACTCTGACCTGAGAGATGAGGATGTTCCCCTGTGTGACACTGGATGTGCAGAGCAACTACTTGGCTTGAAGACGAGCAGTGGACCTCACCAGGATGTCTTTTCAGTGTTCAAGGTAATTCAAGTGTCGGAGGGATAAAGGGGATAATAATAATCCTTGCATTTGATATAGCGACTCATCACGTCTTCCAGACGTCTCAAAACGCTTCACAGAATAGACTGTAAAGTGAATTGACTGTACTTGTGGGTGAAGAGATTTCACTGGAGTGATTGAATGTCAATAAACATCTGTATAGAGTGCACGAGAGACGGACAGTCCGCGCGAGAGGCGGAAAGAGCATGTGCGCGAGAGACGGACCGGGCCCGGGCAGCTGAGAGGGAGGGACAGAGCCCGTGCGCGCGACATGGCGGGGTGGGTGTGAGGGAGTGTGTGTCTGTGTGAGAGAGAATTGTACAAACGACAGTTCATTCAGCCCACAGAGCCCTTGTAGGTGCTAATTCCTTTATGTAGTCCTGTAATTCAGTGGTTACAGGACTTGCCTCGTAAGCAAGAGACCTGGGTTCAATTCCAGCAGGGCGAAACGTTGGGCAAGTTTCCTTACTCCCCACGCCCCTGTTTACCGAGCAGTAAGTAGGAACCCAGTTATTAGTTGATTGGTGGAACACTTTTCCGGAGGTAATAATTCCATCCAAAAAAACGAAATTGGTCACTCAATCTGCGGGATGCTGCTGTGTGCAATTGGCTGCCATATTTCACTCACAAAATATAATCAGTTCACTTTACAGTATATTCTATGAAGCACTTTGAGACGTCTTGAAGACGTGATAAGGCGCTATATCAAATGCAAGGATTATTAGATTATATATTAATTCCTCCATGTGAACTATCTACTGTAATCTAAGATCATTGCTCTTTCGCAGCACTCGTTTATGTTCTTCATGGAAAAAGGAGTATTAGGTAAGACGTCTCTAGTGAGAAAGCAATAAGAAGTGTGAAATGATGGATTGATATCAATAATAATAGTAATGTTCTCACAATTGGTACAGTAATCCACAATCCAAATGTCTCAGTGTTCTTCACAAGCAATTGCTGTGGAGTGTAATGATTGTGTACTTGAACTTGTACATCAGTGCAGTGATTCCTACCTTTTGCCTCTCAGCAGGCGGGCCCCACGGTGGAGGAGCAGAGAAAGCAAGTGCAGCTGCTTCTTGAGTTCCAGAGGAGGCGGCTGGACTTCATGTCCTGTAACCTGGAACGGTTGCTGCCTTTGCCAAAGCAGATCATCGCTGAGCCACGGGAGCCGGCAGATAATGCTGATCTTACAGAGCCTGTCCTCCGTGGCTCTGGCCTGATGGAAAAGTCACAGCCCCAGCAGCACGATAGACCTGCAGACTCCAGACCCCCGAAGGCCGTGACTAAGACATACCAGCGCAGGAAAGTTGAGTTGTTCGATAGTGACTTGTTTGACTCTGAGTTAAACCTAAGCAATTCCTTCCTGACTTTACCAAGCGAGATTCCTGCTACGGGCAGTGACCTGGACAGCGCAGATAGCAACTGCCTTGATTCATTGTCGTCCGGTTCCTCGAAGAATCGGCTGAACTGTTCCCATGACGGTGCAAATAAACCCAGGACGTTAGCAGAACAGAAATGCTGTGAGTTGGTGTCTGTGTGCCTGGGGTCCCTGGTGGAGTTTATGGACAGCGCCTCGTTCCTGGACTCCTGTCTCCGTAGCCACTCGGTGGAGACGGAGGGGTGGTGTGGGCGAGACCGTTATCACTGGAGCGCTGCGGAGGTTAAGAGTGGGATGTTGGATGAGAGGAGGCTGGAGCAAGGAGACTGGTGGGTCCCCCATCACTTTGGGGAGGTGAGAGCCACTGTGGAGGCCATGAGCTGGAAGAAATGTCAGAGCAGGATGGCACAGGCTATAGAAACGTCTGTCCCTGAGTGCAGGGAGCTTGGAGTAGATCCCACAGGAGAGCTGACTCTGAGCATCTCACAGGCTGCCAGCCACAAGGACGTGATGTACAGCCAACATTCACACTATCACACAAGGTAGGACTTCCCTAAACTCCAGCCCATATCATGGTTGGATGGTTTCCTTAATTGGGTTGAATTGAGCATACATGAGGGAAGGGGATTAGGCGGGGTGGAGGCTTACGTGGACTAGTTGTCTCTGGCCTGTTTCTGTGCTGTATTCTATGTAAGCCAAACGTTGGGCAAGTTTCCTTATTCCACATGCATCTGTTTACCAGCAATAAGTAGGACCCCGGTTGTTAGTCGATTGGCGGGTTCCCTTTTCCGGGGCTAATAATCACTTCAAAAAAAAATTGGTCATTTCAATCCACAAACACTGCTGTCCGCAATTGGCTGCTGCGTTTTGTCCACAAATATACAGTCAATTCCCTTTACAGTATATTCTGTGAAGCGCTTTGAGACATCTTGCAGACGTGATAAGGCCCTATGTCAAATGCAAATATTATTATTTAATATTTAATATTGCACTTCATTGCAATTCCACTTGTTTTGAAATGAGATAAAATGAGTCTCTTATCAAATGTTTAACACCTGATCAGACAGATGTTTAAGATCCTGTGACTCTTTTCTCCATAAAAGAGAAGCGGATTACTCCCTGAGTCGTGGCCAACAACAATGCTCTGGATGAATTGATCCCGAGTTTGTGGAACTTTGCCATCTTTGTTTCCCGATATTAAAAAAAAGTTCATGTGATTGCTGTTTATGCACTATAAGCAGTAGAAAATGAACTCTTGATTTCATCTGACCTTGTAACAATAATTATAATTGAGGATGTTCTCCCGACGTGAAAGGCGCTATACAAATGTAATTTTGTTGTTGTTGTTGTAACTTTGAGTTGGTCTGGAAGTGAAGCTGGTTAGACTCGTGTGCGAATCTGCCGGGTGGGGGTGCCCTTCACTGTGTGTGGTCATGTAGTACCACTGAATGCCTGTTGGTGGTATGGTTAGTCCACCTCAGCCACACAGCCATCAAGGCACGTGGTGGGATTGCAGTCGTCCATTTCTGTTCTCAATTTTAACTTGAGTGTCAAAGCGCTTCACAGAGAATTGCAAGAATTGCAAGTGTAGTGACTGTGTATTTGTAAGCGACCAAAGGCAGATGATTTATACGTAGCAAGCACTGACACACAGCCACGAAGCAAATGACCAAATTACCCAGAGGATTGCCAGCCAGAACATTTTCTTTTCTATTTTGGGAATCGAACATCTTGCTTGTTTTTTTAAAATTCTTCCAATCTTTATATTTTTTTATAATCTTTCTCACGGCGGCCACTGGCCTGATGTGCTGCGGCAGCATTGCCATCCGGGAATTGGCTTTGGTTTTAGTGTTTCTGCTATTTTTCCAGGAACTGAATGTGCAGGAGGAAATATGTCAATTGCTGGCATCAGCAGAGGGTTTGTGTCGTCGCTGTCACTGGTGTCCTAACCGTGCTGACAAAGTGACTTCTCTGTGCAAGTGATCTGACACATTGCTTAATGTCTGGGAAGGAAGGGGGTGAGGGGGTAACAGCCCAGCTTCCCGGTTCTATTGTGCATTACTGGAAAGTGTGGATTTCTGGTGAGGACATGATTGAGGTCACCAAGGATTTTCTCTCCTTTCCCCCCCCCCCCACCCCCCAACTCTCAGTCACCCTCTGTCACCAATCAGCCTCGCTCCTGAACAAACAACAACCACTTGGGCAAAGCACTAGAGAGCACCCGGCGACCAATAGAGGGGAGAGGATGAATCACTCAGGAGTGGAAGAAAGCTAGCGTGTGTGAGGGAAGGGTTTTAAAACTTTCTATAGCTGCAATGTGCTTGTGTGTTTAATCTGTTTCAGCACTGCGATGAAGCGGGTGGAGGTGGGTAAAAGTGTGTTCACCAGCAAGGCGTTCGCCTGTCTGGGGAACCGTCAGGCCAGCGCGGTGGAGTATCTCCCTGTCCTGCGCACCATCTGCCGGGCCGAGAAACAGAAGGAACAGGGCAAGCTGAAGCGCAGGTATGTCTCACTGGAGAGGGTGGCGGAAAGCCTAGAATGCCAAGTGTTTCTTAGATTAAATCATAGATTGTGACAGCCCGGCTCAGTGGTACCGCTCTCGCCTCCAAATCAGAAGTTTTGGGCGTTCAAGCCCCACGTCGGAAATCACAGACTAAGATGACACTTCAGTGCCGTGCTAGGGGTGCACTGCATTGACAGACATTAAACCAACATGTTAACGAGCTAAAAAAAGACCCTTTTTGAATGTTTCCCCAGGTTCCTGCACTATTTGGATGGAATTCATCTGGAGATTCCCAAAGGAACGCTGGAAAGGCTCGCAGCAGATTTCCCATAAAAACCTTTGCAACTTTCCTACCGTGAAATCCTGCATGTTCTCAAGACGGACTGTATTATCGGCAGGAGAAGGAGGGTCTTTATCTTCCTCGCTCCTGATTCACATGGCACAAGTGTACTTAATTGTCCAGTGTAGCGTGGGTGTAAATGTGTAAATGTAAATGGCAACGTTTTTGTACAGTAAGTGAAATTTAGTAAGGTGAATGTACCTTTTTTAATTTAATTATCGTGTGACACATCCTTGTATCCACTGCCCATTATTCATGCTGGGGGTGTGTAGAGAAAGAACGAGGGATTTATTCAGTGAATCAGGTTTGAATTGCAAAGTGGTTTCTATCGATTTCCTCTCTTTCCCCAATTCTTTTCCAGTTTCAAATCGTCCCAAGTGTTGCAGATTAACTGTCTGCTGGCTGTGACCTGGGTGAAGGGTCTTCGTGTTAGCATAGCTGCCTGGAGCCATGTATGTGTGTGGGGAGGGGGGTGTGTGGTCAGTCATCAGTCTTGCTGGTCATGAATAGTTGTGACACATCTTTCTATTTACAAACAAAAAAAATTCAAAAAAAGTTGTAATTTTATATTCATAAAGAATTCAAAGCCAGCGTGTATGTGATTGTATTCTCTCTGTCATCATATAAATCGATGAAATAAACCACAACTAATGATGCTGTACGGTAGCAACCTTTAATATTAAGACCGAGCAGGGCAATGTGTAGCAACAGGAAGGTATATCTGGAGGATCTAATGGGGTGAAGGCTTTCCTTCATCTGAATTCATCAACTCCAGTGCTGATTCTGGCCAGAAGCAAGTGGGAGATGTCGCGAGGCTCCAGATTCCTGGAGAGACACTAATGGTCGGCTGACAAATCAATTCTCTTGCTTGAATATTTCTAGATTTTTTTCTAATCAAACATCATTTTGATGGTTTTTTTTAAAAGAAGATTGAACACTGACCTAACCCAGCCTTGTTACCAAAACCTGACCACTGAGCTACTTCTATATCTGACAGTAACTTGAGACCCTAGTTGTGTTCTTGCCTCGCCTTGCGCTTCCTGTTCTCTCAGATATTCTTAGAATTAGAGCCACTCGCAACCCATTTTTTAAAAATAATTACAGAGCCGTGTGTTTGAATCAACACGTTAACACCAACTTCACAATACAGTTAGCTGATGAATACTTTCACTGCCACGTATTTTGTTTTGGACCAAAGGATGGGTTGCAATGAGCCCATGAGTAGATGTGCAGATGTGTAATTTCCTTATCTTGTAATGCAACACATAGTATTTGATTCCTTCAGCAGCACTACTTGAACAAAGTCAGCTTCTTATAGCTGTATACAGACAAATGCATATACTCCAGCCAACACTTCATTAACAAACACCAGAGCTTACTACAAAAGAATTACCTTTAATCACTCTGAGTTCAGCTGTTTTCCCGCTAACCTGAGATAAGTTTTAAAGAGTTTGTTTCAGAATCAATAATATCTTCATTCTAATGAGGAAAAGACCTCAGTGGCAAAGTGTCCCCTGGAGTTGAGCTACACAGACCTATTCGTAGCCACCTGCTGATAGTCTGGGCAACAGAACAACACATACCAGTTTAAGTTGAAGGTACTGACGCGAGGAGGGAAACATGTTTAATTGATTTGAGTATTTAAAGTTCACTGAATACAAATTCGTAAAAAGCTACAGCTTGCAGCAAGGCGTCGCACATTTCCTCTGCTCGATGTGGGCCAACTGTGTGTATGAGTTTCCTGTAGCGGGCTAGCATGTCGCGAGGGAAAGCCACGCGTGGGTGATCCTTTGTCACCGAGTCAGACATGAGCCTCTGCACCAGGTCCCTGCCACTGGTCCGAGACTCGCCCACCATCAGTCCAAAGTGCTTGCCCACGGCGCTGCGTACCACACTCAGCACCCGGTGATGCCTGTCCTGTACAAACTGGCCACCCAGCAGCCCGTGCAGCATGGACTCAATGGTGCGCAGGTGGAGGGTGACGGGAAACAGGTTGGTGTTTTGAATGGAAATGCTGGGACGTTCCAGGACAAAGTAATCCGCCGGCGGAATCTTGGAGACTGCCAATGAAACCTGAAATTGGAGAAGATTAGCGCAAACTCAGCAAACCGCAAGCAAATTATTGTTTTCTCAACCTCTCAGTTCATCCAATTCTCTCTCCCCCCCACCCACCCTCCTACTTCGCTCTCATCCAACACTGCAGGCAGATGGAATCCTGGGTGTCCGCTGGTATCATTCTGTAACTGGGTGGTCAGACCCACCACAACAGCTTTACAGGAACCATCCCCAAGATTCCATTATTAAGGAATCAGCAGAGTCATCAGTGATGCAGTGCCAGTCAGTGTTTGTAGCACTCATTCTCACTCAACCTAATCTCATCGCCCACCACCCCCCCCCCCACCACACACACATAGCAACCAGGTTCCACTGGACTCACACTCCCCCACTCCACTGTGTCACAGGTCCACTTCACGCCCCCCCCTTCCACTGCAGTGGAAATCAAGATTGGTTAAGTGGTGTTCACTCACCTCCTCCAGGTACACAGAGGGCAGGTAGGTGCCCGTCATATACCTGTGACTCTCCTCTTGTTGCCAGTCCAGCACAGTGAGGCTCCGGTCCATGTGAGTCCAGGCAATCTTACGGATTCCAAATACAATCGACACAATACTCTTTGCATTCTGCAAGAAGATAAAACCGTTGACTGAAGCCAAGATCAATTAACAACAACAAATTAAATTTGTATAGCGGGTTTCACATCAGGAGGATGTCCCAAGACGCTGTACAGTCAGGGAATCACACCCGAGCTATGATGGGAGTATTCTTAAGTGGCACAGTACAGGCTGTTTGGCGCAACTAATCCATGCCAGTGTTTATTCTCCACATACGCACTCATCCATCCTATTCCCCTCACCTAAGGGGGAAATAAACATGTGAGGAAAAATATTACAGACTATGATGTAAGATGCAGAGTGAGCACCAGTACAGCCACAATGAACGTATGGTGTAAACGTTCTATGAATCTAAAATGCTAAGTTCAGATGTAGTTGCATTTGATATAAGGTCTTATCAAGTCGTTGAGGTATCTCAAAGCACTTCACAGGATATTTTGTAAAATAGTTGACTGAGTATTTTGAGGGCGATAGGTTTTCTGGGAGTGAAATCCCACTAAATGCATCTAATCTCCCAGATGCTTTCCTCTGACTCACCTGAAGTTGTTTCTTTTCAATGTCAGGTTTGATAAACTTCAGCCCCTGAAGCCGCTTCTCTTTCCTCTCGGACTCAGGGTCGGGATTCAGGATGGATTGGCAAACCTTCAATATTGTTTTCTCTTTGAACAGAGGCACCTCCGTCAAGCTCTGGATGTCTGTGAAGGGCCCACGCTTAGTTCGGTGAGTCACCAGGTTGGCAGACTTTCTCCCCCGGAGCAGCTTGACCTTTGCCAGTTCCTCCTGCGTGGCCGTGTTCAGCATGTGCAGGATGGTGGCTTGCTGCTGGGGTGAGTACCGATCGTCGAGCTGCTCGCTGGCCGGCTGTCTGCTGTCTGAGGCCAGGGCCGCAATCTCCGCAGACAGACACTCAGCTTTTGCACAGCAAGTGCAGAGGAGACGCTGCTGTAAGCCGAAGGGGCCTCGTGGCCTGTGTAACAGACTCCGGGACCCTGAGATTTCAAACATATATAAAAAACCATTGGGATTAATCATCAATCTTAAGAAACACTTCGAGACAATTCCCGCAGTCACAGAATTCCGTGCACGCCACCTGCACATGAAAATTTCTGCATCTGGAACGGAATGCGCACGCTCACTCCGCGGAGGGATGCACACTGCTCCACCCAATTCTGGAAAGTATTAGGCGCGGGTTGGCAAGAGCCAAGGCTTGGGGGGACCCCAGAGTGTGCGTTGGGGTAACTGCTGCAGGCTAACCAGCTAAAACCCTGGAGAGCAACTGTCTGGCAAGCTTTCCGCCACTTGCCCAGCTAGGACCACCCTATCCATTAGTTCGGGCTTGGCTGAAGGGTTAACAGGAGCTGAGGGGGAGGATTCCCTGCCCCCAGTGACTGGTCGGCCCTTCTGGGTCCTGCCGACGGGCCGGGCCGGGCTGGGCTGCCGTCAGCAGTGAGTGCCCTGGGATACTGCGGACCCTCAGGGCCTGAGCTCCCGGCCCCCTCCACTGTGGTGGTCTCTAGTCCAGTAGATCTAGCCCAACTAGGACCATCATAGTGGGGGGGGATGGGGGGGGTGCTCGACTCCCACCTTGGGGCCACTTCAGCTCCTGGAGACCCCTCCCCACACCTCTCCCATCCCCACCCACAGTCACTACACTCACAGTGAAGCCCTGAGGGAGGTGGTGAGGCAGGGGCAGTGAGGGGAGGCAGTGACGGGGGTTTGAGGAGGGGGCAGTGAAGGGGGTTTGAAGGGGGGCAGTGAGGGGTGGGGAGGGGGGCAGTGAAAGCATGAGGGGGGAGCAGTGAAAGGGGGGAGGGGGCAGTGAGGGGATGAAGTGAGGGGGCAGTGAAGGGCGCGAGAGGGGGCAGTGACGGGAGTGAGGGGGTGCAGTGACGGGGTGGGGGGGCAGTGAGTCAGGTGTGAATGGGGCCAGGGGTGCGCTGAGAGGGGGCAGTGAGGGGGTTGAGGGGGTAGTGAGGGGGGTTTTGAGGGGGGGCAGTGAGAGCGGGATGAGGGGGGCTGTGAGGAGGGGTGAGGGGGTCAGTGCGGGGGGCTTGAGTGGGGGGGAGATGAGGGGGCAGTGAGTGGGAACAGTGAGACGGGGTGAGAGGGGAGCAGTGAGCCGGGCAGTGGGGGGAGGTGAGGCGGGGCAGTGAAGGGGGGCAGTGAAAGGGGGGCAGTGAGGGCGGGCTGTGAGAGGGGGTGTGGGGGCAGTGAGAGGGGGGTTGGGGGTGAGGGAGGTGTGTGGGGGCAGTGAGAGAGTGAGGGGAGGACAGTGGGGGGCAGTGAGAGGGGGTGGGGGGGGACAGTGAGGAGTGTGATGGTGGGGGCAGTGAGGGGGGGGTGAAAGGGGGGGTGAGGGGGGCATTGGGTGGGGCAGTGAGAGTGGGGGGCAGTGAGAGGTGTTTTGAGGGGGGCAGTAAGGGTGGTAATGTGGGGGGGAGCGAGTGGGGACAGTGGGGGCAGTGATGGGGGGCAGTGGGGGGTGTGGGGGGGCAGTGGGGGGTGTGGGGGGCAGTGGGGGTGTGGGGGGGGTAGTGGGGGGTGTGGGGGGCAGTGGGGGGGGGGTGGGGGCAGTAGGGGTGTGGGGGGCGGTGTGGGGGCAGTGGGGGGTGGGGGGAGTGGGGGCAGTGGGGGGGTGTGGGGGGCAGTGGGGGGTGTGGGGGCCAGTGTGGGGGCAGTGTGGGTGTGGGGGGCAGTGTGGGGGGTGTGGGGGGCAGTGTGGGGGGGCAGTGTGGGGGGGCAGTGGGGGGGCAGTGGGGGGTGTGGGGGCAGTGGGGGGTGTGGGGGCAGTGGGGGTGGGGGGGGTGTGGGGCAGTGGGGTGTGGGTCAATAAATGGAATCTTGTTGTTGTATATAGGCTGTACTCTTGGGGGAAACAATGCAGCCAATTACACATAGCAGTGTTCCACAAAAAATCATGGGTTGAGTAACCAATCTAATTTTTTGGAATTATTATTTCTAGCAAATCAAAATGTTCTTTTGATTTTGATCCTAACCATGGATGTGCAGTTCATGAAAATTCAGGCCATCATTCAGTTCCATTTGGAGGAGAAATCTGTGTTCAGCAGTTTCACGTTGCAACTGGCTTATTAATAGAAAGGGTAACCATGGGAAGTACAGTAGAAAAGCAGAAGTTGGCCGTTCATGGCAGAACTATCCCCAGTTCAACACTGGAATCTTTCACTGAAATAAAAGACTGTACACAGTCACAGTGGAAAGACAAAAATAGATTATTCTTGGTCATGGGTTAATCACTTAGAATAGTCACCATTTTATGCAAGATAAGGTCCAAGAATTGATGATGGTCTATTTACTGCAGCCAGGGAGGCAGCAGATAGCACTGCCATTGGCCTTGATGACCCTGGGTGAGGGAGTGGAGGGAGCTAATTAGTGTAAAGAAATAACCCCACCCCTCCCTTGGGGACCGTCCCTCTGGCTGTGGGCAGTGCAGCGGGGAGGGGGTAGCGAGAGCTCGTAGTTTGCTTTGGTGGAGAGGTTTGAAACACTTTCCCAGTTGATTCAGTCTATGGGTGAATTGATTGAACTGTTCTAATTAAAGCATAGAAGGATTGGCAGAGATCCACATCCATTCCAGGCATCTGGAGGCAGGGAATCCCCGAGGCTCCTGGCCACAGCGAAGATTAGGAGGGAAGAAGTATAGTCTTTACTGAAAGTCTGGGAGTGGCTGCCTTCAGGGTGCAGGAGCTAAATACCTGGATAATGTGAAAGGCAAAACCTTGCACGTAATGACAACCCTTCAATTAGGTTGACATAGAAACTGGGCGTTCATTTCAAGGTTGTTTGGTGCCAAAGTACCAAGACTGAGCTGGTTTAGCTGGTTAGACTCTAGCAGTTACCCCAACGCACACTCTGGGGTCCCCTAGCCTTGGCTCTTGCCAACCTGTGCCTAATACTCTCCAGAATTAGGTAAGCAGGACTCATCCCTCCAAAGAGAGAGAGTGAGAGAGAGCGCGTCCATTCCATTCCAACAATCTATCCATGGGATTTCCATGTGTAAGTGGGATGTGGGGAATTCTCAGCTTGGTTTGGAGACTCTTAAGTATGGCGATGGGTTTCCGTGTGGGTCAGACACCTTCTGGGCAAAAACAAACACAGTCACTACACCTCACACCTATTGCCACACCTATCCAGGAGGCTCTGCGCCAAATATAAGGCTTATATTATTGTGTTAAATCGCTGCCAGGATTGTGGGAAACTTATATTTACCATAACTTATTATTCCAGGGCTGGAATAACTCACTAAACAAATGAACGTTAACTAAAGGGCTTTCTCGGTGAGAGGCTAATTTATTACATAAAAACATTATATTTGTTTCATGGTTAAATGAAGGAGGTGGAGTGCAGCCACACACTGGGGTGAGAGGTATTCACTGACCTGGGATTCCGCAGTCGGCGCACTGGCTGTTTCCGTGTTGTTTCAATAACTCCAATAACTCTTTTTTATTCCTGTCCCGATCCGACATCATTTATAAATTCCAATAGCCTTTTGTGGAGGCGAAAAACAAAACGGTCTCAAAACGCCCCCCGATCCTGGCCGCGGCCCCCGATCTATCGCCGACCAAAGGGAAGGAGCGAAGGGTTCACTTTTTCAGCGTTAATTTCAGGTCCTGAATCGTTTCCCCACAAACACACACACACACACTGTGAGAGAGAGAGTCACACACACACTGTGAGAGAGAGAGTCACACACACTGTGAGAGAGAGAGTCACACACACACTGTGAGAGAGAGTCACACACACACTGTGAGAGAGAGAGTCACACACACTGTGAGAGAGAGAGTCACACACACAGTGAGAGAGAGAGTCACACACACTGTGAGAGAGAGAGTCACACACACACTGTGAGAGAGAGAGTCACACACACACTGTGAGAGAGAGAGTCACACACACTGTGAGAGAGAGAGTCACACACACTGTGAGAGAGAGAGTCACACACACTGTGAGAGAGAGAGTCACACACACTGAGAGAGAGTCACACACACAGTGAGAGAGAGTCACACACACAGTGAGAGAGAGTCACACACACTGAGAGAGAGAGTCACACACACAGTGAGAGAGAGAGTCACACACACAGTGAGAGAGAGTCACACACACAGAGAGAGTCACACACACAGTGAGAGAGAGTCACACACACTGGAGAGAGAGAGTCACACACACACAGAGAGAGTCACACACACAGTGAGAGAGAGAGTCACACACAGTGAGAGAGAGAGTCACACACACAGAGAGAGAGAGAGTCACACACAGAGAGAGAGAGAGAGAGTCACACACACAGAGAGAGAGAGAGTCTCACACACACACACACACACACACACAGAGTCACACACTGTGAGAGAGAGAGTCATACACACACTGAGAAAATCACACACACTGTGCGGGAGAGAGAGTCACACACACACACACACACTGAGAGAGAGTCACACACACTGTGAGAGAGTCACACACACTATGAGGGACACACACAAACACACTGAGAGAAAGAGAGTCTCACACACACACACACACTGTGAGAGTCACACACACTGTGAGAGAGAGAGTCACACACACACTGTGAGAGAGAGTCACACACACACTGTGAGAGAGAGTCTCACACACACTGAGAGAGAGAGTCACACACACTGTGAGAGAGAGAGTCACACACACAGAGAGAGAGAGTCACACACACACAGAGAGAGTCACACACACTGTGAGAGAAAGAGAGTCACACACACTGAGAGAGAGAGAGTCACACACACACACACTGTGAGAGTCACACACTGTGAGAGAGAGTCATACACACACTGAGAGAGTCACACACACTGAGGGAAAGAGAGTCACACACACACACTGTGAGGGACACACACAAACACACTGAGAGAAAGAGAGTCTCACACACACACACTGAGAGAGAGTCACACACACTGTGAGAGAGAGAGAGAGTCACACACACACACTGTGAGGGACACACACAAACACACTGAGAGAAAGAGAGTCTCACACACACTGTGAGAGTCACACACACTGAGGGAGAGAGAGTCACACACACTGTGTGAAAGAGAGTCACGCACACTGTGAGGGACACACACAAACACACTGAGAGAGAGAGTCTCACACACAGTGAGAGAGAGTCACACACACAGTGAGAGAGAGAGTCACACACATCGTGAGAGAGAGAGTCACACACACAGTGTGAGAGAGAGAGTCACACACACTGTGAGAGAGAGTCACACACACAGTGGGAGAGAGAGTCACACACACACTGAGAGAGTCACACACAGTGAGAGAGAGTCACACACACTGAGGGAGAGGGAGAGAGTCACACACACTGAGGGAG